CCATTTAGCTTTATTATTATTTGAATTCTTATTCAAGAGAAAAAATGGAAAACTGAAAAAATTTAGAAATTCAGTGTGTAATAATTATTATATCTTTATAAATTATTTAATTTAAAATGGCTTTATAAAATAAGCAATGCAAAAGATGACCCAGATACTAATAGTAATTGTTCTAGCCATAGTTTAAGTCTAGTAATGTATATTCTATTTAAATTGAGACCATTGAGTGAAATTATTTGAATTTTAGTTAGTTAAATCTCTTTGTTAGGTTATAATAATTATTTCTTTAAAATTTTTTAAATTGTTTAAAATAAGCAGCCCCATACAACATTCCCGCGCGGATAGTTTGGCTAGTTAATAATAATCAAGTACATGTTCAGGTAATCTGTTCGCAGTTTGAAGTTAAATGTTGTTTGCTTTTTGTTTCTTAACTTTTTTATAATTTTTCTTTTCAAATATTTTCAATTCTAACATTAATTTTATGAAGAAGAATTTTATTAAAAGTGAATTGAATTCTTGCGAAGAATTTTACTATTTATAAAAATAATTAAAATGTTTCAAGGAATTCATTATAATTTTAAGAAATAATTAAATCTTTATGAAGAATTTTATAGAAATATTTGAAAATAATGAAATTTTTTCGAGAAATTCAATTAAAGTTGTTTTGAAAATAATGGAATTTCTTTAAAGAATTTTATTAAAATATTCAAAATAATTGAATTCATCACAAGAATTTTATTATTTTTTTGAAAATAATTGAATTCTTCCAATTTTTTGACGAATATATTTAAAAATTGCATTGAAAGTAATTTAATTTTTATATAGAATTTTAAACAAATATTTTGAGAATAATTGAATTATTTTTAGAGAATTTCAAATTCTTGTTGAAATTGAATTTTATGGAAATTTTTGAAAATATTTAAATTCTTTCATGTAATTTTATTTAAATTTGATTTAAAATAATTTAATTCCTGCAAAGAATTTTTGTATTTATAAAAATAGTTGAAATGTTTCGAAGAATTTATCAATACTTTAGGAAGTAATTGAAATTTATGGAGAAATATTTAAAAATATTTGAATTCATCCGAGGAATTCAATTAAAATTGTTTTGAAAATCATTGAATTTTGGTAAAGATTTTACTATTTAAAAAAGTAATTGAATTGTTTAGAAGGATTTATTAAAATTTTAGAAAATAATTGAATTTCTTTCGTAAAATTTAAAAAAAAAATTTTTTGATTATCTTTAGTTTTTAATTAAATTATTTTTTGTAAATATTTGAATTTTCGGAAATATATAATTGAAAATATTGTAAATAATTGAATTTCGAAAAATTATAATGAAATAATTCTAAGAATTATTGTTTGTTAAAAAATATTTTAATATAATTGTTTGAAGCTAATTTTCATCAACTTTCATTTGAAGAGTTTTCATTAAAACTGTTGAAAATTTATTGATTTCTAAAATTTCTAAATTCTATTTAATACAATTCAAATTTTTCACAATTTAATTTTTGAAATATTTTAATAAAATACTCAAAGAAAAATCAATTATTTCAAACAACATTTACCAAAATTTCAATTATAATTAAAAAATTTTTAATTAAATATTTCAAAAATTTAATTATATCTTAGAAAAATGATTGTAAGATTTGAATATAGTTATTTTTCTCACTATATAAAAATCTAAATATGTTGCAATTTATACAAAAATGTGATATTTTATAATACCGCATATTTATTTTATAATACCAAAATTTATTTTATAAATTTTTGAAATTATTTATACTGAAAACATATTTCGGTTCTTATGAATTTTTGAAACATTATTTATTTTAAAAAACTATTTCCTTCATTTAAACGTTCCGAATTATTGAAGCATTATAATTTACTTAATTTAATTAATATTTATTGATTAATCAAATAAAAATATATAATTTTCGCGATGAAATAAAATTGTAGTAAATTTAAAAACTTTTTCTTGCAAATATGAAATATTTATAAACGAAATAGAGGAAGTAAATTATAATCTTGTAGGTCATCGCAAAATATTGAAGTCAATATTTGATACAATGCCTCGTATTTCGAATAAGTTATAATCCTACAAGTTTCCCTAGATCTCAAAGGCGAGATAAACCTAGAAATAGAATACTGATTTTTGAGAAAGATTTACGAACTGATACACTTTCGTATAAAGTAAGACAAAAACAGAAAAAAAAAGATTGCTGAAGAAAGCAAATTGTTAACACAATCTATAACAGAATTACCGAAAAAAGGGGAAAAATAGAAGATAAATAAATTTTTTTACACTCTGAGGAATATTTCCCTAAGCGAGAGAAAAAACATTTCCTTTTTGTATCAAAAAAAGTAATTTCTATCAAAAGAAATGAATCTAATATTATTTACGACCAATTTAAAGTATAGAACTTAAGTAAGCAATTGATAAAAAATCAAATCTCGAAATTTTGCCATATTTGGAAAAAATTAATTATAATATTAAATAAAAACTTGATATAAAATTTTTCTTTATTTCCAAAACCAATAATTCTCAGTTATTCAAAATTTATAGTAATAAATAGCCAATTGAAAATTTAATTGATATAACTTTAAATTATAAATGGAAATTTTAATTAATGACAATTTTAGTTAATGTTGAAGTTAAATTAATGGTTTACTTCAAAACAATAATTGAAGTTTCAGTCTCAATGGCAAATCTAATTAATGGCGATATTGATGAATTGTAGCTTTTTAAGGATAATATATTCAGTTCTAATGGACACTCATTGAATGCCCGTATATACCAGTGATAATAATTCGTTTTATCTATAATCAAATTTTGGATCGGTGTGCCTGGATAAAACCAATCAATGTCCACAGATTAAGCTTTACACAGTTTGAAGACCACAACTGCTATCAGTTGAACTAATCCACGTTGAAAATCGACGACCAAAACCACTTTACTAAGAGGACCCAAGTTTCTTATATTTATGTCACAAGAGAAAATTTACTTATATTTATATAATTCTCCGTAACTTTTCTCTTTCACTTTTTTAATCTAAGTTCTCGATTTTCCTGTGTTGAACCTATCTATGGAGTATATTTATTTTTAGAAAAACTATTACAACTTTTGAGAATAACTACTATTAGAAATCGATAAAATCGGTTTTCAAGTAAAATATACATGAAAAGATAAATATTTAATTTGTTTCACTGCGAAAATAAGTAAAAAGAACTGAACTTTGTGTATCCTTTCAGTAAACGAAACGTTTCTTAACTTTTCACTACTTTCCCACTACTCTGTAGTGGATTTTATATTTCCTAATATTGTGAACATAACCAATAAAAAAATGGGTTCACATACCGATAAATATTATACTTTTTTCCATTTTATTTCGTCCCGTCACATTGTATGCGGTGCAAATAAAATTCGCCTGTCACCGAAGGAATGGTCAACCTAACCTAAAAACACACCGTGGAATGTTTATCAATTGGATCAATTGTCAACAAAATCGCACATAAACTAAAATGCATAATAACAATTTCCACCCCCTTACACTTAGTCAATTCTATGCCATATAGAAAAGAATAAAATTTTTTTCAATTACCTGATCAGATTTTCTTCTTTTCTTCGTGCAGCGCCAGTCACACTTTTCTTCCTTTGATTCACTTTACAAATTACACTCACACTCCATTTCTGCAAACTCCGGAATTGTATGCCCGACAGTTGACTTTTACTCATCCTCGCAGTTTTTCTATCTCTTTCAGCCTTTCTCCACCCCGTACAAATGACCTTTCTTTTCTTCTTATCTACAACACCCCTGAACGTTATCCCCATATTTTAATGACCCAGCGCTCGCGACAATAATAAACGCGGCGCATTATCCCAATCCTGACAAAAAAACAAAAAGTATCAACTCGAAGTAGAAAAAGAAAGAATTTTACATTGTTTTAAATTACTCTATTTATGTAAAATGCAATAATAAAACTACCCGGCACGACACTCAGAAAAAAATAACGATTAAACTATGACGATACTATTGCAATGAACTACTAATCGCAATTAACTGTTATCACCACGTGTGAACTCGAAAAAAGAAAGAATTTTATCTTCAGAATGTTAAAACCGTATTTTTAATTACTTTAATGTGTAAAATTTACAATAATTAAACTCTCCGACACGATACTAATGGCAAAATGGCGGTCAAACTGTTATTGATAAACAATTCAATTGCAATGAACTTATCTACAAAGTGAAATTAGCAATAATGGTGCCCTCACAATTTGTTAAATTTTTTGTTCAAGGTTGGTATTTAACAATTTTTAATCGTAGACAACTTCGCGCAGTACTATTGTTTAAATAATAAACTAAATTGAATAAAAATAAAAAATAAACTAGTAGAAAAAATACAAAGATTTATAACTTTTAAAAAAAAAGTTTCTTTTTTTTTTTTTGTTCAAAAAAATTATTTGTTTATTAAACTTTCTACCTTTTTCGAAATTTTAACGTTTTAGATTATTATCTAAACAGGAGAAAAAGAGAAAATTAACTATCACTTATTGTGTAGAAACTCAAAAAGAAAAGAATTTTACATTTCAAATGTTAAATATTAATTTATTTTTAATTTATTTAATAAGTTAACTTTTCGACACGATACTCACGGAAAAAGGCTAAACCGTGAAACAATTCTACTGCAAATGAACTATTAACATTACCACAGCGTATATAAACTCAAAATCGAAAAAATGTTACATTCCGAATGTTAAAGCCCTATTTTTAATTACTTTAATACTTAAAATTTTTAACAAATAAACTTTTCGACGCGATACTAACGGAAAAAGGCGGTTACACTCTTAACTGTTAAACAATTCACTATGCAATGAACTTATCCACGCAAATAGAAATTCAATAATGGTGCCCTCACAATTTTTTGTTTAATTTTTTATATTTTAAAGTTGGTAATTGGTATTTAACAATAATTTTCAATCGTAGACAACTTCAGGAATTTAAACAGTAAACAAAACAAATCAGAATATAATTTTGGTAATTACGTAATAATATTAAAAATTCTCCTTGAAAAATGTTTTAAAGAAAGAATTATTTGACATTTCTTCAATATTCTACCTTATTCGAAATTGAACTTTATATCAAAGATTATATAATATTATATAAGTTTAATATAAAAGCAATAATTAAAAACTTACCTTCAGGTGGGTCTACTTTTAGGTTATATGACAAATTATTGGATTAATTAATTAATTATTAAACAATTAGTTATATTATAATAATGAGTAAATTATATTAATTAGTTAGATTAGGTATATTAATTTGTAAATAATTAATAAGTAAGTAATTAATCATATTTTTCAGATTATCTATTCCAATTTATTTATTAAAACTGAATTGATTGATTTATAATTAAGGGGAGACTTCGACTTCGATATTCAAATTTAAAATTTTAACTAAAATTCATTTTTAAATTGAATTAAATTTTTATTAGAAAATTATACGATAATTCAATTATTTAAATGCAAAAATAAATGATTTATTGAATAATTAAATATTTCTTAAAATTGAATTCTCATAAAGAATTTGATCAACAATTTTTTAAAGAATTAAATTCTTTTGACGAATTTTAATAAAATTTTTAAGTATAATTACATTTTTCGAGGAATTCAATTAAAATTGTATTAAAAATAATTTGAAATTCTGCGATGAGTTTCATTTATGAAAATAATTGAATTTCTAATAAGAATTTTATTATTTATGAAAATAATTCAATCCCTGTAAAAAATCGAATTTTACCAAGAATTTTATTAAAAATTTATAAAATAATTATTGATTAATTACTTAATTTTAATTTTTAATAGTAAATTCTTATTCTAATCTAAAAAACAGATCATAAAGAAAATTATTCTCTTACAGGTACATAAATTATATCCGACTTGCAGTAATTTTTGAGAGGTGAATTTTCAATAGCACAAGATAATAATGAAATTATTATTTAACAGCTGTAATTTGTTAACTATGGAATTTACATTTTAAATGAAGGCAAAGCAGGCGATTTTGCGTAATATTATCCAAAGAGAGAAGTATATCAGTTTCAAAACTATTAAAATGATCGTGATGGTAGAACTAGCCTTTATCCTGTGTAGTGCATTGTATGTTTATGCAGTTTTAGTTGCAACGGGTTATAAATCAAATGTTGTTTTCGGAACGTTGAGTTTGAGCTCTAAAATGCATATTACGCAAATGCAGGAAGGGAAAATGGATTATGGTTACCCTTCCTCAAACCACATTACCAACAGAAATGCATTTTGATGAAATTGTGGTCATGGTGAACACAACATAAAAATGTCCTCGTCTTCATTTTTACCATTTAGAACAATTTACATGCTTGTAGAGTTATTTACAAAAATTATTTTCTCTTTTTAATTTTACTCAGTTTGCTTAATTTCTAATTAAAATTTATTGACAGTAATTTAACATTTTCTCGATTGTACCTGCAAAAATTACAGTTTCAATTAAAAAGTAATTTCAATTATTTTTCTAAATAGTAAAATTCTTTGCAAAAATTCAATTATTTTCAAAACAATTTTAATTGAATTCCTCGGATGAATTCAAATATTTTTAAATATTTCCATAAATTTCAATTATTTTCTAAAATTTTAATAAATTTTTCGAAACATTTCAACTATTTTTATAAATACTAAAATTCTTTGCAGGAATTAAATTATTTTTAATCAAATTTAAATAAAATTACACGAAAGAATTTAATTATTTTTAAAAATTTCCATAAAATTCAATTTTAACAAGAATTTAAAATTCTCTAAAAATAATTCAATTATTCTCAAAATATTTTTAAAAAATTCTATATAAAAATTAAATTACTTTCAATGCAATTTTTAAATATATTCGTCAAAAAAATTGATAGAACTCAATTATTTTCAAAAATTAATAAAATTCTTGTGATGAATTCAATTATTTTGAATATATACTTAATTTTAATAAAATTCTTTAAAGAAATTTAATAATTTTCGAAACAACTTTAATTGAATTTCTCGAAAAAATTTTATAAATATTTCTATAAAATTCTTCATAACAATTTAATTATTTCTTAAAATTTTAATAAATTCTTCAAAACATTTCAATTTTTTTTATAAATAGTAAAATTTTTCGCAATAATTTAATTATTTTTATAAATAGTAAAATCCTTTGCAAAAATTCAATTCTTCTCAAAATAATTTTAATAAAATTCCTCGAAAGAATTTAAATTTTAAAATATTAACGTAAAATTAATTTATTTTCTAAAATTTTTAATAAATTCTTTGGTACAATTCAATTATTTTTATAAATAATAAAATTCTTCGCAAGAATTCAATTAATTTCAATACAATTTTAATAAAATTCAATTGCTTTCAAAATTTTTAATTAAAATTATTAAAGAAACTCCATTAGTTTAAAAAAAATTCAAAGAAATTCTTCAAAAGAATTTAATTAGGATTTTTAAAAATTTTAATAAAATTCTTCGCGAGAATTCAGTTATTTTCCTAAATTATAAAATTCTTTGAAGGAATTCTATTATTAATGAATTATTAATGAAGAATTCAAAATTTTAAAGATTTTATTTTAAAAATTCTACAAAAATTAATTATTTCAATAAAAAAAATATAATTTTTTGAATAATTGAATGCTTCTTAAAATTGAATTCAATTATTTAAATATAAAAATAAATAATTTATTAAATATAATTTGCTTGGAATCCTGTTAAAATTTTTTAAAAACAATTATTAACAAAAAAATTTTAATAAAGTTTCACTCAAACATTTAATTATTCTTTTGGAAAATTTTATTAAACTAATTGATATTGCAAATATTATTAAATTGAGGAAAATTTTTGAAAATAATTTAATTTTGGAGAAGAATTTTATTATTTTTAAAGATAATTGAAATTTTGACGAGAATTTTTAAAAATTTTTGAATATAATTGAATTTTTGCAAAGATTTTTATTATTTTTGAAAATAATTAAATTTCTGCTTTTGTAACTTTTCTCAAAAAATTTAATTATTTGAGTGATTTTAACTAAAATTCATATTTAAATTTATTTTTTATTCATTTATTTTTATTCATAATAATTTACTGAATTCGATTAAAATTGTATTAAAAATAATTGTAATTTTGCGTTGAGTTTTTTTTTATTTTTCAAAAACCTAAATTCTTTAAAATTTCTTATTATATTCATTGAAAATTGAAATTTTATAAAATTTGCACAAAAATTCAAAATTTTCTTATTAATTCTAAAAAATAATTAGATTTCAAGAATAAACAGAATAACTTTAGAAAACAACAATTTTCCAGGATTCCGATCAAAAGTCCCTGACTTTTCCAGGTTTTTTCAAGATTTATAAAATTCTCTGACATTTTCAGGTTTTCCAGGTTGCGTGGCACCCTGCATTTACTTAATTTGTAATTAATAAATAATTTTAATTTCTGATATTCTAAACAAACACTTATAATATTCAACGTTGTATTTGCTATTTAACGTTAGATTAAATATTTAACGAAATGTAATTTCGTAAAAAATTTTTATTTGTATAAATTGAAAACTAAAAAATGATGATGTGTATTAAATAAAAAGACGACCCTTTATTATATTTCATGTACTGATTGAATAAATGTATTCAGGACGTGATATGAGCGCAGTTTATAGAATTATAGTGTTATTTCCGGTAATTTTACATTTAAGAGCGTATCTATACATTAAGATCCTCCACTTCCACTTAGATAGCAAACCGCAAACCACTCGAGAGGTTGGCTGAGAGGTCTGTTCACAATGACCACATTTTCACTGTGAACCATTTTTCATCCTACATATAGGTGTAATATATTTCATAATGTGCACATAATGTATTTAATTTAATAACACCCTATTTTATTGTCAACAATATTATTTTTAAAAAATGATTTTCAAAAAATAAAAATTACGAATAACGTAAATTTGTGCCAATGTAAATTTTTTTTATGCCTCTTTTAATTTAGAAGAACAGTTTTTTCTCAAAAAAAAAAAAAATATTCTGAATTCTAAATTAAAATAATAATTAATATTATCAATTATAATATTATTAAAAATAATGCAATATTAATAATTTTAATAAAATTTGAATTCACATATTTATATTTATAAAATAAAATGTATAAACTTGTTGTTTTTTAATACCTGGCAAAAGTCTTAAAATAGAACTAAATAAGATTGATTTCATTTACTGAAAGCGTTAAGTGCTTTAGTCATTCCAGTAGACAATAATCGAAACGCAACATCATTCGTTATACCCTTCACTTTATTTCTTATAGCGACTTTTTGAAAGTGATTCTTTTTTAACTTACCATTACCGTATTTCCTTCTGTCATTTCGTATCAATTTTTCTTAAGTTTAAATTAACAATAAAAAACTAAAAAAAAAATTAAAACATAGAATATTTTTTATAAATAAAAACAATTTAGTTATTTTACTTATATAAAAAAATTACTAATGGATAAAAATAAAAAATATTAAAATTGAGTAATCAAAATTCCTTTGTTTCGATTGTAATTTAAATATTATTGTCAATTAATATTCCTCATCAAATGTAATTAATTCAAAATACTTGGATTTTATCCATTTCGTTTTTATTAAAATATTTTATATACAAATATTTTTTTATAAATCACATCTATTTATAAAACAATGGAAGTTGAACTCGAGTTTAAATACAAAATAAAGAGTTCACTTGCAGAAAAAAAAATGATTTGTATACAAAATATATTAGAAGGGAGAAAATATTTTGTCAATTGAAAATATTTTGTTGGCAGTTCTACAAGAAAATACTTGTACATATGTAGTAAAAAAATTGATTGTATTTCCAACTAAGTATTTTATTGACAGAAAATATTTTCGCTTTTTATTTTTTAAAATTAAAAAGTGTTTTTCTTTTCGAAATTCTTCAATTTGTTTCATAAATACTCACTTTTGTCGCTTCATTTTATTAAATTCACTTTGTTGAACAGCAGCGTCGCCGAAAATTTCTCTCACCTTTCGCTTACGTTCCATGTCACTCTTAATCTGTTCTTTAATTTTCAAATTCGCCAAGAATGACGTATCCCTTCGGACTTCTCTTATTGCTCCTTTCATTTCGCGTTTTATTTTATGAACCATCTTTTCTCTCTCTGCCTTCTCTTGGGACATTTTCTTATGCCTCCTACCTTCGTATCTGTAAATTTTAAAGGAATTAAAAATTATAAATTAATATTGAAAAATCATACTTTGAATATTTACGACAAAAATTGTTTATAACGAAAAAATCAACTTTAACAATTTGTAATATTATTAAATCAAAATTAAAAATTGTCTTTGTTTTTTAAAGTTTCGGTAAATTTAAATAAATGTTAAACTTACACTCTCTCGATTCGAGGTTCATATAATCTCAATGCCTTTGGCTTTTTCTTCTCACGAACTAAATATTCCAATTTCTTCTCTTTCAACACTTCCAATTCTTCAATTAATTCGTTTACCCTTTGTCTCAAATTTTTTGGATATTTCTTCATGAAATCGCATTTTAACATTTTCAAAATTGGCTCAAAAATCGAGTAAACAGCATCCAATTCCTCGTATTGCTTTTTAAATTCATAAATTAAATTTATTGTCGTAGCAAATACACGAATTTTAAAATCAGAATCTATTTCATCTTCTATTAAATCAGACGTTTTCATTTGTGGTTTACTGAGATCTATTTTGTGATTTTTCATATTTTCATCAATTTCCAATAATTTACTAAAATCACCATCAGATTTGAAAGGAGGAATAACTTTAATCGCTTTATTGTCCTGTGGTTTTGGCATCGATAAATATATCAAACCGCGTAAGAAATTTATCGCCTCTGGTGAAAATCGTTTACTCAATGTCGTATACTGAAAAGCAGAATAAAGAATATCAAAAAATTATTATTAATTTCCTTTTCTTCAAAGTAAAATAATTTTAAATAAATAATTATTATTAACTGTATTAAAAAATAAATATCAAAACAATAAATTTTTAACGAACCTCTAGAATTAATGTACATATGTATAAGCCCTTGGAAATGTGACTTTTTCTCTTAACTGAGCATCTCAAGAGTATTTGAGACATGAATACTAAACAAGGAGAGACGACCGGATGCCTGAAGTCGGATGTTGGAAATATAAGAGATACTAATTTTAAAAACATCAACTGTAACAGTAAATAAAAAAATATCAGTTTTCAAAGTCATATATTAAAAAATAATTGTACTTCAAAAATATATTTACCAAATTGCTTCCAACATATTTCTTCTTTTTCTCTTCAAATTCATTATGCTTCGTTTTAATGATTTCTTGTATACATTTCTTTGCATTTTCAGCGCTCGCATGAGCCAAGTCATAAAGATGGGGACACAATCTGAAACAAAATTTAATTTTTTACAAATTTTACAATTTTTACACATGAACTCGTCATTTTTTTTCTCATTACATTTTTAATAATCCTTAAGTTTCGAACTTTCAAATGAAAGACGATATTTTTGTTACTTTTCTTTATTTGTATTTTATTATACAAAAAAAATTATTTTCTGTATTAAAAAAATTATTATAACTAAATAAATATTTAATTTATATTATTTTTGTACAGTGTATTTGAAAATATTTAAATAGAAAATAAAATTCGTTCTTGTGAACATTCAAAACTTTAGGAACGTCATTTTTAAATTTGGCAAAATCAAAGAAATTAAAAGTAATTTTTAATTTTTAAAGAAAGCCAAGCCTCGGATCGACTCTATAAAAAAGTCGCTTTAGTCGATTACAGATTAAAAAAAAGTTGAAAAAGTCATTTATTTTATTCAGTATTGTCACAAAAATTTTATTTTGAATTTTCCTGACCTTTCACTGATTTCTAAATTCAATTATTCAAAAATTATTATATAATTAAATAGTTTTGTTAAATAAAAATATTTAAACTCGTTATTTACTTTTTTACATTAATTGTAATTTTAAAATTAGTTTAAATTTTTAAATTAAAAAAATTCCAATTTCAATAAATCTGCAAAATTAAATGATTTGTAAAAAACAAAAATTGCAATTCTTCCAAAATTGAGTTATTTTCAAAGATATTTAATTGAACTTCTCTAAATCAATTATTTTGAATAATTTTAAGGAAATTTTTCATGAATTCAATTATTTAAATACAGAAGTTCAATTGTTTTTATAATAATTGAAACTAAAAAGCCTCATGATTTCTCTTTAAAGAATTATTATCTTTGCTGAATTATTGAAATTCATCAAATTTAACTTATTAAATTATCAAATTTTGAATAATTATAATAAAAAAAATTTTTAAATTAGTCTTTTAAAAATATTTCTATATTTTTGAATGATAATAAATTGTTTAATTATTTATTTTACAAATTTACGGGCAATGAAAAAAAGTTACAAATAATTAAGATTTATCAACGTTTTTTGACAATAATTGAATTTACAAAAAGAAGTTTTGGAAAATATGAAAAAATATTCAATTTACTTTGAAGAATTTTAATTAAAAATTTCTAAAATAATTATTATCTTGAAAATTTCAATATTCTAAAAAATTAGATTTTTTATAATAATTGTATCTGCAAATTTTAATGTATAATTAAATTTTTGCAAATATTTGAATTTTCGGAAATATGTAATTGAAAATATTGAAAATAACAATTCAATTAAAAAAATGAAAACAAATTCGAAGAATTACTTTTTAAAAATAATATCTTAATTTACTTTTTTTAAAAACTAATTTTCATTCTTATTATTCATTAGAATTTTTAAGAAATCAATTATATTCAAAAATTTGCAATTAACTTTTTCAAAATTTGATTTTTAGAAATTTTAATGAAATACTTCAAAAAGAAATTAATTAATCCTTTATAATTTTACAAAATTTCAATTATTTATAAACTTTTTAATTATACATTTCAAAAATTTAATAATCTTATAGAAAATTTAATCAAAAATAAATTACGGTTAATAATTTGCATTTTGTACCAAAAAGAATTTAAATTTCAAACATTCTAAAACTTAATTAATTCTAAAAATCAAAATTGCAATCCTTCTAAAATTTTTTTTTTCAAAAATTTGAAATTCTAGAAATTTAAATTTGAAAAATAAACATAAAAATTTGAAGAAAAACTTTTTCTCTGAAGATATTTTGTTGTAATATTTAGAAGAAAAATCGAAAACTTCGCTTTTTTGAAAATAAATCGAAAAAAGTCGTCTTTTCTGAAAATAGTCGGAAAAAAGTCAAACTATTCGCGGTCTGGAAAGCGTAAAAAATTCCGCTAAAAATATAAATATTAATAAACTAATGCTACAAGATTAATGTTAAAAATTTTGAAATATTTACCTGTCTAATATTTGAAAACTCTTGAGAATACTTTCTTCACTCGACAAATCGAAACAATCAATGTACATTAATAAATGTTCGAAAAGACCGCACAATTTTTCTCTGCTTCCTTTAGCACCCAAAGTCCAATGATTGCACTTAATAATTCTCTCGATAATGACCGATTGATAGTGTTCATTATGTCCCCGTAATAATTTATTTAAATCCTCATAAGTTTCGGGAACTTTGTATGTATGTGGCAATTCCGCTCGAGCTTTCTCCAACATTTTCTCACTTTCATTGAAGGACTCTTCATTTTTTCTCAAGGTTTTTAAATTTTGCGAAATATTTTTACTTTCCAATTTAGAGGTTTTTTTGATGGTCAGTTCTTCTTCTTCCTCATCATCACTGGAAGATTCCGAAACTTTTAAATCTGACAAATTGTCTTCGTCTTCCGACTCTGAACTATTATTTTCATTCTCTTCATTGGAATTATCATTCAGACTTTGTTCTCTTTTATTTAATTTCTCTTCTTCCTCTTCTTCCTCTTCTTCCTCGTTATCCTCATGTTCACTGCTTTCTTCAACTTCATTATCTTTTTTTGTACATTTTTTTCCTGAAGGTTTTTCTCCTTTCCCTTGCTCTTCTTCTTCCTCGTTATCCTCATGTTCACTGCTCTCTTCAACTTCATTATCTTTTTTTGTACATTTTTTTCCTGGAGGTTTTTCTCCTTTCCGTTGCTCTTCTTCTTCCTCTTCCTCCTCTTCTTCTTCGTCTTCTTCTCCTTTTTCTTCTTCTTCTTCTTCTTCCTCATCATCACCGGATTCGTCATCAGAATCGGAATCCTTTGACCCACTGTCTTCATTTTGCTTATCGTCCTCGTCGTCTATATTTTCAGCCACAAAACCATCATCCAAATCATCGGCAGATCTATGCTTTCTATAAAGATCGTCCTTCTCGAAACCATTCATTCTCTTCAATCTATCTTGTTCCAATTTCTCTAAATTCACTCGTTCCTCCTCAGCAATTTTTTCCTCGGATTTTAATTTATCGGTGGGATTACCTCGAATTTCAAATTTTAATTGTCGCATAGTAATATCATAATCATCGGCTTTTGGTTTTTCCTCAACTGCATCCAATGATTTATTTGTATTTGTTATAATAGGCAAAAGATCCTTCCAATCGGTATCAAGTTTTTTCGTTAAATCCTCAATTTTTTCCTGTTTTTTTATTCTCTCATCGCGCTTTCTCTTTGACTCGGCAATGAGCTCTTCAATAACACTTTTTCTCGATTTTTCATTACTTGCATTTGATAAAAGACCACCGCCAAAATGAGCTTCTTCTAAAAACTTTTTACCCAATCTTCCCTCACGATTCTCATCATCACCATCACTTAATTCATCGTCATCGCTATTTGGATTATCGAATTTTTCAATATCCATTATCGCCTGACCTTTATGCGTTAAAATCTCATCGTCATTTAAATTGAAAATATTTTTTTTCTTCTGCGCTTTCATTCTTTCTTTTGCAAATCTTGCCAATGCTTTTTCCTCCTCGGACATATTGGGATTCTTTTGATGTAAACGTTTATCAAGGAGAATATTGTCCTTATCCTTGAATTTATATTCCTGAAGTAAAGTTCCCTTTCGTTTGGCAATTGCTTTTGTTCGTGATATACCTGGAAGTCCACGATCTGATTTACTTTTTTGTCCTAAAACTTTTCTCTTGTCTCTATTTACATGTATTTCAAAAGGTGTTATTGTTTTCTTTGCCTGTTGCTGTTTACGTTTTTTAGCATAAACATCGGCTAATTTCGATTTTTTGTTCTTTATTTTCGCCATTGTGCGTATTGATAACTGAAAAATTAATTTAAAAGTGGTATTTAATTGTTACATATTTAAAACATTTTTGTTATTTTTCTAATACAAATTATTTAACCTCGATTATTTTAGTTTAATCCTTAAAGTAAAATTACTCAAGTATAATTGTAAAAAAAACAAAATAAGTTTGTAATTGATAATAAAAAAATAGTAAATAGTACAAAATAGTTAATAATCTCTATAAAAACATTCGTATACTAACGTTATTCCTAAAAGAATTTGCGTTTCTTTAAATAACGAATCAACTGTGAACAATGGGAACAGAATAAATCCAATAAATTTGTCGCTTCAGTGAAATATCCTTTCTTTCTGTGCTATAAATCCTTTGTTGTTAAATTGTTTGTTAACTTTTAGTTTTTTACACAAAAACACGTGCAAACATGAGTTTAAAGGTTAGGAACGTACCGCGTGAAAAACTTAAGGCGCTAAAGTCAAATTTACAATGCTTCACTAGGAGAAACGCATATGATTGGTCTACAGTTTCCGTGGTCTTTACGTCCACCAATAGAAATTGACACACCGATGTGGAAAGCACCCTTAAGCATGCAACATGCTACCTAACCTATAAACTTTGACATTTTGACAGGTCAAAAACAGTGTTTTGAATGTTTTTGTATCATAAATATTTAAATACTAACAAAATAAATAACATTCGAAAATAAAATTCATATAATTATATACTGTGATAATTTTCTTCTAAGAGAGTATTTTTTCGAAAAATAATCATTTAAAATAAACATTAGAATTATTAGAATAAACAAAAATAAATGTGAATACGGTGAAAGTGAATACAAAATGCTTTTGAATTTTTGCGATTCATCTTTAAGGACAGAAGTGAAATGCAGTACAATAAGTACAGAGGGTCATGAAGTGGAGAATTTAGTAAATAAATCCCAAAAGGGTTTCATGGTTTATTCGTGTATTAAACCACCAATTCACGTTGATTTTCATTTTATCTGTAATATTCGCATAAGTCACATTATCATATGGCCTAGTGTTGGTGCACAAAAATCGTCTGGTTTTCAAATTCACACGAAATCCACCGATGAGATAACAGTATCATATACTGGTATTTCCAGTAATGGTTATTTAAATCCATCACAATCAGGAATAGTATTTTATAGAAGTGACCTGGATCCATCGACTATTTCCAGTCCGTCGAATTTTCTCCAATCTCGTTTGAAGTCCTCCAATTTGCGTCTAGTCAATTATGTTAATAAATTACGAATAAGTATTGTGAAGACGGCAAATTCCGTTCCTGCTTTAGGAAAAGTTGAAATTTGGGGACATGTCTCGCCACAATGCGGAAAAGACGTTATCGCAACTGTTTGCAGTTTGTGGTCACAGCGAAATAATGTTTGCGCAACTGTTTCTATTGATAAGAAGGAACAATCTCCTCCTTCGCAAAGTGATAATATTGTTTACAAGTGAGTTATTTACAGAATTTATTATAGTTATTGAATACGATTTTTCGTAAATACTAATCAATTCGTTTTTTTATAAAATTATTCTGTAATAATTTTATATAATGTAAAATTTCATTTTGTTAAATATTTTTTTTTAATAAATTTCTTTTAGAAAAATTCCCGAAACACTGGAAGTACCGGAAGATTTTCTAGATCCAATAACATGTGAAATAATGACTCAACCGATTGTTCTGCCTAGTGGCAAAGTGATAGATCAAAGTACACTAGACAAACATGAACAAAACGAGGCCATCTGGGGCCGACCATCTTCCGATCCATTTACAGGAATTCCTTTGAGCGAAATGCGAAGAGCTCTCGCCGCAACAGCACTTAAGGCGCAAATTGATAAATTTTTACTTGAAAATAGTGAAAATGAGGAGGTAAAAAAATTACCACGTGTCCTGGGTAGAAAAATACGTCCAGAATCGTCGCTTAAGTTAATAAATACTCAGAAACCACAGGAAAAATTACCCGAAAGTAGTAAATCGACAATAAAATATAATCAACAAACGGAGAATAATTTAAAACGAAAAAGACTGCATTGTCATGTTTTACCTTTATTACCAGTTAGACCAGTAAGACGAAAAACAAGCATGACTGTTAATTCGAATACTATTAAAAATGCAAATACAAGCACTGAAAATGTTCAAAAATCATCATGTTCAAATGATAGTTCAATTAATTGTAATTGCTGTACAAATGGTATTATTTATCGACTGCCTTGCAATCATACTTTATGTAGAAAAGTTCTACTCTCCAGCAACAATGAATGCAATGTTTGTAAAATAGCTTTCACGAATTCTGATCCGCAAAGAATTTTCGGATAATAGAAAAAGAGAAATCAAAGAAAAAAAGAAAGAAAACTTTGGTGTAAAAATAAATGTTCATATTAATTTTATATTGTGTCTATTTTGAATTTCTTTATTTGGTTGTTACGCTTTTGCTCATTTCAAATTCCCTGACTTTTCCAGATTAAAAAACGGAATTTTTCCAGGTTTTTAAATGGAAAATTATTCAAAAACATCAATAACTTCATTTTTATATAAATATTTCATCATCATTTTTTTAATAAAAATTAAGATATTCAAAAATTTGAAATCGTTTTCTTCATGTTTTATAATAATTAAAACTTTCTACTTTCTTACTGTAACTTCTTCAAAAATTATTTTCATTATTACGATTATTCATTTCTAGAATTTTCATCTAAAATTCTTCTTTCAATTTTTTTTCAATACAGTAGAGACTCCATTATCCGGATATTCGATTATCCGGACAAATTTAAAATAAAAAAATTTTTTTTTTAATATAAAGTTTACAAGGTCTCAAGCCGTTAATTAACTTCTATTTTAAATTTATTTACACGAAATGTTGCGTTTTAAAGTGTTTAAATTATTTTAAGAAAATGTTTATGTAAATATTTTGAAATATTTCTAACTAAATATTTATTAATGTTGACTTTAAAAGTTTTAGTTTGTTTCAGTCTTATTTTAATACATATGCAAATAAATACATAAAATTATGAATAAAAAATTTGTTTAATTCGTACTTTACTCGATTATCCGGATTTTTGATTATCCGGACAAGTGCCTGCATTCATTAGTCCGGATAATGGAGTCTCTACTGTAATTCTTGAAAAAGTTCTTTGTGAATTTTCAAATTATTTTGTTTACAATTTAATTTTACGAAATTTCGATTATTCTGACATTCTTCAATTAAATATTTCAGAAATTAAAAGCTTCAAATAATTTTAAAAAATTCCATTAAACTTATTGAGAAAAATTAATTCTATACAATTTTTAATTAAAAGTTTAAGAAGTTCAAATTTTCAAAGATTTTAATTTTGAAATTCATTTTTTAACTATAAAAATAAATATTTTATTAAACAATTAAATTTTCATAAAGAATTTTATAAACAAATTTTTAAATAATTGAATTTTCTTGATAAATTTTAATAAACATTTTTAAGAATAATTGCATTTTTGAGAAATTTGATTAAAATTGTATTAAAAATAATTGAAATTTCGCCAAAAATTTTTTTTAAAAGTTATGAAAATAATTGAATTTTGGAGAAAAATTTTAATATTTATAAAGATATTTGAAATTTTGACGAGAATTTTTGTAAATTTTTAGACATAATTGGATTTTTGCGAAGAATTTTATTTAAATTATTTTGAAAAAAATTGAATCGTTACCCAAAGAATTGAATTAAAATTTTTGAAAATAATTTTATTCTTTAAAGAAATTTAATAAAAAATTAATTGAAAATAATACTTAAGTTTTAATAAATAAATTGCAGCAAAGGTTATTAAAATAATTAAATTTCTTTGATAAATTTTAAGAAAATTTTTAAGAATAATAACTTTTTTTGAGGAATTCCATTGAAATTGTCTTAAAAATAATTGAAATTCATCATTGAGTTTTATTATGTATGAAAATGATTGAATAATATATGAAAATAATTTGTAAATAATTGAATTCCTGTGAAATTTTTATTATTTATGAAAATAATTAAATGTTTGCGTAGAATTTTATTAAAATTTTGTTTAACTAATTTAATTCTTTTAGGAATTTTTATTAAAGTAGTAGATATTAAAAATCATTGAATTGAGGAAAGTTTTTGAAAATAATTAAAATTTTGCCATGAATTTTATTCAAATTTTTGAAAATAATTGAATTTCTGAGATTTTTACTACTTTTGAAAATAATTGAATTTCTGAAATCATTTCTAATTCCTTCAAAATTTAATTTGTTTTAGTGTTTTTAACTAAAATTCTTCTATAAATCCATTATTTTTAATAAAACTAGTTAAATATATATTAAAAAATTTAACTAAATTCAGAAGAATTTTAGTTATTAAAATTTTTTTTAAATCTAATTTTTTTTTTACATTTCTAATTAAATTAATTTAAAATTGAAATTTTACAAAATTTTAAATCATAATCTTTTAAAGTTCATCTACTTATGAAAATTGTATACGCAATTCTTTTAAAATTGAATTAATTTTGAAATATTTAAGTGAAATTAAATTTCAAGAATAAACACAATAACTTTAGAGAACAACAATTTTCCAGAATTTCGATAAAAATTCACTGACTTTTCCAGGTTTTTTCAAGGTTTATAAAATTCCCTGAAATTTCCAGGTTTCCAGTTTACGTATTTTTTCTGTTATGCTTTTCTTCTGTTTTTAATTAAAACAATATTTTTCTCAAAAAGGGAAATGTTTTGCAAATAAAAACACAAGTTGTCTACTATTTTTTTCATTGTTATTACTACAAAAAAGAATAGATTATTTGATATACACATAGTAACAAGTTTTTTTTCCTTGATAAATATTGTTTGAAAAATCAAAATGCAATTGATGTTATAATTTTCATTTTATCGGTTTTTTTGTTTGCATCACTTAATTGTATACATTTTGTGCGCGTTGTAACTTTTTACGTTAAACGCACATTTTTTTCCATAAATGCGGTTAAAAAGAAATCTGATAAAAATACAAACGGGAATTCAAATACAGCAGGGGGGAAACACAATGGCAGAGGGCAAAAATTATCTTCTTCAAAATAGTTGATACTTTTTGTAAGTTATCATTAAAATTATAAGTCATACTGTATACCTGTAAAACATTCAAATGTCAATTACACTTTTGCTCTGTTTTTTTTTTTAAATTCCAGAACTGTCACTATTTGAAATTTGAATAATTACAAAAAAAAACTCACACTCATCACATTATTAGACTTCGACCTTGGCCAATGGGGCTTCTTTTTTTTCATCAGCGTTCCCCGCCGAGGTATCATTTTTGTCCTCTGCTGCTGATTTATCGGTGACAATTTCTTCGAGTTCCTTCTTCAATGCCACCTGAAAATCGCAATTTTTATTATTAAATCAAAATATTTCTTAATTATACAAATATTACTAAAAATAGAATGAAATGATTAGTATTTAGTACTTTTAGTAGAAAGAGAATGCAAAAGGAAGTTATAATTACCTCTTCTTTACTGGCTTCATCGAAATTCTCCACGAGATCGGGAACATCATCATCTTCTTCTAGGGAAGTTTTGCCAACTCCGCTGCCTGCAACGGTGCTTGCCAATCTCTTCAATTGAGTCAATCCTTCAGGTCCAAGCTGACTTAAAATTCCGGGCAACATTTCGGTAATTTGCTTGTTTTCACCATGACCAGTAATGGCAAATGTATTCGCGGCAAGACTCGCTTGGGCTTTTGGATTATTAAAATGAATGACGGTTCCATCATCTTTAATCATATTAACCTCTTCAATTCCAGGAATTGTATTGACAGAGAGTTTTTTAAGACAACTTTGAAGTTTTTTGTCGTCAGTTGCTGCAGTTGCGTGCACAACCTTAAAAAAACAATTTCACACAATTCAAAATTTATATGTGAAAAAAGTTATTTACATAATTATATGTACCTAATTATAAAAAAGAAATATCAAAATTGATTCAATTTAAAAATAGTTAAGAATAGTTGAGAATAATTCCAGTAGCATGGATTTCTATAATTAGAAAAAAAAATCAAAAATATATATTATAATTATGGCAAGAAATCTGAAAATAAAAACTTCAAAGATTAAAAAAAGAAGAGAACAATTTTTTCGAATAGTTTAAAATTTTACAGAATTACAAACGTTTCGAGGATAATTATGTGAATCATTTAGGATTACAACACAAAGTCAGTGACATTACCAAATAGGTCCATTTGATGTACTTTCGAAATTATACCACACACAAAGAATTATTTTTATCTCAAGGCATTATTTAAATTAACTTCTTTGTTTTTTTGCGATATAAATGAATGTATCGTCCTTGAAAAATGAGAATTCCTCTCAGGACATGCAAATAGAGATTAATAAAAGCGCGAAATAAATGGATTTATAGCGCATCCTTTGTATGGTCATTCTTAATATCAACACTCCGGACAAGGAAATAATAAAAAAGAGAGAGAAAAAAATCACATAAACTTGAAAGAAAAAAATAAATTCTTATTTAATGAATAATCCACATTAATTAAATTTGCCAGAATATAAAAGCCAAATACCTTCTTCTTACGACGGGGTGTTCCCTTTCCACCGATTCGCACTTGAGCTTGCAACTTCTTCAATTTTTCAGGATTCATATTGTTTGGTATTCCAAAAAATAGAAATAACTCTAGTAAAGGACAAAGTCTCTGGTTAAAACTTGTGTCAAATCTTAAACTGAAAATTCGAGAACAATGCAACCGGTATAACTAAACACGTGCTCAAGACTCGTCGAGAGAAACGAGAAAATGGAAGTACGCTTCCACATTCACTACGTTAATCCAAACTTCCGGCAGCTGGAGCAATTTCCGCTGCGATAAATTTTAAATATTCAAAGATAAATTTTCAACTAAAGTCTATTGTCACTAAACAATTGTTAAATAATTCTTTAATGGTGTTTGGACCGTACATTATGTTTTATTTTATTTATTAACAAAAAAATATAGTTTTTAATCACTCGTTTGAATTTAACAGTGAAAGGCCTTGATTTCTAAAAATAAATACCCATTTGAAAAAACTTAATGAGTTGATAATCGTTAATGACAAGCGTACTTTCACGTCTATTTTGAACAAAAAATTAAATTTATACAATTCGAATAACTCGACATTTAAATTAAAAACAATAAATATTAGAAATAATTTTTTTTACATTTTTTCCCCCGACCTTGATGCTAGAAACCAATGAAATTTTGGCGGTTATTTTCAATGGATTGACCTTTTATCACAGTAAAAAAAAATGATTCACTATTATTATTTCACTGTGTGACATTAAATATAGATAGTAATTTTACATTTTTACAAGAAATTTTTTCCAAATTTTGCAATAATTAATAAATTATTTATACTTCTTTACGTTGCAGAAATTGGACAATTTTTCAAAAATTCAACCAATTGTATGAGTGCAATAGGCAATGATGCATTTGGATTGGCTGAAAATACATTGTGGCTGGCACCTTAAAATGTCAAGAGTTTTTTAACAGTTTTTCTATGTCTTTGTACACAAACACAAAGTATGGACCTTGGACATTATAATATACATATCTTTTACTGGATTTATTGTAAATAATCTGAAAATTATTCTTTGTATTAGATATCAAAAGTGTCATCATAAAATTTTTCCCACGCTTGGAAAAGCAGGTAATTTAGACAATTTCTTGTTTACAGTATTTCTCAAAGGTTAACACGAAAGTGTTTTTTTTTTTTTTTTGGTATGGTTGACCCGCCTTGTATTTTACATTTCTAATAAATAATTTTATTGCACACGAGAAGAATTGGAAATTATTTTTAATTTTCTCAAATAGTGCTTAAATACGAGGAAAATATGTATTTTAGATAAATCATAACCTTAATTTCATGTGGCGGTGCGAACAATATAATTATTGCCATATTCTTGAAATTATTCAGCTGATTAGAATAACAATGCAAAATCAGTTACATATTGAATTTTGATATTATTACAAAATTTTGCACGATTATGTTTTTAAATTTATATTTATTACAATATGCAAGCGAATTTATTATTCTTATCATTATTATTAGATATAAAATTGATTATTTTTATTGTTAAAAGAACTTCATAATAGCAAATTTGTACACGTGTGATTTGTTGACTGTTTTCTTAAATCAACCAGAATGTTCTAGTTTACTTTGCCATGTCATTCATTGAATGAACTACTTTTTAAAATTCTCATTTATAATTGATTACTTTTTTTTAATAATTAACTTGTATTTTATTGTCATATGTTGTAATTATTTTCATATTTCAATTTCATTAAATTAATATCAGTGATTGATATTAAAGTATGTAAAATATAAATTGAATTAATCTTGATTACAGACAAAAAAAGAAATGATGACACAATTATAAGTATACTTGCAGTGTGAAGTAAAATGTCAGGAAGTAGACCACCGCATTTTGTTTATAGTGAAGATGTTTATGGAATAATTCCAAGAGAAATGGATCATTGGCGAGTTGTTGAAGATCAATTCAGAAGACTGAATTCTACTGTAAGACAAGATCAAAACAGCGATTCCAATAATGGTATTGCAAAAAGTATTGCAAATTATTTTTTAATTACATCATTTGCTTTTAATTTAATTTTGAAGGAAACTTCTGCATAATTTCTCCTAAGAGGAAATAAAGTCTTGAATGAAAGAAATAAAATGAAGAAATTATTAGATATAATTTATAAAATTAGAAAATAACTTGTAAGTTTTTTTAAAATAATAATTGAAATTCATATTTGTAGAAAATTCGGAGACACAAGGAGCAGACATATCCTCGGAAGAGGACACGACTCATTACACAGGTTCTGATGCTGCTGATAATGAATTATCAGCTGATGTAACTGACGGTGCCTCATCGCCAAATCAAACTACAGCCGGAATTCCGACCCTAAGTTCCGATGAAGAGTAAGTTTTTTTTATTGCTTTTGATCTCTATGCAAAAAAAGTATTAAAAAATCATTAAATTCTGTGAATATATTTTTTTTTTGTAGAAATAAGATAAAATTTTATCTGGAAATCAGGGAAAAACAAAATTAAATTTTTGTAGCAGCCCTGTTTAACAATAATAACAAATAATTAACTGTCGTATTTTTTTTCAAGTAAACGATATTGTTGGGTTTGTTTTGCAACTGACGAGGATGATGCAACTGCATTGTGGGTGAAACCATGTCACTGTCGAGGAACGACAAAATGGGTTCATCAGGGTTGTATACAACGGTGGGTAGACGAAAAACAAAAAGGCCGAGCCAGTACGAGAGTCGTTTGTCCACAATGTAATACAGAATATATCATCGTTTATCCAAATATGGGTAAATATTGTTCTTATTTCATTTATATAAATTATTATTCATTATTTATTTGATCCACAAAATTTGAACGTTCAAATGAAGAAAATATTTTTTATTAAAAATATTTTCGTAAATTACTAATTTTGCAACAAGAAACTAATTAGAACAAAAGTGATATTAAACTTCCAAAAGTTAATTTTTGAATTTTATATGGAACAAGATATAAAAATAAATTAAATCCAGTGTTTTTCTTATAAAAAAATACTATTGACCGTATTTTGTAGTAATAAAAATTAGTTTTTTTACAATAATTTATAATTATTATAATAACTATTTTTATATTCTAGAATATTAAATTAAATTATGATTTTTAATTGAAAACAATTTTACTTAGGTAGTTAATTTTTATAATTTTTTAATCGACAAAACATTTTATCAAAAAATTCGATAATAATAGAATTCCTTCAAAGAATTTTATTATTTAGAAAAATAACTGAATTCTCGTAAAGAATTTAAATTAAATTTTAAAAAATCCTAATTAAATTCTTTTGAAGAATTTCTTTGAATTGTTTTTAAACTAATGGAGTTTCTTTAATAATTTTAATTGAAAACTTGGAAAACAATTGAATTTTACGAAGAAGAATTTTATTAAAATTGAATTGAAAACAATGGAATTCTTACAAAGAATTTTACTATTTATAAAAATATTTGAATTGTTTCAAAGAATTTATTAAAATTTTAGGAAATAATTGAAATTTATGGAAATATTTCAAAATATTTGAATTCATCCGAGGAATTCAATTAAAATTTTTTTGAAAATAATTGAATTCCTGCAAAGGATTTTACTATTTATAAAAATAATTCAATGATTGCGAAGAATTTTACTATTTATAAAAATAATTGAAATGTTTCGAAGAAATTATTAAAATTTTAAGAAATAATTAAATTGTTATGAAGAATTTTATAGAAATATTTGAAAATAATGAAATTTTTTCGAGAAATTCAATTAAAGTTGTTTCGAAAATAATTGAATTTCTTTAGAGAATTTTATTATTTTTTGAAAATAATTGAATTCTTTCAATTTTCTTGACGAATATATTAAAAAATTGCATTGAAAGTAATCTAATTTTTATAAAGAATTTTTAAAAATATTTTGAGAATAATTGAATTATTTTTAGTGAATATTAAATTCTTGTTGAAATTGAATTTTATGAAAATTTTTCAAAATAATTCAATTCTTTCATTAATTTTATTTAAATTTGATAAAAAATAATTTAATTCCTGCAAATAATTTTAGTATTTATAAAAGTAATTGGAATTGTTTCGAAGAATTTATTAAAAATAATTGCATTCATGCAAATAATTTTACTAAATTTATAACATTAATATTGAATTCTTGCAAAGAATTTTTTATTTAAAAATAATTGAATTTCTTCGGCGGATTTTTTTTAGAAAATCATTGAATTTTTGTAAAGATTTTACTATTCAAAAACATAATTGAATTGTTTAAAAGGATTTATTAAAATTTTAGAAAATAATTGAATTTTGTAATTTGGATAACAATCATAAATTGAATAACACGTTCCGCGTTAGCGCGCGTAACATTTGCTAGTGATTATTATATAATATAGATAATTATTATTTAATTACAGGGCCTTTGGTTGTAATATTGGACAAAATCGATGGAGTTATATTTCGAGTATGTCCATTTATAGCGGCGAGTATAGTTGTTGGTTCTGTTTATTGGACAGCTGTTACTTATGGAGCAATTACCGTAATGCAAGTCGTTGGTCACAAGGACGGTTTTACAATGTTGGAAAATGCAGATCCTTTAGTATTACTCGTAGGTTTACCTACAATTCCAATAATGCTCGTTCTGGGAAAAATGTTAAAATGGGAAGATCAAGCATTGAGTTTACTCAGGCGGCACGCTTGTAAAGTTCCAATTTTAAGGCACTTCCTACCTAGCAGGTATAAATTTTTATTAATAATTTTCTATTCTAACAACTAATTAATTAAAATAAAATTTTAAATTTAATAAATTAGATTAATTAAAATAAAAAATAAAATTTTAATCCAAATAAAAATTGTTTCTAATTTGAAAATCAATTTTCAGTTATTCAGACGATGAGAGAACACAATCACAGGAAATTCCACCAATGAGTGATCCAGTTTCTGTGACGAGAGTTTTATGCGGCGCGTTATTATTGCCAACAATTGCAAGTATTTGTGGCAAAATATTCTTCGAAAGTATAAGTTCAAATTTTCAAAGAACGTTACTTGTAAGTAGATGAAAAATTACTAATTAATCTCTTTTATAAAATTTAATGTCTTTACATCTTTAGAATTTGAATATTAATTTTTCAGGGAGGTGTGGCCTTTTTGTCAATAAAAGGTGCATTTAAAATTTATCACAAACAACAACGATACGTTAGACAATGTCAAAGACGCATAATGGATTATACAGACACGAATGTTGCAATTTATCGAAGACAGAGGAACGCTGAAAACCAAACTGATAATTAAAAAGTGTTTAAAAAGAGAGGTGATTTTAAAGAAGAAAAAAAAAAACAAATTGAAACTATTTTAGTTTCATGTTAAAAATTGAAAATGACGATTAAAAACGATCCCTTAAAAAACACGCAGTGAATGTATACGTAATTCTTTTAATTTAAACTGTTAAAGTTATAAAACTAAATGCAAAGAGAAATATTACTGATCATCCCCCATTTATAGAAAAACAAAAGTGATAGTCAAGTTCCTGAGAAATTACTCCCAACTTTTTAGGTTTTTAACATTCCTGTATAAAATACACGCAAGTTATGAACCTTATTAATGTCCTCGCGTTAAAAATATAGGAAAAGCAATTTAGACTTATGATAATTTCATAATTTCTCCATTTTTTCGTCAGGAATATAAAAAAAATATTTTGAATTGTTACTGAAAGAAAAAAATGATTATACAAATTATAGAATTTTAATCATTTTAAAAACTATTTATATAAAAAAAAATTGTTGTGAAAATTGTATAGAAAATGTGGGGAAATTGATATTTTTTTAATTTTATTTATTTAGACGAATTTTTTTTTGTTTTTTTGCATAATGAAAACTTTTTTTCTATTATAAGTTATATGGCTTTTTCTATTTTTCCCCCGTAAAGGAAATTTCAATAAACCATCATATTGAATATTAATTACTAGGAAATGTTGCTAATAAATTTATTTTTCTTTCCATCAAATTTGATTAGAGTAAAATGAAACTTTCTGCAAAACGTCCTCGAAAATTCTACGATAAATTTCTTCTATACTACAAAACAAAAAATCTGCAACGAAAAATATTAAATTTCAATTCAATGAATTTAAGAAAACTATTTAATTTATACAAGAAAAATTTCAAATTGCATCTAAATTGTAAATAGTCTTAATAATGATATTAGAACATTGTCTTTTGTTTATTGCTAAAAGTAAAATGGTACATACTTTGTTTTCAAACAATTATGCTTTGTAATTATTTTTGTTATAAAAAATACGGTACACAAAATACAAACCAGAATTTTACGATTTGTATAATATAGTGTCTGTTAGTTGTTCATAAATAAAATGTAATATTAATTAATGTTCATCAATGATCGAAACAAAATTCTTCAAGTATTTTAAAAAGAATTTTTCCGTAGAAAATAAAAAAAAATAACAATTGTTTAATGGGTAAATTTTTCCCCAGTCCGAAAATAAGGATCAATTTACCTGCACTTCTATAAGAATGAAAAGAAAACTGTTAAAAATCTGTTTTAAAAATCTTGTAAATGAATTACTTGTTATTTCACTTTTGACTTTACATGTTCTATTTTTATTTAATAAAACAGGTAATTTAATAATTATTATTGTATTATTCTTTAACATTTTACCTTCTATGGAAAAAAATATTTAATTTTTATATCTATTTCTGATAAATTACAATAATTCTAATTAATTAATATTAATTTGTTTACATATTTTTATTTTTTTAAATTATTTTATTTACATAATTATTACATTGTAAAATTAATTTTAATTTTAAATATTTTAAATTACGCGGGTCAAGCAACTCGCTTCATTTCGCGACGCATGCGCATTGACATTGTTTACGGAAATCGAAAACCGACCGTTGGCGGCAATTTTGCGCGTCTCTATTTTTTTCTGCTATTATTTACAGTTGAACAGTGAAAAAAAATCAAGAAAAGTTGATAGTTTTTTGAAATAAATTAATGGGATATTATTCTTGACACAATGGTGGTGAAGGATTTTGTAATTCCTATAACAAAGGATGATCTCTTGAGGAATAATGCTGAACAATATTCAGTCAGTGAAGTTACTTCTATTCGTGGAATTAATCAAGCTATTGACGGTAATTTATTATTAATTTTATCATAATTTATTGATTTTTCACTATACTTTTGTACTAATATTTATAAATTCTTCTAAATCAATAATATTTATAGTTAAATTGTACGTTTTTCTGCTTGGAGTTTGACATGTAAAAAAGTGAGGTTATATTTTAGCGTGCATTGCATAAACATTTTCATGAATTAGGAAGTAAAAACCGTAAAAACTTTTACGAATTTTTTATCTGATGAAATTGTCTTCATATTATCTCATATTATTTTGTATTGTCTCTACATTTCTCTATACAATAAAAGTATATTAAAAGTACAAGAAATTTTTTTCAGATTTAAAACCGTGTTGTATTTTTAATTTTTTACGGTGTAATAAACACAGTCGCGCGTCTTTTAATTTGGGAAATTGAATAAAGAAGAATTAATAAAAAAACGTACTTTTTTTAAAGAGAATAATAGTCTTTTGTTAAAAAAATAACTATATTTAAAAATATTTTCTCGATTTGTTTACTATTGTAGTTGGTTTTATTTTATCTTTAGCATTGATAATTTCTTTACATTTTATTTTTTTGGGTGGTTAAGTAAAAATTTATATTGTTTATTTTACGATCTATTTGTTTACTAACTTTTTACTTTCTTTTAGCCACAAGAAATGAACTCCAAAACAAACGTACACTCTTCATTTTGGACAATTTTGACACATTTTTCTCCGTTTTGGTACATGGAAATAAAGTGGAAATACATTTCTTTTTACGGTCTTTCGACAGGATAACAAAAGGTAAATATTGCCTAATTGATCACATTTTTTAAATAAAATAATTCATTTCATTTAAATAACTAATTTATTTAATTTTCTATTTACTTAAATTTAAATCGTTAATTTTCAGCTGTACAAATGCTTATTGAGGATTTAGAGGAAGATTTGCAATCAAATGAAACGTTCAATATGAGAGCGGAATATTTATGTGCTAATAAAATGTTGGCTTATCTGTGGTCTTCAATTATTTGTCACGTAGACAATCATTTTCAGAAAGAAATAAATGATGGAATTAATATAGGAAAGGTAATGCCCAATCTTGTAAAACAGAAGAATATTAATCATTTTTGTTACGTTTTTTATCTGAATTATTGAACAGAAGTAAAATTCCCAGTTTACTTTATATTTCTTTTTCTTCTTCTTTTGAACAGCGAAAAAAAGTCGTTAAGAAATCCGATGCTGCCGAAGAATGGGAACAACAAAGACAAGGTTCTTTAGAATTGTTATATCGATGGTTGCAACTTCCTCTTCATAAATTGTGGAGTCCACCGGTTATTGAAGATTCTTTTCTAAAGTGAGTTTTTTCTCGGAAAAAAATGATTTCTGTTGAAATTAAATTCTCATTTCAAATTGAAATTATTATTCTTAATATTATTATTTAAAATATTTCAGTGTTCTCAGTGAAGTATGTTACAAACTTTTGGAGTTAGCGAAGGAACCAAAACAAAAGAGAACAAGGGACACAATTTTTGAGGCAAGTTTCACTGTTTGTTTAAAATTCTTAATTTTTAATATTAGAAAAAATTATTTATTTATTACTACATTTTACATTCTATAAATATTTCAATGCATAATTGTTTTCATTATTTTTTTTAGATTCTAGCAACTTTGGTGAAGAAGCATAATCAGGGAATAACGAGTGTCATTCGAATTGTTCAGGTTTGTCTCTTATAAAGTTTTTCTTGCCTTTTATTGTTTCAAATTGTTTTGGAATATTTTTCTTCATTATTTAATAGTTTGTTATTTATTTAATATTTTCTTATTTATTTAATATTTTTTTATTTATTTACTATTTAATTTTAATGACTGTCTTTAGTTGGTGACTTTGTACGATTATTTGGCCGCACCGTTAGCAGTTGGTGTGGTACAAATGGCACAAAACTTCAGATGCACGGGAATGATGAAAGAAATAATGCGCGAATTGAGTCAAAACGAACCACAGGAAGCCGAGGCTCGGAATATTTCAACGTTTCTCGAAACTATCGCCTCTACTGCACCAGATTTAATTCTACCAATTTTGGATAATATTACGTGTTATCTCGATCACGAGGTATATTTTAGAAAAAGAACGAAATCAAATATTTTAGAAACAATTATCTTTAATCTGCTTCTAAAATATTTAATTTCTTCTCGATAATTTTAATTTAATAATAAAAAGATTTTTTAAAGAAATATTTCTTCTTTCCAGTTCTACTCATTGAGAAATTGCGTAATGGAAGTACTGAGTGTTCTTATAATAAGTGCATTAACTTCAGAGGATCTTAGTGATGAGAAAAAGGATAAACGCGACGAGTGTCTTGATTATTTGGAGGATCATATTCTCGATAATAATGCGTACGTTCGTTCGAAAGTTCTTCAAGTCTGGCAACGTTTGTGTACAGAAAGTGCGATCCCTGTAAATAGACAGACACAACTTTTGGTCGCTGTCGTGAAAAGATTAGAGGATAAAAGTGCAAATGTACGGAAACAAGCTCTGCAATTAATTCGCGCTTTACTCGAGGGGAATCCTTTTGCAGCAAAGGTGATTTAATTTAAAAAGAATAATCACCAAACTGATAATTTAAATTTTTTTATTTTAAATAACTATTATTATTTTTGTAATAATTACGAATTAATATTATAATTAAAATTAATAACTAGTTGATAAATAATTTTACTTTACAGTTGGATAAGGAGAATTTCTCTAAACAACTTGTGGAAGCTAAGGCAAAATTAAAGGAAGCTCAAACGGCTTTTGTCAGTCGGAGCGAACGAGGCGATGAGGAGAGAATGGAACTATTGAAGAGCAAACTTCCTCATATTTTAGAAACAATTAAAGAAGTTCTCAATAGTGAAGGTATTCTAATGATAAATTTTAGAATTAATTAATTTTAAGTCAATGAAAAACTTATGATAATAACAATGATAATTGCAGAAAATTCAGAAGAAGCTGATGACGATGTGAATATAAACGAAGTTTTCGAGGAAATAAGACAGTTGATGTTGGAGGAAAATTTATTGGACACTGTCAAACGATTAAAAACGGTTATTAAACTTTTGCCAAATTGTGAAGATTTCGATACAATGAAAACCGAGGACAAAACGCATTGTTTGCTTCTAGTTCTCGGTAAAATATTCGCCGAGTCGGAAGATTCACCAAATCAGATAGATACAAATAAAAATGTCTCACAAGCTGTCACCAAATCGAATGATAGAAATCTCATGAAGCAAAAGGAGGAATTAAAGAAGAAGAAACAAATTGTTTCATATTTTGAGGTAATTAACAAAATGAAAAACTATAACTAACAAAATGAAAAACTATAACCAACAAAATAAAAAACTAGAACTATATTATGAAGCTATAACTATAAAATATTTTAAATTCAAACAATCAATTTAATTTTCATTGTAGAATTCATTGACATTTTCCGAGGAAATGGAGAAAGCAATACCGTTCATTGAGTATTTACTCTTTTCAACAACAGTCAGCGACGCTGTTGAATCGTGTGCTCTATTGGGATCAGCTTATCAATTTGAAATAAAAGGAGCAGATCGTGGCATTCGTAAAGCATTGTATCAAGTGTTAATGCGCGAACAATCGGTTCGTGATAATGTGGCAATTGTTTATCAGAAAATATACCTCTGTGAAAATGAAGCCGTTCAGTCTGTACGACAGAAAGCTTTAAAGTCCGTCAATAAATTGATTGATTTAGTGAAGAGTTTAGAACCCGGACAGAGTCCAGCATTGGCACAAATGATAAACAGTTGGCACACAAAAAATGATTTCAATGCAGATATATTACAAGTAAACAATGGAAATCTATTTTAATTTTTTTATTAAACTGATGCAAAAAATAAAATAAATTAAGCCGATATAGAAATATAAATTAAAATAATTAAACTGATGCATAAAAATAAATTTAAATAATTCAACCGAATTTCTAATGATTATTTATCGATTTTTCAGGTTTTGTGGGAAAAGTTTACACTGAAATTACCTGATACATCGGCGGGTGAGAGTCGCATGGCTTTGATGCTGATAACAATGGCAGCGGAAGCCGAACCGGGAATAATACTTGGAAATTTAGACACATTGATAAAAGTTGGTTTTGGACCAAGATCAGAGACTGATTTACTCTTGGCTCGCGATACCTGTCGAGCATTTATGCAAATTAAACAAGATAATTCTGACATGAAAAAGCCACCTACACGGTAAGTTCAAAAAAATTTGTTCTTGATAAGAGAAACCATTTTGTACCATTTTGTATGACAATCAAATTTATTATAATTGTCACCATGAAACTAACGAAAAAAATTAATTTTACAGATACGTCAACGATCATGATATTTTCAAACACATTTTACAACTTTTAACAAATACATTTAGTTCAAAGAATGAAAACGGTTACATGTCTTTCGCCACTGACGCCATCAATGTCATTTATCACGTATGTATTTTTATTAAACTTTTTATCAATACAAAAACTGTTTGTATTTAAATTATTAAAATTATAAATACAATGTTTTCATTTTTTTAAATTAATTTTGTTTAATATATTCACCATTTTTTAATTTTATAAACTTTAATATATTTATTTTTTGTTTATTTTAGTTGGCTAATCAACCGGATCAATTGTCGAAAACTTTGCTAATAAAAACCACAAATTTATTTAATGAAACGAATCAAGATGATAAAAAATTACGAGGACTTTTACTGAGTAGACTGGTGTATCTAATTGGTCATGTAGCTATTCGGCAAATGGTATATCTAGATACCACCGTTTTTAAGGAATTAAAAAGAAGAAATGCATTGCGCGATGATAAGAAGGGTACTAAGGGCAGAAAAACAGGTCGATCTATTCATCATGTACTCAATGCGACAGAGTCTACACCAAGTTCCGCAAGTGTAACAAGACGTAATAAAGAGGTAAATACGATGAACATTTTTTTATTTTATTTATTTATATTTAGAAAAATTTAGAAATTAAAAATAAATTTAATTAAAAAAAATAGAGAAAATAATAAAATTTTGAATATTGTCAATTAAAAGAATTAAAAAAAATTTCAGTTAAGTACAATTGAAGATAATGGAGAGGACGCTTTGGAAGGCGCAACAGCCGATGATGCTGATGCTGATTTTATAAACGCAGCACTCGAAAATGAAATTTTCTCGCCAAATGGATTTCTGGGACATTACGTGTAAGTGTATTATTTACTTAACCAAGTATTTAATTAATTATTAATTTAATTAATTAATTACAAATTATTTAAATATTGAATTTGTTTAATTTATAACGATATTAAAATATTCAGTATTTTTATTAATTGAATACTATTAATTATTTTTAAATTATAATAATCTATATTAATAATCGTTGTATTCCGGTAATCTGTTCGCAGTTTGAAGTTAGTCATTATTTGCTTTTTAGTTTTTTAAATTTTTAAATAATTTTTCTTTTTTTAAATATTTAAATTTTTAAAATTAATGTCATGAAAATCATAGAATTGTTGCGAAGAATTTTACAATTTATAAAAGTAATTGAATTCTTTTGAAGAATTTTATCATAATTTTTGAATATAATTGAATGTTTTGAAAGAATTTTATTAAAAATTTTGAAAATAATTGGATTCAAACGAAAACTTTTATAAAACGTTTAAAATAATTAATTTTTCTTGAAAATTATAAAAACTGGTGAAAATACTTGAATTTTATTTAATATTTTTAAAAATAATTGTATTCTTTCGAGGAATTTTATACTAGAATTGAATTAAAAATAATTGAATTCCTCCGAAGAATTTTATTATTAATGAAAGTAATTGAATTTCTTTGAAGAATTTTGTTATTTATGAAAATAATTGAATTCTTACGACGAATTCAATTAGAATTTAGAAAAAATTTAATTGAATCCTTTTATGAGATTTTATTAAAATTGTATTGGAAATAATTGAATTCCTATGAAGAATTTTACTATTTATAAAAATAATTGAATTCTTCCGAAGGTTTGTTATTATTTAGGAAAATAATTGAAATTTTACGAAGAATTTAATCAAAATTAAATTCTTTAAAGAAATTTTATTTGAAAAATTAGTTTTTTAATTCTATAAAAAGAAATTTTATTTTTCAAGAATTTTATCAAAAAATTGACATAATTAATTTTTTTAAACAAATTGTATAATTTTCTAATTTTTGCCGAATGTAACTTAATATTTTACAAGAAATTTCTTAAAAATTTGGAAAATAATTGAATTTTTAAAATAAATTTTACAGACAATTTTAGGAATAATTGAATTTTTGAGATTAAATCACTTTCAGAATTAATTTAATTATTTTTTAAATAATTGAAATCTCTTAAGTTTTAAAGAAGATATTTGAATATTTTTCAAAAAATCTATTAAACACTTTGAAAATTAAGAAATTTTACAGAAAAAAAGATTTTAAATAACCAAAAGGAAACGAAAAGGAAACAATTTAAATAATTTGAAAATAATTGAATGTTTGCAAAGGCTGTACTGTTTAAAAAAATAATTGAATTCTTTCGTGGAATTTTATTAAAATTATATTGAAAATAATTCCATTCCTGCGAAGAATTTTACTATATTTATAAAAATAATCGAATTTTTCCGAAGAATGTTATTATTTATGAAAATAATTAAATTCTTGCGAAGAATTATATTAAAACTTTTGAAAATATAAACAATAATAAATAATTATGTACTTAATAAGTATTTAACTCTTTTAAAGAATTTCTTTAAATATTTTTTGAAAGTAATTGATTTTTAAAACGAATTTCTTTAAAGATTTTAAAACGAACTTGTTTCTTAAAAATAGTAATTAAAAATTCGATTATTAAATTTTATTAACATTTTTTGTAAATAATTGAATTCTTTACAGAATTTTATTATAATTTTGGAAAATATTTATGAATTCTTTCGAAAATTTTTTTACAAATTGTACTAAAAATAATTGAATTTATACGAAAAAAATTATTATTTATGAAAATAATTGAATTCTTCTGAAGAATTTATTAAAATTTTAGCAAATAGTGTGTTGCACGCGTAACATTTGCCAGTTTATAGTAATAATTATTAATACTACTTTTATTTAACTTGTTATTTAACTTGTTATTTAAAAAAAATTAATTTAATTTTTTCAGTCAGTACATTGTGAATATTTGTCAAGATCCCGATAGATATAATGATGAAAGTTTACAAGCCTACAGCGTTCTTGCTCTCTGCAAAATGATGACGATAAGTTCCACATTTTGTGCAAATCATCTTCAACTATTGGTCACTATTCTCGGACGATCACAATATCCTGGTATTCGATCAAATATTCTTATTGGATTGACGGATTTAGCAAAGAGATTTCCCAATGAGGTTGAACCCTGGACCAGTTACATTTACGACAGGTAAATAAAAAGAACTTTTCGAAATTGTATTAAATATTTTCCACATGAAATTGTAATTTAATAATTATTTTGCTTGTTATTGAAAAAAGACTACAGGATAAAAGCGATTTGGTTCGAAGTACTTGCGTCCGAATGTTGTCTAATCTTATCATGAGGGAAATGATTCGAGTGAAAGGAAGAGTTTCCGAATTAGCCCTCTGCATTGTGGATCCTAATCCAGATATTCGTCACAACACAAAACTGTTCTTCAAAGAACTTTCTCAAAAGGGAAATGCTCTTTACAATGTTATGCCGGATATTTTATCCCGTCTCTCCGATCCCGACTTGAAACTTGACGAAGGATCTTTCCAAGAAATCCTACAGTGAGTTTTCAAATTTTATTCTTCTATTTTCTATTAATTATTGTCATTACGAAAATATATTATATTTAATTTGATAATTCGCATTAATCAACAATTTCGTTTTACAGATTTATTCTTGGACTATTGCAAAAGGAAAGGCAAATTGACACACTCATAGAAAAGATTTGTGCTCGATTCAAATTAGCAACCACGGAGCGTCAATGGCGAGATCTCTCTTATTGTCTTTCATTATTACAATTTAACGCAAAGAGTGAGTATTTAATTTCTCAAGCAAATTACAAAACAAAAATTGTAATTTCTATTAAATATATTATTATTTAAATTTTTCTCAGGTATACGACGACTAATTGAAGGCTTGCCATTACTAAAGGACAAGATTCACAACAAACAAGTATTGAAAGCACTCAATTCTATAATCAACACAACCAAAAAGAAGCCGGAAGCAAAAGCAGTTTGCTTAGAATTGGAAGAAAAAATGAACGCCTTATTGAATGCTGAAAATAATGAAGAGAATGGTGATATTTCCGACAGTGAAGCTATGCCACCCCCGCCTGTGCCACCTTTGAATAAAAAGAAACCACGACAAAATGCTCGCGTTGTCGACGATGATTCTTCTGACAGCGAGGATGAAGCACCACCAAGAGGTAGTTAATATTTTTTTCTACTTATCGAATTAAATTAAAAAACAGATCAGAAAAATCAGAGAATTCAGGGAATTCAGAGAAAAGTCAAGGGATTTTTATTAAAGTACTGGAAAAAATTGAATTTTGAAGAAGTTACAAATCATTGCAGAAATTTAATTATTTTCAAAAGTAATAAAATTCTTCGCAAAAATTCAATTATGTTCAAAATTTTTTTTAAATTCTCGTCAAAATTCAATTAGATATCTTTAAAAATAATAAAATTCTTCTCCGAATTTCAATTACTTTCAAAGATTTTAATAAAATTCTTTGCAAAATTTCATTTATTTTCAAAAAATTTTCCTCAATTCAATAATTTTCAATATTACTACTTTTTAAAAAAAAAATTTCAAAAGAATTCAATTATTAAAAAAAAAATGTTGATAAAATTCTAAGCAAACATTAAATTATTTACATGAATAATAAAAATTTCACAGGAATTTCAACTATTTACAAATTTTTTTTATAAATTTCTTCGCCATTATTTAGTTATTTTCATAAATAATAACATTTTTTTATAAAAATTCATTTATTTTCATGAATAATAAAACTCATCATAGAATTTCAATTATTTTTAATACAATTTTAATCGAATTTCTTAAAAAAATTTAATCATTCTTGAAAATTGTATTAAAATTCCTCGAAAAAATTAATTTATGTTGATAAAACTTTTTTATGATAATTCAATTTAGAGAAACATTCATTTATTCAGTAAATTATTTATTTTTGTATTTAAATAATTGAATTCTCGTAGAATTTTGCAATAAAAATTGATTTAAAAATGAATATTAATGAATATATTAAATGCATTATAGCATGAATTTTTCAAAATAATTGATAATTTAATTCTTTCGAAGAATTTTAATAATTTTTTTGAAAATTTTGAAAAAAATTTTGTCTTGAAATCAGGGAAAAACAAAATTAATTTTTTGTGGCAACCCTGTAAAATTTAATTTAATAAAATAAAATTAAAATAAATATTTAAATTTTTAACTTATTTTTTATCAAACAAAAAACAATTAGCTGTTCCAGTTAAAAAACGTCCAGGACGGAAGCCATCGCGAAAATCCGAGTCAGAATCCGAACCCGATAGTGACGAAAGTTTCGCCGAGAGTACACCGATAAAAAGTAAAGCAACACCAAGAAGAGCAGGAACCAGATCAGCCAGTAAACCAACGAAAGAATCTAGATTACAAATAATAAAAACAGAAAAAACAAGAAGCACACCGACAAAATCAGCCAAAACGCCCGTTAAAGCAACAAGATCGTCTAGTAGAACAGAAAAAAGAGATTCTGAACGAAATGGTAAAAAGAAATAAATATTTACATACCGCGGTTGTTAATATTTATGCAATTCAAATTTGTTTAGTACTAAAAAAATTCTCTATTTTCATTCAGCCGATTCACAAAGAATAAGTGATTCAGACACACCTTTGAGTCGACCGCCGCAAGTAAAACGAACAAAACAAGAAGAAGTTGTCCGAAGGAGTTCAAGTCGAGTATCAAATAGATCTAAACGATACTCATAATTTTCTTTAAAAAAATAAAAACAAATTTAAAATAATTAAAAAGATGGGCGATTCAAATACTGCACATTTAAACCCCACGGTGTTAAATAACCTTCATAATAATTCTATCCACGTTTATTGAATAAATAAATAAAAATGTTGTATAGGATTTAACAATATCAACTATTCGTTAAAAATATCTTTGTGTAGAGTTCAATTGTGTGCAATTTATCCACGGTGGAGTTTGAAAAACACTTATTTACTAAATAAACGTGTGTAGAGTTTAGCGATGTTAAAAATCTGGCAAAAAAATTTCTCAATTCAATTGTATTGTAGAGTTTACCAATGTGCAATTTACCTGTGTAAGATTCAAATATAATTATTTTAATTGTAACTGAAAAATAATAAATCTAATACTTATAAATCCGTTTAGTTTCACAAGGTAAAAAATTAAATTAAAACTCAAATTTCCCACAGTTCAATTAGTATAAAATTTAACATTATCCGTCGTATAAGGTTCTAATATCGTAAAGTTTAAATTCGTAGTATTTGAACCGCGTCTATAGAACAATTTTAAAAAAAAAATGAAATAAAATGTTTAATTAAAAAAAAAATTTTAAGCTAATTACGCATTGTAAGAATAATTTGTAAATTCAATCAAATTTTTTCAATATATTTACATCGAGAGTATTTTTATATATATAGATGATATGTAATAATAAGTCATTATTAATAAATTGTAAAATTAATATACGTTTAATAAAAAAGAATTCCTAATAAAATAATTTACATACAATAATTCAATAAATTTGAAATCTAGAAATCTCTTTTCTAACAATAATTATATTTTGACAATTCAAGAAAATCTTGAAATTAGTTTTTCTGCGTTTCGGCGTAATTTCAGTTTTTTTCATAATAATTATCATCAAGTAAAATAATTTTTCTTGATTAAAACAAAAAACAAATCTATCAAATGAAATCTCATAATTTACTCGAATGTGAATTACAAAAGAAAATTCGCATTGAAGTACAAAATTGTTGATACGAAGATTAACAAAATTGTTTCTAAATTACAATCTATTTTTTTTTTTAATAATAAAAAAGAAATAAAATTTGAAAATTTAGAATTTCTTAAAACAAAAATAACGTAAGATCTAAAATATCACAATTATAATAAGTGAAAAAAAATCTAAATTAAATGTAACTCACTTACTTGTGGTCATTGTTTTTTTTTAAATTAAAAACAAAGAAAAAAAAACTTTATTTCATTAGGGGATATCTCGACTAACGCTTCTTTTGAAAGTCATTGAACGAACTTCAGATCCAGATTTATTATTTTTGAAAGTCGTGGGAACATTTCCAGTTGGCGTTGGACTTTGTGATAATGATGCTCTCTCGTCGTTAGTAGATTTTTCACGTTCAATACGCTGTTTACTAAATTTACCCATTCCAGGTCTATAAATTTCCATTGTTGGTCGATCCTTTAATGGAAAAAATAAAAATGTTCATTTTAAACGATCGAATTTTATTTCCAAATAATAAATATTGAAGAAAATATGTTTTTAATAATTGAATTTTAAATTTCAATTTTTAATTGAAATATTATTAAAAATAACAACAGAAATAAATCAAACAAACTCGTTAAAAATAATTGAATTTTGGCAACAAATTTTATTATTTATGAAAATAATTGAATTGTTTAGAAGAATTTATTTTGAAAATATTGAAATGAATTGATTTTTAAGACTTCTTTCAAGGTTTTTAAATAATCGTGTTTGTTAATAACTGTTACAAAACATTAGATTATTGAATTTCATTAAAATTTTTAAAAAATAATTGAATTCTTCTCAAATTAATTGTAATTAATCATTTTATTATTAAACTAGCAAATGTTACGCGCGGAACGAGATATTCAATTTATTATTGTTATGCAAATTACAAAATTTTTTATTTTCAAATATAAATTTTTTAAATAATTTCATAATCAAAATTTAAAAAATTCACTTATTAAGTCAATTATTTTCTTAAATAGTAAAATCTTTACAAAAATTAAATTACATTTTCAAAACAATTCTAATTAAATTCCACGCAAGAATTCAATTTCAAAAAAAAATTTTAACACATTTCGAAAAAATTCAATTTTTTTCTATTTTAATAAATCCTTCGAAAAAATTCAATTATTTTTATAAATAGTAAAATTCTTCGCAAGAATTCAATTAATTTTATAAACAGTAAAATTCTTTGGAGGAATTCAATTATTTTCAAAACAATTTTAATTGAATTTCTCGGATAAATTTAAATAAATATTTCCATAAATTTCAATTATTTCCTAAAATTTTAATAAATTCTTCAAAACAATTCAACTATTTTTATAAATGAGGCTCCGGATCTTAAAAGGGCACTTTCACCATGTAAAGTCTATGTGGAAAGTGCCCTTTTAAGATCCTGAGCCTCAAATACTAAAATTCTTTGCAGGAATTAAATTATTTTCAATCCAATTTAAATAAAATTACACGAAAGAATTTAATTATTTCCAAAAATTTCCATAAAATTAAATTTCTAAAAGAATTTAAAATACTTTAAAAATAATTCTATTATTCTCAAAATACCTATAAAAATTAAATTACTTTCAATGCAATTTTTAAATATATTCGTCAAAAAATTGAAAGAATTCAATTATTTTCAAAAAATAATAAAATTCTTGTGATGAATTCAATTATTTTGAATATACTTAATTTTAATAAAATTCTTTACAGAAATTTCATTATTTTCAAAACAACTTTAATTGAATTTCTCGAAAAAATTTCATTATTTTCAAATATTTCTATAAAATTCTTCATAACAATTTAATTATTTCTTAAAATTTTAATAAATTCTTTAAAACATTTCAATTATTTTAATAAATAGTAAAATTCTTCGCAATAATTCAAATATTTTTATAAATAGTAAAATCCTTTGCAGAAATTCAATTCTTTTCAAAATAATTTTAGTAGAATTCCTCAAAAGAATTTAAATTTTTAAATATTAACATAAAATTCATTTATTTTCTAAAATTTTAATAAATTCTTCTGAATAATTCAATTACTTTTATAAATAGTAAAATTCTTCTCAAGAATTCAAATATTTTCAATACAATTTTAATAAAATTCTTCTTCATAAAATTCAATTGTATTCAAAATTTGCAATTAAAATTATTAAAGAAACTTCATTAGTTTAAAAAAAATTTTAAGAAATTCTTCAAAAGAATTTAATTAGGATTTTTAAAAATTTTAATAAAATTCTTCGGGAGAATTCAGTTATTTTCCTAAATAATAAAATTCTTTGAAGGAATTCTATTATTAAATTTTTTGATAAAATTCTTTGCAACAATTCAATGATTTTCAATGCTTTAATTTTAATATTGAAAATGTTTGAAAAGAAAAATTATAAAAAAGTTAAGAAACAAAAAAGCAAACAACAAATGTTGAAAATAATTGAATTCATTTGAAGAATTTTATTAATAATTTCAAAAATCGAACTGTTTCGAGAAATTTTATAAAAGTTGTACTGAAAATATTGTATTCATTTTTTATTTATTTATTTATGAATTTATGAAATTTATAAATTTATTTTATGAATTTATTATTTATGAAAATAAATGTACTGTTATAAAACACTTGATAAAAACTTTTGAGCATAACTTAATTTTTTTTAAAATTGTATTACAATTTTTAAAAATAATTGAATCTTTTCAAAAAATGTTATTAAAATTGTATTTAAAATAATTAAATTCCTCAGAAGTATTTTCTTAATATTTTAAAAATAAATTGAATTCTTTCGTGAGGTTTTAAAATTGTATGGAAAATAATTGAATTTCTGTTAAGAATTTTATTATTTATGAAAATTAAATTAAATTTTTGCGAACTAAGAATCTAAATCTAAACTTTTGATTAAAAAAATGTCATGATAATAACAAAAAAATTAAAGACAGCGATTTACAAATAACATTTGCTAATTTTAAGATAAATCTGTTTTTGCCTTTAATTCTAAATAATAGAGAAAATAAATTTTGAAACTTACCTTATTTCTAATACGTCGTTCCAGCCTGGGATCTTTTTTGTTCTTTACCTTCTCGTCCCTCACGTTCTTCTGCAAATTGCCTTGGTCTTCGCCGTCCAAGGATTTGTGACGTCTCAAACAAGCACCGTCTCCACCTCCACCTTCGCCGCCACTTTCCAGCGAACTTCTTCGTTTTACAATCACAGTTTCTTTCTTTGGATCATTCACCCCACAATAATCCAATTCCTTGTCTATTTCTTCATTGGATTTTGACTTTGGACAATTCACTGGACTTTTCTCGTCACCCGATCCCAATAATCTTTCAGTATCTGTAAATTTATTGAATCAAATGAATTGAAATATTAAATTAAAAATTTAAAAATTTGAAAAAATTAAAATAATTGTTAAATAGTTAAAAACTGGACAAATAAAGTAAAAAAAGGATTATTATCGAATTTTTTCATTTTTTGCTATGAAAGTAAAATTAGAAAAAATTTATTTACTCTCAAGATTCGGTTTTTCGTCAGCAATGAATTTCGGTTCCTCTTCTTTTTCTTCCTCCTTGTCTGGAATTTTAATATTTGCAGATTCTTTCTCGCAAATATCTTTTCCTTCCAATGATGTTTGATCCACTTCTACTGAATTCTGTTCATTGCTCTCAGACTTTACATCCAGCGGAGTCTCGTCTATTTTAACTTTTTCTACGCTTATCTCAACACTATTTTCCGTTAGATTTTGCTTTTTTGTTTCGGATAATCGTCTCTTTTCTTGTCTCATTTTCTCATAGCTTTTACCTTTTTTCTCCTCTGCTTTACGTTCTTTAAATTCTCTATTATCTTCTCGATTTTCGAATTTTCTCTCGTCCCTCGACTCACTTCTTCTGTCATCCATTCTCTCTTTGAAATTATCTCTCTCCTCCTTTTTGCCATACGATTTTCTCTCGTCATGCTTCTTTTGATATTTCATGTCTCGATCCTTAAATTTCTCCTCTCTGTCCCTATAGGATTTTGCAGGTAACTTCCCGTCACGATCTCTCGTTAATTTATCTCTAAATTTATCATCCCTTTTATTACGAGTCTTCACATCCTTGGAAATATTCTTCTCCCTCTCTTCCTTGTTCTCCTTGTTCTTATTTGCTTCTCTCTCCGAGTCCGGATTTTTCAGGACCTGCAATAAAAATTCAACTTATTTCCAAAAATTCTTATTATTAAAAAAGATTCTTTAAGTTTCTGCATTATAATTATTAAATTAAAATTATAATATAGCGAGTTGAAAAAATAAACCCATAGATTTGAATTAAACTTCAAGAAGTGTAATAAAATATTCAAAAAAGTTTATTGCAAATAAAGTAGTAACAAATTTTTCCTGTTTGCTAAAAATGCATCAATTTTTCTAACAAAATTTTTCCCTGGTAGAAAAATATAAAAAAAGAACGCTATTTTGCATTCTGAGATTTAATTGCACATAACGGTGGTTGGACTTCTCCTTTGAAATAAAATCGATTTCGTCCAGAAAAAAAACATGAATTTCTCTCTTCAATCACACGAATATTAAAATCTTCATGAATTCTTTCGAAATCCCGATGTACCGATTTTAGCCATAGACTTGAAATGTCCCTTTAAATTATTCATTGATTCGCAACTTTTTGATTTGCCAACATTAGCGAGAATATTAAATTCTTGATATTTATTTAAACTAATAGAACGTGATTCCGATAATGTTGGAAACAATTTATAATTGTGACTGTATTGTTTAGATTGTAATTTACAACCTCGATGATGATGACGATGATCATAGTGTTGATTAATATTATCATTAAAACGATACCAATGACAATTGGAAATATTTTTCCAACAATAATATTCACGTGTAATAATTTTCTCGCGATAATCGATAAAATTTTCGAAATTCTTTTGTTGATTTCTATTTGCTTTCAATTTTCCACGAATCTCATTATTAAATTTTGGCCCCTCGTAAATTTTTCGATAAACATCAAACGATTTTTTAGGTAATTGTATTAGGGTTTTGAGAGATTCCAAATTTATTTCTCCACCGGATGAAAGTTCTTCTTTAATGAATTGTGGACTTGTGATATCGTCATTATTCTGTGAATGGAAGATCAGCGTCAACAAATACAGTAGATTATTAAAGACTTAATTTTAATTTACAATTAATTATTTGTAAAAAGAGAATATAATAATATAGATAATAATGTAAATAATCAGGAGAAAATTTAAATATACTAGTAAATTAGATTCACTTGACAGTGCATTTAATTTATTTACTTTATCTGGAAAATTTGGAAAAAATATAAATTTCTTTCTTTCTGCCACTTTAATTGACTTATAGAATATTTTTCAAATTTATAACATTTAATACTGTATTTGATGGCAAAGAACTCGTTCTAAACAGGGCTCGAACCAGTGAAAGTATTTAAAAATACGAACTTTACGGACCAAAAATGAAAAATTATGGACCAATCACTGACAAAAATATAACCAATCAGAAACAAATAAGAGAACGTTTACTTAAAACTACAAATTATGTTTGTCATGTTTTATAATTTTAATTAAAGATGGTAAATTGATAAAATCATTATTTTATATTATAAGAATATTGTACTTCTTCAAAATTATTTTCATCATTTCAATTATTTTCTAGAATTTTTAACTAAAATTCTTCATTAAATCAATTTATTTACGAAAAAGTTCTTTGAGAATTTTCAAATTCATTTGTTTACAATATTCAATTTTACGAAATTTCAATTATTCAGAAATTCTTCAATTAAATATTATATTAGAAAATAAAAACGTCTAATAATATAAAAAAAAATTCAATTAAACTTTTTCAAAAAAATTAATTTGAAAATTCAATTATTTCTAAAAATTCACGCTATATTGTTTTTAATATTTAATTATTATCTAAAATTTTAACTGAAATTAATTTTTTAATCAATTTTTATTAGAAAATTCTACGAGAATTCAATTATTTAAATACAAAAATTCAATTTTTTATAATAATTCAAATCGTTCATTTTTCTTCTCAAAAATATTAAGGTAGAATATTTTCAAAAATTTTAATAAACAAATTCCGAAAATTAACTTTATAAAAATATTTCTAAATAATTTTTGAAAGAAAATACAATTAAAAAATGTCCAAAAAATTGATATTTGGTAAAATCTTTTAAAAAATAATTTAAATTTAGTCAAATCTTTGAAAAATAATTGAAATTTGATTAAATCTTTTAAAAATAATTGAGTTTTTAAAAAATATAAAAAAAATAATAAAATATTTGAAAAATTTTAATTATAAATAATTTCTCAAAAATTCTAAAATAGTAAATTTAAAAAAATTTTAATTTACTTTGTTCGAAGCTAATTGAATCTTAAAAAATTATGATAAAACAATTCTAAGAATTAGTATTTTATAAATATTGTAATGTAATTTTTTGAAAATGACTGAAGAATTTTTGTATGATTTAAAAAAAAAAAATAATTTTTTAAAGAATTTTAATTAAAAATTTTGAATATAATTATTTTTTTCAAAATGTTAAAAATAATTCTAAAAAATTTTAATGCTATTACTTCGTGTATGTATTTGAATTTTCGGAAATATTAAAAATAATTGAATTTTAAAAAATTAGAACGAAATAATTCAGAGAATTACTTTTTTCAAAATTATTTTAATATTATTTTTAGAACCTAATTTTCATTAATTTTTATTTTTATTGAATTTACACTTGAAGTTTATTTATTAAAATTTTTGAGAATTTCATTATTTCCCAAATTTTCAATTAAAATTCAATAACAGTTAATTTTTAAAAATTATAATAAAATACTTGAAAAAATGATTTTTTTTCAATTAAATTTTACAAAATATCAATTATTCAAAATCTTTTTAAATGTATATTCTGAAAATTTATTTAAAAACATTATTCAAAAATAAATTTTCAAAGTCAAAAAAGTCATAATATCCGAGGCCTGTAATTAAATTCTTTCGACGAATTTTAATAAAAGTTTTAAAAATAATTACACTTTTTGAGGAATTCCATTAAAATTGTATTAAAAATAATTGAAATTCAGCATTGAGTTTTACAATTATTTACAAAAATAATTAAATTCCTAAAAAGAATTATATTATTTACGAAAATAATTGAATCCCTGTAAAAATTTTATTATTTATGAAAATAATTGAATGATTGCGAAGAAATTTATAAAAAATTTGTAAGTAATTGAATTCCTGTAAAATTTTTATTCTTTTATTAAAATAATTAAAAGTTTGCGCAGAATTTTATTAAATATTTTAATTAAATAAATCAAATTCTTTTGGAAAATTTTGACGAGAATTTAAAAAAAATTTTGAACATAATAATTGAATTTCTACGAAGAATTTTATTACTTTTGAAAATAATTGAATTTCGCAATCATTTGTAATTTCTCTAAATTTATCCAAATTATATCGTACAATTTGCAAACTTTTTGTCCTTTTTCTATCAAATTACGGACTTTGGCGAATTTTCGATATAAATAGTCACGAAAATTTTAAATTCAATTTAATTTTACCTTAGACACAGTGGATTCATCTTTCGCTCGTCGTCGCTCTAAATCTCGACGACGTCTTTCTTCTCGTTTTTCATCACGAAGTCGTTGTCTTTCCTGCTTTCGTTGCTTCAAATAATCCAGCAAAGGTGTTGTAACTTTCTTCGGAGTGTCTAAAAGAAAAAATAAAAAGTATGAAGAAAAGAACTGAATAGGACACAAAACAATCATGAATTTTATAAAAACAGAAATAAATAAGAAAAAGAAATAGAAATAAAATAGAAAAATACTAACTCTCGGCAGGTTGATAGGAATATTCCGTCTTCGGTTGACTAGTACCAGAATCACTCTCCTGATTCTTGAGACTCTCCAAGAAATTTATAAAATAAGCATCAGTTTCTATAGTCCCACATTTTAAATCCTTCTTCTTTCCAACTCGTTTCTTTGGTAATCTCTGAAATGGTGCGAATTCAACAACTGCAGGATATTCTGTACCTTTGGAGTCAACGAAAACATAGTTGTCAAACTTTTCCCGAAAAATAAAGATGTCCTGTTGATTGAGAAAATTTATATATGCACGAGAAAATGCATATTGTCCCAATGACATATCAGCTTTCACAAAGTACAAATAATCATAATCTGGTAGAGGTGATATCTGTTCGACAAATTGTTCCTGTGTCATTGACGGAGGTAGTCGACGTACCACTACCTAAAATTACATTAAGGATCGTTTTTTCGTTTCTCATCCTACACTTTTTGCAATCAATAAAAAATTAATAGTAAATCTTAAAAAAATTAGATTTTTCATTCACTAGAGAATGAGAACGATTTAGAAAAAAAATATTCGGAGATTTATTCAGAAAAAAGGGGATTTAAAGATTATTGACTTTTTTAAAGAGTTATTGACAGCGGTGGAACATAACCTACAAATTTTGTATTTTCAATCAATTTCCAATAATCAGGCAGTAAATGTAAAAATTTTAATTGTTTATAGAAGTGATAATAGAGGTGAATAATAAAAATTACCTTTGTCATTGGCCGGCATTTTTCCTTTTTGGTGTCTTTTAATTTTATATCTGTATTTCTTGTATTGGAAGATTCGGATTGCGCGGTTTTCTCTGATTGTTGCGACTCCTCAGTCATATTGATAGAGAAATAATAGAATATTACATGCGTTTATTAACTTTTCCAAGTATTTATCACCTTTTTTTTTTATTACACAGAGCTGCCAGGTACCCTCACCAAACGCAACTGCGCTTGCGCGACAAAAATGCTTCTATTTGTAGAATAAAACTTGGTAAGGGTACTTCTGATTAGAAGGTAATTTTGTAAAAGAAGAAATTGAAATTGTTAAAAAAAAAGGTTTAAAATTAAAGTGAAATGTTGAATCAAGTTAAAATGTTTTGAAAAAATTAAAATTTAAAAATTACACCGTTAAACTGAAACTAAATTTTTTTATAAGTAAAAAAGAGAAAAATGATTTAAATTTAAAGAAATAAATGTCTTTTACAAAATTACCTCCCCTCCTATTATTGATTATTTTAATTTATAAAAAAAAACACAAATGTGCTTTTGTTTTTATAAAAAATTTGAAAAATTCAAACAATAATCAATAAAAGAAGTAGCATGTTTTTTAATTTCTTAAAAAACCTGGTATGCCTTTTTACAGGCTGGTTCGGATCTCATAAGAGATCTCCCGGTATGTACAATGGCAAAAAGCCATCACCACCAGGACCGAATAATGTTTTGTTAAATTATTTCCGCAATTAAGCAGTATATTGTCCATCGTAGAAATTTGTATTTCCGGTTGTTGAGGTTCCTCCTTTTCAAAGTCCTTGAAAAGATTTACTTAGTGCTGAAAATGAGAAAATAATTACAAATTAATTAATTTTTTAATGTTTTCCATAAAAAAAACTATTTTTTAACTATAAATTTTAAAAACTTACATTTAAAAATGAATGTTGAAAGTGATGGGAAAAATTATTTCTGCAATTCTGCAGCCTCATGTTCAATGTCATCATTTTTGATCCGAAATAGATGGTGATTTTTTATGGAATCCTTTGGTATGATTTTTTCTTGAACAAGTGCAAGATTAAGAATATTGCGTCCTGCATTTACATCTCTTTCCCACGTTGTCTTGCATTTCGCACAATAAGTGTAGCGATGGGGACTTTTTGATATTTTAAGTGGTCTCACACAGCGACTACACATTTTTGTTGTATTAAACTCATTTACTTTCACGACTTGCAATTTATCTTTTCCTAATTCTTCTGATCTTTGGAAAAGAGTTTGTTGAATACGTTTCAAAGGAGCTTTAGTGTATCCCTTGATAAAATTAGGTATTTCTGCTCCACCAATAGCAACGAAACAGGGTTTCTTCTTTGTATCACCTACTATCCAATTCACAAGTTGATCAACTTGTCGTTTGTGCGCCGAATATTGATCTATTTTTAAACGCGTTACGGATCTTTTTTGATGAAGTGATTGGAAATTTTGTAAAAGATGTATTCTATATTTTGTTATGCGATGGCGATCTCGAGGATTAGTCATGCAAAAATTTTCCATCCATGGATCCTCAGCAAGTTGCTTGTAATATTTTTGCATGTCTGTACCTTTTTTCTTCATTAATTCTCTTCTTCTGTAGTCGCCCATCTGCCATCTCATCATCCAACTACCAATGTAAATAGCTGAATCCTTTTTTACATTAGTGGTTGGATTAGGATCGTTTTCCCTACTGACGCCAGCCAGAGTCGCCCTCGCACCAGGATCAAAACCACAAAATTTTTTGTAACTTCCAACTTTCTTCTTTGATTGCACAACATCATGTTTTGTGGGTAAATCAAAAATTACTGACACGTCCACACCATTTGTCGTTATTGTACCAGAAAATTTACCACCATTCTTTAATTTTTTTCGACCTCTTTGGATTGATTTAAAGTTGAACATTGAATTCCACCTTTCTTCATTGTTCATTTCTCTTAAGCGCTTCATTTCATCGTCCATCTTATCAACTGCTCTTTGAAGATGATCCTTATTCGTTCCTGATTTTCTTTTCTTTTTTTGTAAAATTGCCTTTTTTTCTTTAATTTCTTGAATAACAGTTGCCACTTGCAAATCTTTTAAAGCAGTATTTGTATAAACCACATGCTTCACGCCTAATGAAATTTGTGGAATTAACGTGAAATTCTTCTTCTTTTTATCATGAAATTCTTGTTGAATCATAATGAAAAATGGCAAAAATTTATGCCATTCTTCATCTTTTGTCAATTTTGTAAAGTCCAATTTTCTTCTATCATTATCACCCTTTTTCAGTAGTAAATCAGTAGGGAATCCTTTCACTTGACATTCATTTTTTTGCAGCAGGAGATTTAAAGCAGCAACAGATTGTTTATAAAATGAAGGCCTTCTTTTTCGAAATTTCTTTTTTTCCTTATTCTTCTCTTTTTCTTCTTCTTCTTCCTTATTCTTCTCTTTTTCTTCTTCTTCTTTTTCCTTATTCTTCTCTTTTTCTTCTTCTTTTTCCTTATTCTTCTCTTTTTCTTCTTCTTTTTCCTTTTTCGATTTTTTTCTTCGCCTTCTTGGCCTTTTTTTATAATAGACTTTATCGCAATGTTTGAGATATTTTTCCTGTCGAACATATCTTTCATCGCAATAGTTTGATGTTTTTTTTTCTCGCATTTCATCTGGAAATTGTTTTTGAGATTTTTGAAATTCTTTTCTTTGTTCATTTTTAATGCTATTTTTAAAACTCCTAATTTTTATTTTTTCATCATTATCATTTTCGATACGGTAAACTGAACAAATTTCTTGAATTTCATCTACTTCCATATGATTTTTTTCTTCGTCTTCAATTTCCATTAATAGCTGCAAATATCTTCTTAATCGTGATGCTGCATGCGTCGTGAAATTTGTTTTAAAGTTTCGATTCAACACTGAAGCTGCCTCCTGAATTATTGCCGTTCTATATTCTCCATCATAAAGTGGAATGTCATTCCTTAATTCTTTATATTCGTTGACCATTGTATTTATTTTCGCATCCTGTTCAGTTACTTTACGTTGAGCATTTACTTTCTGCTTTAATGATATTAAAAATGACAGAAAGTCGGGACCATTGATGGTCCATTTCTCCAACAATGATGGACAATTTTCAACATTTTCAACATTCGTTTCTTCATACAGGCCAAATAATGCCATTGTTGTTGCCTCATACATCATTGATGAAACAACCTTTGCATCTTCTTCAATTCGATTTTTTATGTTTGCTGATTTACATAATTTTCCCAAACAAACTTTTACCGTATGCTTTTCTGTTCCCATTAATTCCAATCTTCTTCTCACTTTATGATGCAACGGTTTATCAATATTTTCATTATCCAAAGTAATTGACTTTCTTTTTCTGTTTGAAGAAACACCAATTGTAGATTTCTCGACACTGTATTTCTTTCGTTTTGAAGAGGGGCCAGCACCACTTTCAATTGATGAGTCAACACCTATAATTGGAAGAAATGAAAATTTTATTAATTTTATATTGAGAGAGATTAAGAAAATATAAAAGAAGAAAAAAGAATACAAAATTTTACCATCTCTTTTTGAAGTTGATGTTGAATGGGAAAATTTAGCTTCTTGCTTTTTCGATTTCTCTACTTTTGAAGAAGTGATTTTTAAATCAGGTCCAGTTGATGACGATAATGATAATGATGTTTCTGTTGGTACACGGTAAACTGAACACGGTGACAGCTTTTCAGGAGAATCACTTGGTGCTGAAAAAGAAAAAAAGGAATTAAATAAATTAAAATTTTTAAATTGTTATTTTAATAAAATATTTTTAAAATGTACCCAGGTGAAAATGATTCATCGTACGAATCATTTTTTCCTTGGTTAATTATTAAAAACTTACATTTCAAACTTAATCTTTGACTATGAAATGAAATTTTTCTTTCCGGTCCTTTACTCGAAGACAAAATTTGCTTTTCAGTCTTTTCAATTAAACTGGTAGACATTTCTTCGCGAGATCTAGTTGGTGCTGAAAATTAAAAAGAAACAAAAGAATTAAAATTAAAAAATTCCTCAATTTAAATCAAATACTTGAAGAAAATAATTTTAAAAAACTTACATTTTAATCTGAATATTCCACTCGAGCGAAAAGTTTTCTTCTCTGCTTTTCGAGGTTCAGCCTGCTCAGTCTTTGGAGTTGACGACGATGAAGAAAATGTCAAATTTTCGTCAGATTTTTGTGACTGTGAGTTACCGTAGAAGAATCTGGTAGAATGTCCTTCACGAGATTCATTTGTTGCTGAAAAAATAGAGAATAAACAAATAAATTACAATTGTTAACTTTACATGTAAATACAAATATTTTTAAAATACATCTGTTAAACACTAACATTTTAGACTCAATCTTTCACTAGAAGAGAAAAATTGTTTCTCCGGAATTCCAGATTTTAGATCTTCAGTCTTTCCAATCGAACTGGTAGACATTTCTTCGCGAGATCTAGTTGGTGCTGAAAATTAAAAAGAAACAAAAGAATTAAAATTAAAAAATTCCTCAATTTAAATCAAATACTTGAAGAAAATAATTTTAAAAAACTTACATTTTAATCTGAATATTCCACTCGAGCGAAAAGTTTTCTTCTCTGCTTTTCGAGGTTCAGCCTGCACAGTCTTTGGAGTTGATGACGATGAAGAAAATGTCAAATTTTCGTCAGATTTTTGTGACTGTGAGTTACCGTAGAAGAATCTGGTAGAATGTCCTTCACGAGATTCATTTGTTGCTGAAAAAATAGAGAATAAACAAATAAATTACAATTGTTAACTTTACATGTAAATAAAAATATTTTTAAAATACATCTGTTAAACACTAACATTTTAAACTCAATTGTTGTTTTCTCTTCATTATGTCAATACAGTAGATACTGGTACATGAATTTCTGTAAAAAAAAATTTGTTAAAAAGACAAAATAATAAGGGTGCAATCTAATGGCATCGTTTTGCGTTGGGTTTTGTAATTAGGCTATTTGGGTATTTTTTTAAAATTTTAGCAACTACAAGCAACTACTTGTGTTAATATATTATATATATATTTTTTAAATTTCCATTAAATTAAATTCACAAATTATTAGAGATCAAGCAACTATTTACAAAAATTATAATAAAATTCTTTAAAACGAAATTCAATTAGTAGTTTAAAAAAAATCTTTGAAATTCAATTATATTGTCTTGAAATTAGAAAATAATCAATTATTTGAGAAAATCATTTTCAAAAAGATGAATTATTTAACAAAATTTTCATTAAAATAATTATAGTTTTGATAGAAATTTGAAAAAAGTCTGCATAATATTATGTAGAGAATAAATAATTTATAAAGTTTCTAAAATGAATTCTTTTAATAGTCAAGTTACAAAAAGCAAAGCAAATAACGATGCCATGGGACTGCACTCGGGGACTTATTTTATCAACGATTATTTAATAAACTGTCGAATAACGTTAAAAATTAAATGTACACACGATAATTAAACGATTTATGTAACAATCGGGATTAATTGAAAAGAAAAAATTACTTATTAGCCGCTTTTTGAGTGTAACAATTTTTTAATGCCTCATCAGAACAAGAAGTATTTATTCATTACTTTAAAAACGAAATTAACCCGCGTGATATTGTTATTAATGAATAGAGAAAAGAAAACACGTATGTACATAAAATTTCAAAAAATTTAACGTTATCCGTATGCCCTAACGATGGGTCTATCGTTAAAAATTGTATTCGTTGCCGTAAAACAGCTTTAGTCTTTTCAGTATGCCTTTAAAAGGCTTTGCCGTAATACAGCTTTAGTCTTTTCAGTATGCCTTAATAAGGCTTTGCCGTAATACAGCTTTACGTCGGTTTGCCTTAATAAGGCTTTGCTGTAATACAGTTTTACGTCCGTTTGCCTTAATAAGGCTTTGCTGTAATGTAGCTTTACGTCCGTCTGCCTTAAAAAGGCTTTACTGTAATACAGCTTTACGTCCGTCTGCCTTAAAAAGGCTTTACCGTAATACAGCTTTACGTCCGTTTGCCTTAATAAGGCTTTGCTGTAATACAGCTTTACGTCCGTTTGCTAATAATAAGGCTTTGCTGTAATACAGCTTTACGTCCGTCTGCCTTTAAAAGGCTTTGCCGTAATACAGCTTTACGTCCGTCTGCCTTAATAAGGCTTTGCTGTAATACAGCTTTACGTCCGTTTGCTAATAATAAGGCTTTGCTGTAATACAGCTTTACGTCCGTCTGCCTTAATAAGGCTTTGCTGTAATACAGCTTTACATCCGTCTGCCTTAATAAGGCTTTGCTGTAATACAGCTTTACATCCGTCTGCCTTAATAAGGCTTTGCTGTAATACAGCTTTACATCCGTCTGCCTTAATAAGGCTTTGCTGTAATACAGCTTTACGTCCGTCTGCCTTTAAAAGGCTTTGCCGTAATACAGCTTTACGTCCGTCTGCCTTAATAAGGCTTTGCTGTAATACAGCTTTACGTCCGTCTGCCTTAATAAGGCTTTGCTGTAATACAGCTTTACGTCCGTCTGCCTTTAAAAGGCTTTGCCGTAATACAGCTTTACGTCCGTCTGCCTTAATAAGGCTTTGCTGTAATACAGCTTTACGTCCGTCTGCCTTTAAAAGGCTTTGCCGTAATACAGCTTTACGTCCGTCTGCCTTAATAAGGCTTTGCTGTAATACAGCTTTACGTCCGTCTGCCTTTAAAAGGCTTTGCCGTAATACAGCTTTACGTCCGTCTGCCTTTATAAGGCTTTGCTGTAATACAACTTTACGTCCGTTTGCCTTAATAAGGCTTTGCTGTAATACAGCTTTACGTCCGTCTGCCTTAATAAGGCTTTGCTGTAATACAGCTTTACGTCCGTCTGCCTTAATAAGGCTTTGCTGTAATACAGCTTTACGTCCGTCTGCCTTAATAAGGCTTTGCTGTAATACAGCTTTACGTCCGTCTGCCTTAATAAGGCTTTACCGTAATACAGCTTTACGTCCGTTTGCCTTAATAAGGCTTTGCTGTAATACAGCTTTACGTCCGTTTGCTAATAATAAGGCTTTGCTGTAATACAGCTTTACGTCCGTCTGCCTTTAAAAGGCTTTGCCGTAATACAGCTTTACGTCCGTCTGCCTTAATAAGGCTTTGCTGTAATACAGCTTTACGTCCGTTTGCTAATAATAAGGCTTTGCTGTAATACAGCTTTACGTCCGTCTGCCTTAATAAGGCTTTGCTGTAATACAGCTTTACATCCGTCTGCCTTAATAAGGCTTTGCTGTAATACAGCTTTACATCCGTCTGACTTAATAAGGCTTTGCTGTAATACAGCTTTACATCCGTCTGCCTTAATAAGGCTTTGCTGTAATACAGCTTTACGTCCGTCTGCCTTTAAAAGGCTTTGCCGTAATACAGCTTTACGTCCGTCTGCCTTAATAAGGCTTTGCTGTAATACAGCTTTACGTCCGTCTGCCTTTAAAAGGCTTTGCCGTAATACAGCTTTACGTCCGTCTGCCTTAATAAGGCTTTGCTGTAATACAGCTTTACGTCCGTCTGCCTTTAAAAGGCTTTGCCGTAATACAGCTTTACGTCCGTCTGCCTTTATAAGGCTTTGCTGTAATACAACTTTACGTCCGTTTGCCTTAATAAGGCTTTGCTGTAATACAGCTTTACGTCCGTCTGCCTTAATAAGGCTTTGCTGTAATACAGCTTTACGTCCGTCTGCCTTAATAAGGCTTTGCTGTAATACAGCTTTACGTCCGTCTGCCTTAATAAGGCTTTGCTGTAATACAGCTTTACGTCCGTCTGCCTTAATAAGGCTTTGCTGTAATACAGCTTTACGTCCGTCTGCCTTAATAAGGCTTTGCTGTAATACAGCTTACGTCCGTTTGCCTTAATAAGGCTTTGCTGTAATACAGCTTTACATCCGTTTGCCTTAATAAGGCTTTGCTGTAATACAGCTTAAGTTCGTCTGCCTTAACAAGGCTTTGGTACTATTGCTTACCTGTAACACAGTTGAGCTTGAAGTGCCAGTCTCGTCTCGGGCGCCTGCTTATATACCCGTGTCCCCACCACTTCGAGCGTCCCCACCAGTGCGCGCTTGTACTACTAGCGCCGTGGTGAATGTACAAACTATTTCAAGCATATTTTCGGTAACTCGTACCACGAGTCGATAATGCAGAAAGTGAAATTACCTATAGTTGTGTCAAATTTCAAAATAAAGAATTTGTTTGTAAAGCAGTTTTTTTATTACAAAAAAAATTTATTGAAATTTATGTTTATCTATATAAATCTTGATAATCACACAAATTTATATTAAAGGTATATTGAAATTGTTTTTATTTTTTAGGTTAAAAATTCCAACCATACGTCAAGTCATAATAAATTTGACACATACCATAAGGGAACGAGCGACACCAGTTCGGAAAATTAATTAGGATAAATATTGTCTTGGAATTAATTTTGAGGTTAGTTTTAATGTTTAATTATTGTTTATAGTAATAAATAGGTATATTTTTTTCTCTTATTTTTAACTCTATATGTAGGCTTCTCATGGAAACATTGTTTTATTGAAAATTTTTTTTTAAATTTAAAATTAACCTTAGAAGAATAGAAAATGTTGACAAAGAAATTACGAGTAAGAAAAAATTTTTTTTTACTCTAAGAAAACATACTTAATATAATTTTTAGTTTCTCTATTTTGATTAATTGTTATTTATTTTGTTTATAGGTTCAAGTATTTAACGATGGGAATTTGTAACTGACAAGAGTGCGCAATTAATCAATGTCGGAATATTGAGAAATAAAGATGTCTCCAAATTTACGTTCTCACATTAATTTACATAGTGAATGAAAAATTAGTACTCCAATTACAGATTTATTGATAATTTTTATTTATTCTAATTTATTATTACATTTAATAAATTATTTTAATTGTTTTCTAGGAAAAGAATTGGATAATAATTTTTGTCTCATTGAATCGTGGGGGAAAAGAAATGAGAAGTTGGATTCTTCTTTTGTTTCTTTTATTCGTAGAAAAATATGATTAAAAGTCAATTTTTTCAAACCGTGTGATAAGGATGTAGTGGAGAAAAGGATTTCTTTTATATACTTTGAAGAGTAAAACGGCTTGCTGAAAGAGAAACGTGCGCAGTTAATATTAATTCTTTGTAATGGAAAACAAGCAATAAACATGCAATAAAATTAAAAATTCATTTTCATTTTGAATATTTTTTTATTTTTTTTCTTTATCTCTCTGGTGTTTTTAGTTCAAGTTACCTTCTTTTTTTTTTTTTTTTGTCTTTCGAATGCATTTCGAATTTTTCATATTAAGTTAATTTTATTTTTCAATTACTTAAAGAACATTTTGTGCGTGATTATTTTTTGAGAATAAAAATTGTTTATGTTTCGTGTTTAGAAGAATATAAACATTTTGTTTGTTATTCAATTATACAAATCACATATAAAGCTTCTTTTATTAATTTTTTTCTCGATTTTCTCATATATCAACGTTAAAAATCGCTCAAATCGGCTTCATTACTAGAATCCAGTGGTGGAATTGGCGGTGGTACATTTTCAAATTCCGGAGCAATCTACAATATAGAAATCTGATAGAAATGTATTAGAATACAATGAAAATGAAAAAAATTATTTAACAAATAATTACCTGAATAAAATTATTCAAATTCGTCTCGGAATTTAATTTGAAATCGTTTTTCGTGTCTTCGTTGTCTTCTTTTAAAGATGATGATGATGATGATGATAATCTCTCTGTTTCCTGTAATTGACTATTTTTCTCATGCATTTTCTTTTTATCACTCGATTCTTCCTCACATTCATCGCTATTCAGTACTTTTAAAGTTATGTCCTGTTTTTAAAAAATTATAAATTTTATTAAAATTATTATTAATTAAATAATAATTAATAATAATATTAATAAATTAATTCTTTACTTTTTTCTTTCTAAACTTTTTTATAATTTTTCTTTTCAAATATTTTCAATTTTAAAATTAATGCATTGAAAATCATCGAATTGTTGCAAAGAATTTTATCAAAAAATTTGATAATTAAAAATTATTTCAAAGAATTTTATTATTCAGAAAAATAACTGAATTCTCGCAGAGAATTTTATTATTTAGAAAAATAACTAAATTTTCGCAGAGAATTTTATTAAAATTTAAAAAAAACTAATTGAATTCTTTTGAAGAATTTCTTTGAATTTTTTTTTTAATAATTTTAATTGAAAATTAAAAATTAATTTAATTAATTAAAATAGCAATTGGATTTTATGAAGAAGAATTTTATTAAAATTGTATTGAAAATAATTGGATTTCTGCAAAGAATTATACTATTTATAAAAATAATTGAAATGTTTCGAAGAATTTATTAAAATTTTAGAAAATAAATTAATTTTTTGTTAATATTTGAAAATTTAAATTCTTTCCAGGAATTCTATTAAAATTGTTTTGAAAAGAATTGAATTTCTGCAAAGAATTGTACTATTTATAAAAATATAATTGAAATGTTTCAAAGAATTTATTAAAATTTAAAGAAATGAATAAATTGTTATGAAGAATTTTATAGATATATTTGAAAATAATGAAATTTTTTCGAGAAATTCAATTAAAGTTGTTTCAAAAATTATTAAATTTCTTTTAAGAATTTTATTATTTTTTTGAAAAGAATTGAATTCTTTCAATTTTTTTGACGAATATATTTAAAAATTGCCTTGAAAATAATTTAATTTCTATATCGAATTTTTTAAAAATATTTTGAGAATAAGTATTAAACGTTTTAAAAATGCGCGGTTCATTTCGCTAATAAGATCATTTTTGTAGCGCAAGCGCAGTTGCGTTTGGTGAGGGTACCTGGCAGCTCTGTTCATAAGTCACATCGACACGCACACGATCAAATTTCAAATTCAGTGCTACCAATCTCTATATTTAAATATTCATTTTTTTAATATTTTAAAGTGTTTTTAAACATATTAATTAGTTAAACAAAGTAAGGTATTTTTATGTAAATAAACATACGAATTAAGTTTAAAGTAAATATTGCCTGATACTTAAATAGTTTTTTTTTTAATTTTTAACATATTGTTGTGTTTTTACGTTGGTAATCTTTCGTTGCTACAGTAACAGGACTGTGGGCAGTCATTTGTTTACGTATTGTTGTTGACATTGTTATTATAATTTTATGAAAAATGTGCAGTGAAATATTTCGTATAAATAAAAATCTGTGTCTACTATCTAATGACGGAAGTTTTTTAGCTGTAGCTTTTCAAAGTAATTTGATAGTAAAGTATGCAAAGAATTGCGAAACGATTCATTCTTTCGTGTTTCCTGATATAATTGAGGTTAGGTTTTTGTTTACTTTTCTATTATTTTCATTATTGTTTATTACTATTTAAATTGTTTGTTTATTTCCTACAATGGTAACTTTATAGTCTTAGTTACCAAGTTAACTTGGTAGTCTTTTTCTTCTTCTTCTTCTTTTTAAATGAAAATGAAAAAAATTGAAAAAAATCCAACTTCTAGAATTTATTAATTTTAATTTACTTTGTTCAACAATAATTGAATCTTAAAAAATTATGATAAAACAATTCGAAGAATTAATTTTTTATAAATATTGTAATATAATTTTTCGAAAATAATTGAATTTCTAAAGAGAATTTTCGTATAATATAAAAAAGCTATTTTCTCTTACAGCATATCGAGTGGTCCCCGGATAGTGAATATATTTTATGTCTCAATTTAAAACGTGCAATTGTCCAAGTATTTTCCATTTCCTATCCAGAATGGAAGTGTAAAATTACCGAAGGCAGTGCGGGCTTAGAGAGTGCTACTTGGGCGCCTGACAGTAAAAGTCTTTGCACTTTATCAGACTTTAATGCAAGTTTAATATATATTTATTGTCATTATTATCTATTCTATTAAGGGATTTAAAAAGAGAAAATAATTTAATCATCTTTTTCTCGAATTAGATACAATTATCCGTATGGTGTTTGCAAACAAGAAGTGTTATTCACATTCAGAATTTGAAATCATCTGCAAATGAAAAATTACAATTCAGTCCTGACGGAAAACGTTTGGCTGTCGTAACAGCAGATGACACTAAGGACAGTGTAGAAATATACAGGACCGAAGACTGGAAATTGAGCAGGGTATGTTTTAAAAATAGAAAAAAAATAATTACAAGGCTCGAACCAGTGAAATTATTTTTAATAATTTTCGAAAAAGTTCTTTGACAATTTTCAAAGATTTTAATTTGAAACCTTTTCAAAATTCAATTTTATTTCGAAAAATTCATGCTATAATGCTTAATTTAATATTCGATTATTATCTGTAAAATTTTAACTGATTAATTCATTTTTAAATCAATTTTTATTAGAAAATTCAACTAGAATTCAATTATTTTAATACAAAAATTAGACAAATTAAACAAATTTACGGACTTTTACGGACCTAGTTCGAGCCCTGTAATTAGAAACCTAGTAACAGTTTCAAAGAAAAGTAAAAATTTTATTACTTCATAATTTATATATTACAAATATTGAACATCAAAACTGTAAATTTTAACAATATGATCTGATCCACAACTTGCTAATTGCAAAGTTGTCTCCTTTTTATTTTCTATTGGACGAAACTGAAGACGTTTCACAGTCAAATGATGAGCGAATGATGAATCATATTTTGCCAATAGTTCCCAGACTGATTCGTTTTCTGTGAGTGTAATTTTTCTTATTTCTATCTCTCCATTCTCGTATCCTATCGCAAGAATGTAGACGTCTAAGGAGAGTGAAATCGGCGCGAATGCAAGAGCTGTCACGGAAATATTTGCTTCGAAACTCGTCACTGGTTGATGAGGTTTATTCAAATGGACATTTTCACTCCATATTCCAATTTTACCATCTCGTGAACCTGTTGTAAAATATTTCGAATCGTGCGACCACGCACAGCACCAGATTATCCTTCCATGAAGACTGTCCTTCTTTAGACTCGCTGCAATTAAATCGTATTTGCCATTGTCAAAACTAAACAAAGACCATCGTCTGTCACGAGAGACTGACAGCAAATATTTGTCGTTCGGTGAGAAAGAAAGTTGTGTCACTGTCAATTGATGGGCGATTAATTTTTGCAATTGTCGCCATGTTTTTGTATCCCAAATTATAATTGCGGCGTACTCGGGATTCGCGGATTTACAGGCAGTTGCCAGTAGATTGCCATCGTGTCTGGCTGACATTGTGAAGACTTCGTAGCCGTGTCCGTAGAGTTTTTGTTCTTCTGGCCAGAGTGTGTGTTGTATGAGTTCCTCCTCGACTGGCGGTCGTTCGTATTTTAAATCACGCGAACTACCAGCGTGAGTTTCTATTTCTTTCAAATCCTGTTCGAAAATTGCTTTATTCATTAGGCCGAGGGCAGGTAATGATGCATTCTCAGCTAGGACTCCTTTAAAATCATCGGCGTAGGAAATTTTATCCAAACATGTTTTAAATGTCAGGGGAGACGTGAAGATACGAACGACTTTCTCCTCGGCACCAGAGGCGAATTTATGGGGTGCCAACATTGTCAGACAGGACATGTCGTGACCGTGAATCTGTGGTCGAGCGATTTCGTGCCAATTTTGCAAATTTTCACTCCATGGGGCGTGAATTCTTGTTGTTTGATCGATACTAACTGTCACCAAAAATCTGCAATTGAAATATTAAGTCAACATATTTTACTGAATTGGTATAAGTATTATATTTTTAATTTCTAATTGTAATTAGAGTTATATTAATTGCAGGCTTCACACTCGATAATTAACTATAATAATTTGAATGTTCTTTCATTTTTCATTTTTCACTTCTTTTCATTAAAAGACTAAAATTTTGTTAAATATTATGTTTTGTCAAATTGAAATTATGCAGATTTTTGTTCTTTACTTCTAAATAAAACTAGAAAATTGTTAAACAACTGTGATTAAGAAATAGAAAATTTATTTATTTTGCATTATTTTTGTTTATGAATCACAATTTTTTTAACAAAATTATTATTTTATTTTAGAAAAAAAAGAAAAATATTTGCACAATTCCTATTTTTAATCTTATTTTTGAAACATAATTTTCCACAGAAATTAAGACATTCAAAATTTTCAAATTCAAAACTTTTTTAAATTAAACAACTTAGAAAAGTATTGTCATAAAACATGAAGAAATCGATTGCTCCGAGTCGAAGACTCGGAGTGATTCTTTTGAAAAATTTTCTTAAAATAGTAGATGTTGAAAATAATTGAATTTGAGTTAAGAATTTCATTATTTGTAAAAACAATTGAATTTCACTCAAGAATTTCATTATTTGTGAAAATAATTGAATTTCACTCAAGAATTTCATTATTTGTGAAAATAATTGAATAATAAATTATAGATTTTAATGATTATTTTGAAGAAATTGAATATTTAATTTTTTATTTCAACTTGTAGAGAATTTAAAGTAGTGTAAATTCTCTCTCAAAAAAAGAAGAAAAATAGCTTTTGGTGTCGCAAGTCTAAAAAAAAGTATCCAAATAGTATCAAATCGTAAAAAAAGTAGTAAATATTGTATTTTTTGTTTTAGATAAGTGCAATTTTCATGCCTGCAATTTTAATTTAAATATTGTTTACACGCACCTTCCTCTAGGATCCCAGGCCAAATCGACAACTTCTCCAAAGTGTCCACTGGGTGCCGAGAGGGGAATCCAATTTTTTCCGTTCTCATCAAATCGCCAAATATGAAACGATCCCTGATAGCCGTGAGCTATTATTTCATTTCCATTCGCTCCGAATTTACATCCATAGAATCCCACAGAATTTCCGCCCACTTCACCAACACGAACAGTTTCCATCCAAATTCCAGTGCTTTCGTTCGGTTCCCAAACGACCATACTTTTATCCAACGAACAAGATAACAATTTCATCGGTTGCGTAACTTTCCCATTATTTTCAATCACAGGATGCCAATTGACACCATAAACCCAACCCTCGTGGCCACTTAGAATTGATTCCAAAACAATTTGATATTTCTTTCCGTCAACTTCAAATTCTTCAGCTTTTGTCGTCAGTTCTTGATTCGAATTTTCCATCTTTTTTGACAATTTCCACAAGCGTATGAAACTATCCTGTGATCCACTTGCCAGGAACGTTTCACCATTCACTTGCATCACATCCATACAAGTGACCCAATCCTCATGACCAATTAAATTCTTAACTCTAAATAAATCACTCTCCAAGGAATTTGTCGTGAACACCTGAATGGTAAAATCATCAAGAGCAACGAATAAAAGTGGCTTATTACTTTCCGGTAGAGAGGAGAGACACGCCTGAAGGGGAATTCGTTTTCCAAAAGAAAATTCCTGGTGTAAAATAATTTCCCCCGTTGCATTTCGTTTCCATAATTTAAAATCACCATTTGTCGAACCGGTACATATGAGAAGATTTAAAGTCCCCTCTTGATTTGTATAGACAGCGTGACAAATGGAAACAGGATCGTTGACATTTATTGTACTTGTTGGTTCGTAATTGTTTTCATTTTTACTCCAAATAATGACCGTGCCATCGGAGGAGGCGGATATTAATTCTGTCTCTGGTTTTCCTGATGTAAATTTAATCCATCGTACAACATTCACTTTATTTGTGTGACGAACAAGTGTTTTAATAACTTTTCCTGTTGTTTTCGTATTAAAATCACAGATTGCTATGGAATTACAAGCACCGTAACATAAAATTCCATTTTTTCCATAATCTGCCGAATGGGGAATACGATTACAGGCACAACTGATGTATTGGATATCGGAAATTATACACTCTGACATTTTTTTTAACGATATTATAAACTAATTGTTAGAAGTTGCTTTGTTTGTTATTGATTGTTGATTACGTTCGTCGTTCCTAACCTCAACATTTTGCCATGTGACATTTAGTCCAAGGTTGGGATGGTAGCGAGAAGAAATTCATTTTAAGCGTAAGTTGCGGTATTTTAACGTATATGTGCGTGTAAACCTGTGAATCGAGCTTAAGCTTTATTTGTAAACAAATTGTTGTTGTTGGAAACTTTGAAGTTTGAAATTATCTCCTTTATAGACGTTTCCGATGTTTTAACACAATAATTAATAAAAATTACATTAAATTTCTACTATTACCGTAAAAAATGATTCGTTTTTGCATTTTTAATAAACGTTCTGTAAAAATAAGGTTCGTAGTACTAATTCAATTATTTTCTAAAATAATGAAAATTTGACAGGAATTCAATTATTAAAAATAGAATTTCCATAAATATTTTGGAAAAAAATCAATTGTTTGAAACTTTTTTTTATCAAATTCTTCGTAATAATAAATTGAATTATTTCCATGAATAATAAAGCTCATTGCAGAATTTCAATTATTTTTAATACAATTTTAATCGAATTTCTCGAAAAATGTTATTAAAATTCGTCGAATGAATTCAATTACTTATTTAAAAAATTGTTGATTAAATTATGTATAAGAATTCAATTCTAAGAAACATTCAATTATTCAATAAATTATTTATTTTTGTATTTAAATAATTGAGTTCTAGTAAAATTTTCTAATAAAAATTGATTTAAAAGTTAATTTTAGTTAAAGTTTTAGATAATAAAATGAATTCTTAAGAAGTTATTATTAATTGCAATTTTTAGAAATAGTTCAATTTTGTAAAAGTTTCAAATTAAAATCTTTGAAAATATGAATTTTTCATACTTTTAATTAAAAATTATATGTAACTAATTTTTTTCAAAAAGCCTAATCAAAAATTTGTAAAATTATTTCAAGTTTTTTTTCTAATGTATATTTAATTGAAGAATTTTCGAATTATTGAAATTTTACATGTAAAATTAAATTGTAAACAAATGGATTTAAAAATTATAAAAGAAATCAGGGGAAAGTCAGGGAAAAATAAAATTAATTTTTTGTGGCAACCCTGAATAAATAAATACTAAATGATTTGAATTTAAATAATATAAAAAACAATTACTTAATTTCTTTTTCTTTCCAGAAACTCATATGTGAGCGGATAAGTTCAATAAACGGTTTATGTTGGTCACCAAATGGAGAAGCACTATGTATCTGGTGTTCCAATAGCGGAGAATCTAAATTAATTATTTATTCAACAATTTCGGAAAGTCACATTGGAGTTTTTTGCCCAAACGATCAGAAACATGACGAAAAAGAAAATATTTTTCACAAAGAACTCAGGGGAATTGAATTAGTTAAATGGATGCCCAGTTCTCAATTAATTGCCATTTCTGGTCACAATGAAATGGTACTGCTTTTAATTAATGACTTTTTGGAATCTTTAACACAGAATTTAATAATAACTGTTATTTTTTTTTAGAATATTAACATAACAGTTAATTATTAATCAGGCCTCGAATTCTATGCCGTTTTTTTACTTTTTTGACAATTTTTTTTTAAATTCGATTATTTTCAATATTTTTAATTCAATATTTTATTAAAATTTCTCGAACTTATTCAAATATTTTTGAAAATTATATTATATTCTTCAGACGAATTCAATTATTTTTATTACAATTATGATGAAATTTCGCGAAAAAAAATTTAATTTTAAAAATTTTAATCATATTTTTCGAAACAGTTCAATTATTTTCAAAAAATTTTAAAGAAATTCTTCCTAAGAATTCAATTAATAAATTAGATAATAAAATTATTCGCAAGAATTTAATTATTTTTAACACAATTTTAGTAAAGTTTCTCATAAGAATTCAATTCTTTTCAATAAAATTTGAATTTAGTTATTAGAAAAAATTTAATTTAAAAAATTTCAATAAAACTTTTCGTAAGAATTAAATTGTTTTTGAAAATTACGATAAAATACTTTATCAGAATTCAATTATTTTCATTATAATTATTATAAAATTTCTAAAATAAATCAAAATTTTAAGATTAACTTTTAAAAATTTTTAAAGAGATTTTTCTCAAGAATTAAATTATTTTAATAAATGATAAAACAAGTTGCAGGAATTCAGATAGTTTTAACACAATTTTAATAAAATTTCTCGAAAGAATTCAACTTTTTTCAATAAAATATAAATTAAATTATTAGAAAAATATTTCATTCCAAAAATTTGAATAAAATTCTTCCTGTGAATTCAATTATTTTCAAAAGTTTTGATAAATTTCGTGAATTCTGTTATTTTAATAAATAATAAAATTATTTGCAGCAATTCAATTAGTTTCAACACATTTTTAATAAACTTTCTCGAAATAATTCAATTCTTTTCCATGGGATTTAAATGAAATTATTAGAAAAATATTTAATTCAAAAAATTTTTATAAAATTCTTCGTAAGAATTAAATTATTATCAAAAGTTTTGATAAATTTCGTGAAAAAGAATTTAATTTTTTTTTGTTAGAATTTTAAACAAAATTATTGAAGTTTTGAATAATTTTATTCAAAATTTCCAACAAATTTAGGTCTTTAAATAAATTTTTGATTCAAATTTATTTAAGATAATTGAATTCTCGAATTGATTTAAAAAATTTCAAACTATTTGTAATTTTAGAAACACCAAAGAATTACAGTTGCAATTTTTAGAATTAATTGAATTTTTGTATTTGAATAATTAAATTTTTCAAAAAATTGCTGAAAATTATTAAAAATAATTTATTTCGATGAGAAGTTTAGTTGAAAATTATAAAAAATAGATAATTAAATTTTCGTAACAATACCTACTGAATAAAATCTAAGACTTTCTCAACTTTTTTTTAATCTTTAATCGACTAATGCGACTTTTTTTTACGACTTACAATTAAAGTCGATCTGAGGCCTGTAATATATTTTTTAGAACCATTAACATAAAAGTAAATTATATTATATTATAAAACTCGTGCTTTATGATTCTTTTTTTACAGGTCGTTTTGATAAACTGCATAACTTGGAAACCTTTCTTGCAACTACATTGCGATCCTGTGATTACAGACAGTCATTGCCATAATAAAGTTTTTAGGGAAATTGTCATTCATAATAAGGATCCAAATCTTGTCAATCCACCAAGACCGAAACACAATTGTAAGTATTAATCGAATATTATAACTCATTAATTTATCTTAAAAACTAAAAATTTACTCCAAAAAGTTTGAATATTAAAATGTACGAAATATTTTTCATTAAATCTATTTTTATAAATTATTAATTGTAATAAAAATTAGAAACTGAAATTAAACATTTGGAAACTATCAAATTAATATTTTTGACAAATAAGGATTGTAATAAAATTTAATTTGAAAGAAGAAATAAAAATATTTTGTTTATTTAAACTGTCAGTACTTTAGGAACATAAAATATAATCAAAATTGCAATAGAAAAAATATTAATGAATTTTTTATTTAAAAAAATAACAAGTGAAACGATTAAGAGGAAAATTGATGTAAAAATATGTTTTTGATATTTCAGTGGAAGAAATGTTGACTCGACCAATAAACATACCAATAAGTAAAAAAGACTGTACAAAAATTGCTCACTTCGATATTTTGGAATTCAGTGTATGTGGTCATTTTTTGGCAATTAGGCATCAAATATATCCCACAACTCTGTGGATATTAGAAATTAAAACGGGAGATGTGAATTTTATTCTCCTACAAAACAGCATTTCAGGTAAAATATATTTTTTACTTTACGTAAAGAAAGTACTCAAATTTTGCATAAGTGAAAAATTCACAAGAATCAACAATTGAAAGACAAAAAATACTTTTTACAAAAAAAATAGAATTTCTTGTTACCAAATTTTCTTTTTTATAAATTTTGTAAATTTTGTAAATCTTGCAAATTAAAATTATTGGTCAAAAAAATTTGTAAAAAATTTTACACACAAAACTTAAAAAATATTTCTTTTCCAATTTGTGAACGTTGTGAACTTCACTTACTTTAAATTTTAGTTTGTATAATAAAACAAAAACTGAAACTTTCAATAATTTTTTTCCAGCTGTAAAATGGAGTCCAATTTCTCCTCGTCTATTAATTCTCTCAGAGAGTAGTCAAATTTTCTTCTGGACTAAAAATGAAGCAATTTGTCGAAATGCCCCGAAGGATATAACAATTTTAAATGCACAATGGCATCCAGCTGGGAAATCTGTCGTCCTTCATGGATACAATAAAGCAGTGTTACTAAATTTAGACAATATTTAAGTATTAGGTTCTACTTTCGATAACGAAAAGGTATGTTTTTATTTATAATTATTATTTATTCACTTTCATCTTGTTTTTCAAATTAAATTTATTTTCTCTTTATAATACACGCTGTATTTTTAATTTAATCCGCGAAATATTGGACCAATTTCTTTTGGTAAAGTTCCACATCAAATGCTTGAATAATCCTCGCATTGTGCGCTTTTCCAGTAATATTTATATAATCAACAAGCACTGATCCTTGAGCAGCTCCATCAAAAACTGGAGTCACATTTGTTAATAATGATTTTAATATCAAATTCGGCCAACAAAATGCAGCAATAATTCGTCCATCGATCGCTGTCCAAGAATCAGTATTCATTAGGAAAATTTTCTCCGCATTATTTAAAAATTCCACGGCTTTTGATTTTAGTTTTCCGAATAAATTCGTTCGCCAAGTCTGAAAAAATGGGCAGTATAAATTTCAATTAGTTATTAAAGAATTTAATTAAAATTAAGTTCTCAAAAGAATTTTGAGGAAGTAAATTCTTTTCTGTACATATATTTAATAGAGGAACATAATTACTTTGAGAATTGGAGATTCAGTCACGATTTCCCAGGGCATTAAGATAATTGGCTTTGTAGTGGAATTAAAGACGATAAAACTACTTTCAGGATCAGTTCCAATGTTAAATTCAACGTTTGGACTGATATTTCCAGTGCCATAGACACTTGAACCAACAATGTGAAGTTCTTTGACTAAACTAATGAATGTTCGATCTAATTTAATTGCCAATGCAATGTTCGTTAGAGGTCCAAGCGCAATAATACTCACTTCACCTAGAAAAATATTTTCTTTGTGATTGTTGAAAATTTGCAGCAGAAGAGATATTTTTTTATTAAATCTTTTCAAATTCAGGCTTTGGAAGAATTCAATTACTTTCATATATAATAAAAATCTTTGCAGAAATTCAATTATGTTTATAAATAATGTTAGAATTTTTCGCTGATTGAGAATTTTAATTATGAAAGTCGTTCCATGAAAACTACTTTCATAATTATATATTCATAAATAATATAATTCTCACTGGATTATAATATTCAATTATTTAAAAAAAATTTAATTATTTTCGAAAATTTTATTAAAATTCTTCACTAGAATTAAATTATAAAATTCTTCGCAAGATTTTTATTATTTTCAATACAATTTGAATTATATTTCTCAAAAAATTCAATTATTTAAAAAAATTACATTAAAATTCTTCGGAAGTATTAAATTATTTTCGATACAATTTTAAATGTATTCCTCGAAAGAATTCAATTATTTTCAAAAATTTTGATAAAATTTGTTTATATCAAATCTGTTATTTTTAATATAATTGTAATTAAATTCCACTAATAAATTCAATTATTTGAAAATTTTTTAATAAAAATTCAATTATTTTCGAAAATTTTAATAAAATTCTTCACAAAAATTCTATTTTTTTATTTTTTGCAAATATTTAATTATTTTTATAAATACTAAAATTCTTTGCTGGATATTTCAATTATTTTGGATTCTATTTAAATTGTATTCTTCGAAACAATTCAATTATTTTAACAAATTGTATTAAAATTCTTCGAAATAATTCAATTATTTTCAAAAATTTCGTTCTAATTCTTTATGAAAATTTAATTTTTGAAATAGCTATTTATTTTCTTAATAATTATTTATTTTTGTATTTGAAATATTTGAATTCTCAAAGAATTTTCTAATAATAATTGATTGAAAAATAAGTTTTCGTTAAAATTTTAGATAATAATTAAATATTAAAAGGTATTTAAATTGAAAATAATCGAATTCTAGAAAATAATTTGAAAAAGTTTAAACAATTGTAAATTTTGTCAAATTTCATTGAAATAAATCTTATTTTTTGACTTTTAACCATTATTATTTTTTCAACAATTATTATTTCAATAGAATTGTATTCTTAAAGAATATTAACTAACAATTTAGAAAATAATTAAATTTTAGAAAAATTTAGATTTGAAGTTATTACCAGGATAAGAAAAAAGTTAATATTTTTTTTTGAAATTAGAAAAAAGTCAGGAAAATACTGAATCAAAACTTTCAGTTGCCCCTTTTTTACTTCTTCTTTTCATTCTTTAAGCTATATACTTTTTGCTTCTTTTTTTAAAAATAATTATCAATTGCGAAGCCTGCAAATTCAATATACCAAAATTATATAATTGAGGATAAGTTGAAATTGAAAAGTTCCTTGGTGAAAATATATTATTATCAAATTCACCTTTGTCAATTTTTGTTGTTTTGTTTTTATTACTTTAGATTAGATAAGAGTCAGAAAAAGTCATTTATGTTAAAAAATACAACTTTAAAAAAGAATTTAAACAAGTTTGTAAAATTTAGAATTTAAATTTAGTTAACTTATTTATATTATATTATTTATGAAATAATTCATTTACTTGAAAGAAATTTATTTTAGTTCAATCTCACCTGGATTAGCTTTAACTAAATCAATAAGTGCAATAGACGCGTGTTTCGATCTATTAACAGAAAATTTTATTTCCTCCTCAAAATTAAAATCACCGAGTCCATCTTTACCAAAATAATGTGTATCTTCCCAGTGTTTGATTAAAGGCAATTCTGCGCCTCCATAAACGGGAATCTAAAAGAATAATTTATACGAAAAAGAAAAACTTGAAAAAAAATAAAAATAACTATTGTCAACTTACATCGCTTCTATTTGCCACAGTTAAAATTTTAAGAACATTTGTTTCAACATTTTTCACTTCAGTATTTCCATAGGTACAAGTTATTGCAATAATTTCAATACTCTTTTGATGAGCTGCTTCATATTTTAAAGCTAATAAAATAGCAAGAGCGTCATCAGCTCCCGCGTCAGTGTCAATTATTAATTTTCTCGGTTTTTCTACACTTTTTATCACATTAAAAGCATCGCTCTGAGTCGCATTTTTCAAAATTATGCTACAAACAAAATTAATACATAAAAATATTTTTATTCTTTGAATTTAATTATTTTTTTCTAATTTAAGTAATTAATTCCTTCAAATTTAATTAAACTATTCTTTTAACTTTTATTTCCTTAAATTTTAATCAAATTTCTAATTATCTCAATTTAGTATTAATTTTTTTCAATTAAAAAAAAATGTTAATATTACAATATTATAAAAATGTTCACAATAAGAGTTTGTTTAAATATTACTTACCTAAAAACAATAATAAATGTTAAAATAGGCCCCATAAATGTAATAATTTCCCACTTTCTCTTCATCTATAAAGAAAAGGAATATTTTTGTTTAACAAAAAAAAATATTTATTTTAAATGAAAGGACCACGCACAAAATACATACAAATTGGATCCCAGTCAATTTTTTTTTATTTTTCAATTGGGAATCTTTTTCCTGACACAAAAAACTACTTTTCTACGCAGTTTCAAAAAAAAATCTACTGGGATCCAATTTATCTGTAAGTATTTTGTGAGTGGTCTTTTAAATCTAATGAAAAAATCTTTGATGCATTTGTTTTTATCACTTTCTTATCTTTCACCTTAATATTCTGTGAACATATCGTACACATTTTAATTTATTATCACAAATAGATACTTTAAACTGAACCATTTAGAAGACACTGAAGGTTTAATCAATTCGACAGTTTATAAATAGAAATTATTCTATTTGCGAATTATTACTAAAACTATTGAGTCATTGAATCAATTTGAAAATAAATTCTTATCAATATGGTAGAGGAAAACAAAAATTCTCACATTTTGTTAATTTAAATGAAAATTAAGTCATTAGTTATTTTCATATTTTTTTTAATGCGAAACTACGTTCTTTCTATTAAATTTGTTTATTTACAGTACAACATTCTGTATTTTATTGTAAATTAAAAATTGTCTCCGAAGAATTGTACAAAACATAAATGGTTATCTAAAAAAAATTATCGTTAAAAATATTTTAAAATTTACAGTACAACTTGTTTATAAAATTCATTTGTTTTTTTTTAAATAAATTTTCTTTACATGTATTTTTTAAATATCTAACCCAGTAGATTTTTCATGTGATAAAGTAGAAAAAAAACTGATGAATATTATAAATAGTGGTACTGAAATTAAATAGATTTTTTTTCATACAAATATTGAAGTTTGTTAATAAATCTTGTCGCTCATAAAACAATAAGCAGTTATTTTTTCGAAAGAAATTTTATGACTATTTTCGCGTTAAATTCAATATTTTCTAAAATAAAAATCATTGCATTTAATAACAAGCAGTCGCATTTCATTTTTACGAAATTTTTCAATTCGAAAATAGAAATAGCTCACTAGTCGCAATTCTTTTGGGAATTATTATTTACAATCTGTACTAACGATTTTGTTATTCACAGTACAATGATTTTTTTTTGTATCCAGTACAAGCACGGTACGTGATACAATTTATCTACCTAATTTTTAAATTATATTTATAATAAAATTTACACAGAGACACACTAGGTCTCAACACCTGTACAATTTTTTTTTGTTGTCAACTTAAATATAAACTCTTTTTTTTTGCGATAATTTTTCCATATTCCTTTATAACGGGGTTTTAAAAATTCACATCAAAAGGAAATGGAAAATGAAGCGATATTTTGTTTGAAAACATTTTTTTCTCATATTAATTAGCAATAATATTGGAAATATTGTTTGAAATATTCTTTTAATATTGTCGCTAAATAATATTTTGTCAGTGTGTAATATAAATAAAATTGAAATCTATTTAACAATTCTAACAATTTTTCGTTTCGAATGAACTCCTCCGTTAATGCTGTGCATAAGTGAAATTTCGTTAGTGTTAAAAAGTGATCGCTTCGATTTTTCTTTTTTTTGAAAAAATTTCGCCCTTTGTAATAATCTGATCAACGGATTTACGATTACGAATGGAATTGAAAAAATTAGTCCAGGCATAATTTCTAATACCGCACACTACATAAGTTGCTCGGAACTATTGGCACTGAGATCGAGTAGTCGCCATGCTGCTTTGGGATTTAATTCAGTTGGATCTCGACACAATACCCAAACATAATTTACGCGCATCACCTTCTCTGGATCGCCCTCGACAACAGTATTCTTCGCGTCTCTCACGCACATTATTTGTTGTGACTGAAAACTAATTACTAAAACTGGACCCTGATCCATTACTTTGCCCATTGCCAGATCTATATTGTCAATATCTAAAATTCATTGAGAAAATATTGCAAATTTAAGAATACTTTTGTTTTAGAAATGTTTTTAAATATTTAAATACAAGCATCACAGTAACTTTTTTCCTCAAAAAAGGTGAAAAGGGGAATTTTTTTCCTCAAAAAGGGTACAAAAATTTATTTGTTTATACCACTTGCTATTGGAGTTGCCACAAAAATTTAATTTTGTTTTTCCCTGACTTTTTTCTGATTTCTAGCCAAATTTTGACCTTTTCCCTGACCTTAAAGAATATTCTGATTCACTCTAAAAATAATTAGATACTAAAAAAAATGTTCCATTACATTTATTTACGAATTTCTATAATTGTAAAATTATTCGAAAACAGTAATAACTTCTTTTTTAAAAAACATATTTAATCATTATTATTTTTCCATAGGAATTAAGATTTTCAAAACATGAAGAAAGTGATCACTCCGAGTCTTCGACTCGGAGTGATCACTTTCTTTATATTTTATAATAATTAAAAATGACCGAGTGATATAAGATCATTATTTTGTACTATAAGAAATATTTTTACTGTAACTTCTTCAAAATTATTTCCATCATTTCAATTCAATTATTATTTTCCAGAATTTTTAACTAAAATTCTTCTTTACATTAATTATTTAAAATAATTTTTTTTTTTAAATTCTGGGAATTTTCAAAAATTCAAAAATTTTGACTATTTGGAAATTCTTTAATTAAATATTATATTAGAAAATAAAAACTTGGAGTAATTTGAATTAAAGTTTATGAAAAAAATTAATTCTACAGAATTGTTAATTAAAAATATGAAAAATTCAGATTTTCCACAATTTCAATTTGAAACTTTTTCAAAATTCAATTATTTCCAAAAATGCATGTTGCAATGCTTTTAATATTCAATTATATTATGTAAAATTTTAACTAAAATTCACTTTTAAATCAATTTCTATTTAAAAAATTATACGAGAATTCAATTATCTAAATACAAAAATAAATAATTGATTAACAAATTTAATCTTTCTTAAAATTAAATTCTCATGAAGAACTTTATGAACAAAGTTTAAAATATTTGGATAATAATGGAATAATTGAATTCATTTGATGTAATTTAAATAAAATTTTGTTTAAATAATTACATTTAACGAGAAATTCGATTAAAATTGTATTAAAAATAAAAATGAAATTTTGCAGAGAATTTTTTTTTTAAATTTGAAAATAATTGAATTTTGGAGAACAATTTTTTTTATTTGAAAAGATAATTTTAATAAAATTTTTAAAAATAATAACATTTCTCGAGGTATTTGATTAAAATTGGACTAAAAATAATTGAAATTCTGCGATGAGTTTTTTTTATTTATGAAAATAATTGAATTATTGCAAAGAAATTTATAAAAAATTTGTAAATAATAGAATTCCTCTGAAATAATTGAATTTTTTTGGAAAATTTTATTAAAATAGTAGATACCTATTGAAAATCATTGAATTTAGGAAAATTTTTGCAAATAATTGAAATTTTAACAAGAATTTTATTAAAAATATAAAAAAACTTGAATTTTAAAGAAGAATTCTTATTATTTATAAAGAGAATTGAAATTTTGATGAGAATTTCTTTAAATTTTTTAATATAATTTAATTTCTGAGAAAAATGTTATTACTTTTGAAAATAATTGAATTTTTGCAATTATTTGAATCTTCTCCAAAATTCAAATTTTTTAAAGTGTTTTTAACAAAAATTTCTCAATAAATTCATTATTTTTAATAATTAATTAAATTTAACTAATTTCAGAATAATTTAAATTTTTTAAATTTTTGCAAAAATTTAAGTTGTTTAGAATTTTTTATGAAATTCATTCAAAATTGAAATTTTATAAAATTTGAAATTAAAATCTTTTGAAGTTCATCTATTTACGAATACAATTGTAAACGCAACTATTTTAAAATTTAATTATTTTTGAAATACTTAAGTAAAATTATTCATTAAATAATTTCTAAGTAATAATTTTATGATAGTTCTTCAAGAATTAAGTTATTTAAAAAGAAATTATTGTCAGATATGGAAAAAAATTGAAGGTTTTGTATTAGAATTTTTGTTTTTCTAGAAACAACTATTAATAATAATATTTTAATTATTTGAATGTTGATTAATTATTTTTCCTTATTTTTGATTAGGAAAAGGTGAAAAGGGGGAAAAAGGTGACAAATCGTCAAAAAAGGTGAAAAAGGTGATAAAATTTAAGTAAGGGGACAAAAGGGGACCAACTGTGATGCCTGTAAATATTAAAAATATTAAAAATATTAAAAATATTTACTCTTCTAAAGTTTCGAACGTTCAATTGAACGACGTTATTTTTGTTACTGTTTTCGATTTTGCATTTTATTGTGAAAACATTATTTTTTATATTAAAAAATTAATATTTAGCTGATAAATTTTCGACTAAGTAAATAATTTACTTTATTTTACATTTTAGGAAAGTTTTCGAAAAAAACAACAATCTAGGGGGAAAAAATTCCGTTTACTTGAACGTTGAAAACTTCAGGAACATAAATATATTTTTAAATATTTAAATAACTGATTTTGAAACTTACCCAATAGTTTACTGTCTAAACGGTATCCCAATTTTTTCGCTTGCGTTAAAGGCTGTGCCAGTAGATTATAAGGAGCCTCGTGGCACCAGTCTTTTAGAATATCCAAATCTCCCCTAATCATTGCTTCGAGAATATTTGGAATAATATCCGTCTCGCAGTATTTTAAGAATCGTACTTTATCGAAACTTGGATCAATTTTACAAATTTCCGTGAGTGTAGTTGAAATTTCAGTCTTTTGAAATAAACCACCAAATAAGTACGTAACTTTCTCTGTAACCAATTTTGATGCTTGAATTACAGGATTATCCGACTCGTCGTATTTGATTTTCCAGTCCAGAACTTTATTAACGTATGGATTTTTATCCTAATGAAATTAAATATAATAGATAATATTTTCAAAATACAGATACATTATTTGTAATTTATATATACAATTAACAAAATAAATATTATAGATAAAATTAAATTCATAATTATTTTATTATTATATTATTATTTATTATTATTATTATTATTATTATATTATTTTTTTATTATTTTATTATTTTTTTTTATAATTATTTTTTTTTTATTTTATTATTTTATTATTTTTTTTTATTTTTTTATTTTTATTTTTTTTATTTTATTTAAACATTTAAATATTTAGATACAAAATTGTTTAATACCTTGAAGTTTTGCCACGACTGATAAAATTTGGAATCCTTGTGAAGTTCAACGCCCGTTGCTTCTGTGTTTGCCTCGAAACTTTGTTGAGATTCGAGAATTTCTTTTCGTTTTCGTAAACTCTTCAAGGGTACATAGACTCGACCTATTTAAAGGTATCTTAATAAATAAAACATTAACAAAAAGAATAGAAAGAAAAAAAAGAATTTTCACCTTCAATTCCATGATGATTAAATTCTTTCTGAACAGCTTCAGCAGTTTCTGAAATTTTTTGAAAGGCCCCAGTTTTACCAATTGCTTGACCCGTCTCTGAAATCGTTTCCGCTGCACCTTTAGCTGTTTTCGAAATTTCTTCTCCAATTTGACCGGCTTTCTTTCCCAATTCCGTCTTACTCACTCCTTCCACCGCTTCTTGAACCTAATTCAAATTTTAATAAGAATTTAATTTTAATTACGATTCATTTTTAAATATGATTCAAATATGAAACATTAAATATTGTACGAAGAAGAAATTAAATATTTTATGCATCATTCAAATATTACTCTCAATAAATTGAAAATATTATTCCAAGACTGGAAAAATACAGTTGCAAAAAAAGAATTTTTTTATAGAACAAAAATAGTTCGAAAATGAAAAAGAAAATTGCAAGAAAATACCTTTTCTTTTAAAGTATCCAATTTTTCTTTTAAAACTTCAGATCCCTTGTTGGCTTCTGATTCGACTGCTTGAAATTTTTGTCTCGCCGATTTCAGTGCATCAGATTGCTCAAGTTTATCAGCTTCTTCGCGAAATTTTTTTAACGATTCCTTCATCTCCTTACTTTTTTGCATATCTTGCTTGATATTCTCGACAAACTGACTGAGAAATCCTGGCCTTCTAGCTGGATTTGAATAGAGCCTAATCTGAAATTAAAAAAAAAAGTTTGCAAAAGATTTTCTATTTTTTCTCTTCTTTTGTGTATACTTTAAAATAAAAAACATACCGAAACATCTTGCAATCGAGAAATATCTACAGAATGTGTAGACGGTGACAGACTTCTCGTTAAGGAATTTTCCCTTGAACCGTGACCAAATCTTTTCCCTGCTTGTGTAGAACGAGCTGCTCCTGACAGACTGGCTCTACACGCCATTAAATTCTGATACTGTAAAAAAATACCATAGAAAATTAAATATTCTAATAATTTCTACTTTTCTCCTTTACACCTTTCAATTAAAGTAACAATTTTTTTAAAAATCTACAAATTGTCTTTAATTCTTCCTCTTGGGCAAAATAAACTACACCGGAAACTGAAAAAACCATAAAATAAAAAAATTGCTTCTCGAAAAAAACAAGGTTAACCTAATTTAAAATTTGAACGAAATGTCAAAACTTTTTTGACTTATAACGAAACATTTATCGAAATTAAAAACTCATAGTTACAAAATAAGTGAAATGAATAGAGAAATTAGAGCAAAATATAGAAAAGACAGGAAAAATGCAACATTTAAAAATACTATTGTCTAAAGTTAGAACTCATATAAAACAAATTGTCAATTGATTCTAATTAACTGGAGACATTTTAGTGTTAATTATATTCATATTAATCATAATCTTAGCTGATGTAACTTATAAGACACCTCGTGTTATGTTGAAAAATGATTTTTTTTCAAAACCTAACCTATCAAATGAAAGTGAAATGCCGGTAAATACACTTGAAATGTCAATGAACTGAATGTTTAGATAAAAGTTTAATGAGAACTATCGATAGTTTTAAAATATTACTCAACAAATAGTGCGTCTTCAGTTAATAATCATTAACATTTACCATTTTACGAGCGATTTATTCCCAAACTTCAACTCTTAAAACAACTATCGTAGAAATTAGAAAAATGATGATGGCCATCTGGCGGATTTAATTTTAAATCAATAAATTATGTTCAATTTAACAAATTTTTTTTGAATTTTTTTTTCTACTTAAAAACATTTTTTAATATTTTTTTGAAAAATCTTGTTGGGTAATTATATCTTTTTGAGAAATATTTGTCTATTAAAATATTTATAAATATTAAATAAATTCAGACAATAGCGCCATTTGTTGACCAATCAGAATTATGCATTTAACGCACGCGTGCAGTGAAAATAAAAAAAAATCGCGTCCTTGAAAATGCAGCTTAAAATGCACCTTTATTTGTCGTCAGCTGTGATTTTTTAGGTTTTTATCGGTAATCAAAAAGAAATTATGAAAACGTCAACGTTAAGTCATAAATAGGTTAGTCCTGATGGTCCTGATAAAATATTGTGAAATATTATCAATATTACAAATAATGAAATTAAATTTTATTCTTTAAAAAGTGTTTTCGAAAAAGAATAAACTGTTTCAATAGTTTACTTCGTTTACTTGGTTTATTGTAACAGTAAATATTTGTAAACTATTCCTTTTGTTTGATTTTCCGGTGTAATAATATTTAAAGTATATATTGTTTAACTCAAAGACAAATGTATATTTTTTTCCATTTTCGAACTTGAATTTCTATTTTAATGTCAAAAGTACAAAAAAATTTATTTAATTTTGTTTTTACGTATTTTTATTGAAAAAGTCAGGAAATAAAATATTTAATAACAAAGGTAATAATTTAAATAATAAAGGTATAATTATAATTGTAATAATTTTATTTATATAAAATAATAAAAATTGCTGTAGATAAAGAAATTTGGTGAAATTTCTGTAAATTTGATTATTCATATACTTATAAAAAGTATGGCGTAATAATTGACGCAATAAAATTTGTTTTCAAGGTTTCATTTTACGATTTTCTTGCAGGTAATGACCACCTTGGTATTAGGTGTTGGCGTTGGGCTTTTTGTAATAACATGCCTTTGGTTCTTTTCGGCATTAATTTTTCTCATTTCACTGCGAATTAATAAAAAAGTTGGTTTTGCCGTAATTATTATTGCTGGAATTATAACTGTTATATTGATAAGTGTTCCTCGTGCTTCAGAGAGTTCAAAGTTATTCGAAGACAAGGTAATTTAATTCGTAAATTTTCTTCTTATTTAATTCACAAGTTTGACATTCAGTTGTTCGTAGTATGAAAAAAGTTTCATATAAACATATAATTTTGTTATAAAAAAAGTGTTAAACTATCAAAATTTTCTTTTTTGTAATTATAAACAATTTTTTTCAGCCGTACGATCATTTATTTATCTGGCGTTTGATACTGCTAATTTTAATCGCAGCTTCATCGATTGTTGGACTCGTGGGATACGTGAAATTTGAATTAATGGAACCAGCTCGTCCCGTTCGTATAACAAACTGGATTTTTTGATGCTTTAACCTATCAATTAATAGACTTAAGATAACGACTGCTATCGAAAAAAAAGAATCCTCATTAAACGAAACTCCAATTTTCGTCAATTCAATGACTTTTTGACTGTCTTTAAACGACCAAATTAATCTTTACGCAATTTTTACGTAACTCTATTTATAGACTGTAAAAATGCTTTCCAATTTTAGAAGCATTGTTCAACAATCAATGCGCAGTATATCTTTATTAGGCCGCGTGAATAAAAAATTCACAATTAACGATAATAATGAATTTGTAGATAAAGTGTTAAACAGTCGAATTCCCGTGATAGTTACATTTCACGCCGAATGGTGTGAGCCTTGTAAAATTCTAACTCCAAAACTTGAGGAATTAGTTGAACCTTTGGAAGATTTACATTTAGCAATAGTCGATGTTGAATCAAATCCCGAATTGGTTCATACATTCGAAGTAAAAGCTGTACCTGCTGTTATTGCCGTCTCCAATGGACTCGTCGTTGACAAGTTCATTGGTCTTGTAGAAGCCAATATGATAGAGAATTTAATACAAAAACTTCTTAAGAAAGATTCGAAAAATCAAAAAACCTAGTCATGCTTTCAATGAATTAAATTATGTATTCATTAATGGGACATTTCGCGTATCATTTCCATTCAATTGGTGAAATTTTATTGGAATTCTTTCTTTTATTTCGTACTTAATTTTCTGTTAATTCTTGTTAGAAATTTATGCTTTTAATTCAATTTTCAAAAGTGTTTCTAAATTTCAATTCATAAATTCCAATCAGTAAACTAATTTTAATTAGTAAAATAATTTCAATTCGTGGATTATTTTCAATTAGTAAATTAATTTCAATTAGTAAACTGTTTTCTATTTAGTAAACTATTTTAACAAAAAATTTGAAAATAATTGTAATTACTTCAAAGAATTTTATCAAAAAAGTTGTGAATAATTGAATTTCATTGAAGAATTTTAGTAAAATTCTTAAAAATCCTAATTTAATTCTTTTGATGAATTAGGTACTTTGAATTTTTTTAAATAATAGAATTTCTTTAATAATTTTAATTGGTAATTTTTAAAGTAATTAAATTTTATGAAGAATTTTTGTCAAGTTTTTTAAATAATTGTGTTTTTTAATAATTGAAATATTAAACATTTAATTACTGAATTTTATTATAATTTTTAAAAAAATAAATAAATTCTCCTAAGAATTTTATTAAAATTTTCTAAAATAATTAAATTTCTTCAAAGAATTTTATCAAAAAATTAGAGAATAATTGATGAATTACTTTGAATTATTTTAAATAATGGAATTTCTTTAATAATTTTAATTGGTAATTTTTAAAGTAATTAAATTTTATGAAGAATTTTTGTCAAGTTTTTAAAATAATCGTGTTTCTTAATAATTGAAATTAAACATTTAATTATTGAATATTATTAAAATTTTTTAAAAATAGATTATTTCTTCTAAGAATTTTATCAAAACTTTCTAAAATAATTGAATTCATTCAAGGAATTTTATTAAAATATAGAAAATAATTAAATTCCTTTAAATAATTTCTTTGAGTTTTCTTTGAAAATAATGATGTTTTTTGAAAAAAATAAAATTGAAAATTTAATTTAAACAAAGAATTTTTTCATCTTTTTAAAATAATCGCGTCTGCTAATAATTACAATTAAAATATTAGTCTATTGAAGTTTATTAAATTTGCATTAAAAATAATTGAATTTCTAAGAAGAATTTCATTATTTACAAAAAATAATTTAATTCTTCAGATGAATTTTACTACTTATAAAAATAATTGAATTGTTTCGAAGGATTAATTAAAATTTTAGAAAATAATTGGATTCTTTACAACAATTTTATTACAAATTTAAAAAAAAAATTGAATTGCTTCGAAGGATTTATTAAAATTTTAGAAAATAATTGAATTTTTTCAAAAAATATTCTCAAAATTTTTTAAGAAAATGTAATTCTTTCATGAAATTTTATTAAAATTGTATTAAAAATAATTGAATTGTTGTAGAGAATTGTACTATTTATAAAAATAATTGAATTGTTTCAAAGGATTTATTAAAACTTTAGAAAATAATTGAATTCTTTTGAAAAACAAGAAAAAAGTAATTGAATTCTTTCGTGAAATTTTATTAAAAATAATTGAATTTTTGACAAAAATTTAACTGTTTATAAAAATAATTGAATTCTTTCGAAGAATGTTATTATTTTTAAAAATAATTGAATTCTTGCGAAGAATTTAAATTTTTGAAGATATTTTGACTTAATAAGTGAATTTATAAATTTTGATTATAAAATTATTCAAGTTTTTGAAAATAAAAAAAAAAATTTTTATTTGCATAATAATAAAGTTGAATAGCTTGTTCTACTAAGTTATTTAATATAAGAGAAAGATATTCCGATAAAATCTACTTTTTGAATGAAAATGACGCATGCAATATCCAATAAATAAACTTGCCTTCTCTATAAAGAAAAAAAATCTATCTATCTGTTGACACTTAAAAAATCTCTGCAACTTTACACCTCTTGTAGTGAAAGAAAGAAAAACTACGAAAAATTATATGCTATTATATATGTAACATCACATTTCTTTAATTCAGTGATATTATACAAAACGAACAGAATTTGTAATTCCAACGAACAATATTTTATTCAATTTTGTCATTTTTTTTAGAAAAAATGAATTTTTTATTTTACTTTTTCTGTTTCTTTTTTAATTGTCTTTTAATTTATTAAACTTGGTTTTTGAAACAAAGAGAAACGAAGAAATGGATTAAATTGTGCCATTTAAATGTTTTGTAAGACTATTATTTACAGACACATTATGGGTCCTTAAAAATTAAGTATAATTATATTATTATATTAAATAAATAATTTTTAAGAAACTAAATGTTTTCTTTATTATTACGAATTCTTTTATCCATATTAACAAATGTACATTTTTTATTCATTAATAATATATGTTTATTCACAAGTTTATAGTTTTTTTTTCTCGAAAACTTTACAAAAATTAGTGTTTTTTTTATAGTTTTTTCTTCGGAAAAACTTGAAAATTATAATTAATACGATAATATCTATGAAATAATGTATGAAATGAAGGTTTTCTTTCTTTTTAAAAAAGTAACTTTTTTTATTATCAATATTATTAGTAATGCAATTTTTTTTTTTTTGCAATACACCTTTTCATAAATTTTTCTTTTCGTTTATATTATCATTATTGTAGTGATATTATACGTAATTACAAAATTGTTATATTTTAATTATGAATATCGCAACAAGTTTCGAAATTTCCAAAATAGAAATTTATTGAAAATTAATTAAATGCTAATTCAATAATTTTACTAGAAAAAAATCGTACTTATTTATTTTTTTATTTATTTGCATTTTAAAATATTAGTTTCATCTCCTTTTATTTCTTTTCAACTAATTTGTTTTAAATAAGATTGCAATGAAATTGTAAAAATTTAAACTGTATAATAATTATGATAATTTATCAATTATGTAAATTTTATAATATTTTTTGTGAAATGAGTAAATAAAAAAGAAAATGAAAAATTTCATCGTTCATATATTCTTCTATAAAATACAATAATTTCTGAATTAGCGCATAATTAATTTTCTTATATTATACACTAAAGTAATTAAGAATATTACAGCCTATATTTCGTCGAATTTGAAATGGTATAATCTTTTTTTCTTTAACAATAAATTTATGTTTACTATTAAAGCTTACTGTACAATTTTTATAATTAAATAAGCTAATTCTGTTCACTGAAAAATAATTATATAAAAAGCGGATTAGGCATTGAGACCAACACATATTTTTGTGTTTTGCTCAGTTCTTTCTTTCCTTTTTTTTTTTTTTTGTCCAGTGAAGCAGACTTGTCATTATCGTTTGGCAGCGTTTGGATATTTACAAAGAGTTATAAAGTCAATCACATCATTAGAATTTAAAACTTTCTTTAAAATTTCCTCTTTAGTTCAATTATTTCACTAAACTGAATAATAATTCTCTTTTAATTTTTTTTGCGAACATTTTTCTATTTCTTTTTCCTTTCTTTCTTTGTTTCATTCTCTTTTTCCTCTTTTTTTTCTTTCTTTTAAAAAAGTGTTTTTAAATGCCATAAAAAGAGACTTTTAAAAATAGTTTTAAAACAATAATCGATGTGATTGAATTGAATAATAAAATTTTTCTATGCGCGCTAGCAATTAAACGAGTAGCTAAGAAATATTAATTATTTTTTGTCAGTCAGGTGTTTAAAAACACCATGATAAGGCAATGCTGTGATTTATTGGTTGCTTGCAAAATATAATTTTCATATTATTGAATAATTAATATCCGTGGGAAGAAAATAAATTTTTTGAATGAATTACAAAGTTAGTATATAATTTACCTATATTTTTTTTGCAAGGAACCACGAATTTATTATAATTCGTACAGCTATATAAATTAATAAAAAGTAACATGATTTAATTTGATTTTTCACAAAAAAGGAACTTCAAAAAAAGTTCATTTAATTTTTCTACACATATAGTAAAATTATAAATTTACGATAGTTTTTTTTTACATTTCGTAAAATTTACAAAAAAAAGTAACTTGGAAACTTTTTTTTTCAATTAAGGCGTAACGACTAGAAATGCCGTGGAAATAAACTTTTTTTCCTTGTTACCTTGAAATATATATTTTTCTTTTAAAACTTTCGGATGCTTTGGTTGTTGCATTAAAGAAAAAAATTGTCAAATTATAAATTGAACACTAAAAATATGCAGACACTTTGTTTATTCTTTTTTTTTCTCTTGGAATTGTAAAAGCACCGATATGTATATATTTATATTGAAGAGGCGTTTTTCTTTTCGTCTTCTCTATTTTTTTTAAACTTTACATTATCAGTAAACATTTTTCACGAGTATCACGAGTATTTACAACTTACACGTATACTACCGAAAACTTTTTCTTTTTTAAAAATGTAACAAAAACATAGAAAACATCAATAATTAATATTATGTACAATGCTTGATTTTCTTTTTCTAATATAACTCAATGATATCTTTCAGGACGTCAATTTTCATTGTAAAAACAAAATTAAGTATTATTATGATACACGTTATGATACAGTTTTTTTCACACAAAATATAATTAATGAAAATTAACGTCCCGAAAATTTATGACTTGCGATTTAGTAAAATTAAGGAACAATTTTTTTTTCAATATCTACAATAATCTGAAAATGAAAATATAACATTTTCTTTTCGAATTCACTAATAAACTACATAGTCGAAAATATATTCAATTTCGTCAAAAAAAACATAAGTTTTTTTCTAATTTTTATATTTAAAATAAAAAAACAAAAAAAGAAAACAAAGTAGATTAACTATAGAAAATAATTTAGGAAACATCACGATATTTTAGAAAATAGAGAGTTCAATTTCAATTAACTTAAAATCGTTTCTCTACATTTGCATATTAAAACAGTATTTTTTAATAACTGCTATAATTCAATTCACAGCTCAGAGAAAATTTATAAAAAAGAGAATTATATTTTTAAAAAATCCTTTCAACTTTGTTTTAACTGTATTTCGGGTTTTGTTAATATTTCTTTTTTAATTATAGGAAAAAAATCTCGTGTATTTAAGAGAATGGGCCGTAATAAATTAAATTTAAAAAAAACTGAAAACTTATTATTGATAAAAGGCAGCTTTTGTTTGTAGAATTTCTTAAGTATTGCAGTTTGTTTTTAGGAATATTTAAAATTCATTTTCTTTTACGCAATGCCAAAATTTTTGGTTCAATGAGAATGTTGAGTTTGAAATGCCTTTGTTTTCAAAAAGAGACAGATTTTTTGTTTTTTTTTATTCTTAAACTTCTGCTCCTAAGTCTCTTACCCCTTGTTCCGCGATTGGAACATATTTTTCTTCAATTTTCACGAGAAGTATAACTTTATCAACGTGTGAACGTCGATTTGGATCACGATGATTTGGCGACCATCGATGAACAACACAACCTTCCATCCCACGAATTGGCACCCAATGCTGCCATCCCGATCGTCCTCCCAGTTGTCGCATTTTTTCATCCGGCCAAATCACATCGATTCGCCGGCCAAGATTTATTGCATCGTACACGTGATTTGGATCCATTATCTAGAGAATATTTATTCTTTATTATATTCTATTCTTTGGAAATTTAATTTATTTTTATTTTTGTCCCTTTTTTTTACTAATTCAGGATTGCCACAAAAAATCAATTTTGTTTTTCCCTGATTTCCAGAAAAAACTTTGACTTTTTCCCAGATCCTAAAGAATATTCTGATTCACTCTAAAAATTATTAGACACTCAAAAAAATGTTCTATTACAATTATTTACGAATTTCTCTAATTGTAAAAATTAATTAATAAGATATCTAGCACTCCGAGTCTTCGACTCGGAGTGCTCGATATATTATTAATTATTTCCGAGTCTTTGACTCGGAGTGATTGCTGTCATCATGTTTTAAATTATTTTCAAAAATTTTAATAAAATCCTTTGCAAGAATTCAATTATTTTTACAAGTAATACGATTTTGACATCAAATTTAATTATTTAAAAAAATGTAATAAAATTCGTTGTAAGAAGTCAATTATTTTCATAAATAATAAAATTTTTCATCGGATTTAAATTATTTTTAATACAATTTTAAATAAATTCCTCGAAAAATGTAATTATTTTCAAACATTTTTAACAAGAATTCAATTGCATTTCACAAATAATGGAATTCTTCGCTGAAATTCAAATATTTTAAAAATCTACTATTTAATAAAATTTCTCAAAAGAATTCAATTATTTTAAAAAAATGTAATAAAATTCGTTACCAAAATACATTTATTTTTATAAATAACACAATTCTTCACATTATTTTAATTATTTAAGTGAAATGTAATAACATTCGTTACAAGAATTCAATTATTTTCAAAAATAAAAATATTCTTCAGAGGATTTCAATTATTTTAAAAACTGGTAATAAAAATTCGTTGCAAGACTTCAATTATTTTCCTGAATAATAAAATTCTTCACAGGATTTTAATTACTTTTAATACAATTTTAAGTAAATTCTTAGAAAAATGTAATTTATTTTAAAACTTTTATTACAATTCTTCGAAAGAAATAAATTAACATTTATCAACTATTTTTAATAATTTTTTCGAAAATTCCTAGAGAATTTTCAAATCTATTTGTTTACAATTCAATTTTACGAAATTTTAATTTTTCGGAAATGCTTCAATTAAATATTAATTTAGAAAACAAAAACTTGAAATAATTTTTAAAATAAATTCAATTAAACTTTTTCAAAATTCAATTATTTCTAAAAATTCATGCTATGATACTTTTAATATTCAATTATTTTTTAAAATTTTAACTGAAATTCATTTTTAAATCAATTTTTATAACATTCTACGAGAATTCAAATTTAATAAAAAAAATAATTGATTGAATAATTAAATGTTTTTTAAAATTCAATTCTCATAAAAAATTTTATCAACAAATTTTTAAATAATTATCGACGAATTTTAATAAAATTTTCAAGAATAATTACATTTTTCAAGGAATTCGGTTAAACTGTATTAAAAATAATTGAATTTCTATGATGAGTTTTATTCTTCATGAAAAAATATTCACTTATTGAAAATTGTAAATTCAATTTTAAAATTCAATTACTTTTGAAATATTTAAGTAAAATTATTCTAAATAATTTACAAGTAATAATTTTGTGATAGTTCCTGAAGAATAAAGTTATTTAAAAAGAAATTATTGTCGAAAATAGACAAAATTGAAGGTTTTTTTTAGAATTCGAGGTAACTTCATAGTTTATGAGACAAACAAAAAAGACGACAAAATTCAGAATTTTCTTGTGAATTCTAAAAATTTAATTTTTTCCCAGTAGGTACTTTTAATAAAAATCTTTGACTTTTCCCTAAATTCCGTTATTTCCCTGACCTATGGCAACCCTGTAATTTGTTTTATTTTTATGTCCCACTTTTAAGTCGAAAAAATCATATTATCCGAGGCCTGTTTAAATCGTAGAAAATTGAAAAGGAAAATCGACTTACGCGAACTCGCTGTAGGACTTCTTCTTTCTCCAGTTTGGACGTAAAACTAGTTTCACTCTTTGACTCGACCTTCATGTCACTGCTACTAAGTAATCCTGCGAGACTAGCCAGAGTGGAACTTGTGGGCTTGCCAACGGAGACGAGTGAACCACGATTGCCACCCAAGGATGCTAAATTTCCCGATTGACTGTAACCTGGCAGTGAAACGATTAACATTAGTCCCAAAATATTATAGAAACTTTGAATACTTAAATAAATAAATAAAATAATATTGATTATATATCTCAAATTTTGAATAATTTGAATTAAAAATTCTAAACAAATACCCGAATGAATATTGTACGTCGTCATTGCGTAAACTCCGTCGTTTCCGAATCCACCGTCATCTTGTGACGCTGTACCACCCGACGAACATCCTTGTCCACATCTTCTTCTTATTCTAAAATAACAAAAAATTACCATAAATTACTCAATCAAATTTAAAAGAAATTATTTCACTTTATATTTCAATTTCAATTTAAGTAATAGTTATTAAATTTAAACTGAAATGATAACTATTTATAATTTATTTTCACAAATTATTATGTAAGAAACAAAGACATTACCTTCGCCACAGTTTGAGAACAGTATTTTTAATTGCGCCGAGACTTAGTGGTCCGCCGACAACTGAGCACAATTGTTCATTAGTTTCCGCATAACTTGTTGTCAATGGCGACACATAAATCGGATATCCAATTGGTTGATCACAGGAACTATTGATAATATTTCTTAAAGCTTGTTTTGCATTTTGTATCGAACCACGCTCTGGATTTCTATTACGCAGATAAACGAGTTCCTGTTGTTGGCCAGCCCAAAGACCACGAACACACTCACGATTCATTTTTATCACACGAAAACTTAAAAAACGTTTGTTCAACATTATCACTTTGTATTCATCGATGCCATCGTCCAAGACATGCCTGAAAATCGTTCATTTCAAATTAATCATATATTTCAATTAAATATTCGATTAAATTGAATATATTTCAATTAAATATTTCATACCTGAGAGCCAAGAGACTGGGCGCACCGCTGAGTATCGCATTTCTCCAGAGTGGATCTGCCTCATGGCTGATAACAAGATTTTGATTATGATTGTCAATTGCTTCGTGAAGAGCTGAGGCCTCTTCATATTGCTCGGGACTCATAAAATGATCCTGATGTAATTTTAACGCCATTCGAACGCCTTTGGCAACCACGCTTCGAAGTAAATCAACATCGTGAAGAACCCATTCATCACGTACCGAAGTTATTCGAAAATCTCCTGCAAAATTTGCTAAATTAATACTTTCCAGGGTTGACACAAAAATTTAATTTTATTTTTCCCTGACTTTTCCCTGATTTCCAGACAAAATTTGGACTTTTAAAATCATTATTTTATATCATAAGAATATTGTAACTATAAATTCAAATTTTCAAAGATTTTGATTTAATTTTATTTTAATTTCGAAATTCAATTATTTCTAAAAAATTCACGCTATAATGCAAAAATTAATATATAAGTAATTTTTAAAATTCTATTTATGAAAACAAAATATATTTAAAGACAAATAAAATATATTTAAAAAAAGAAATAGTAAATTTTACCTTTAAATAAAGCGTGAAGTCCGTACAAAAAAAATTCCACACTAGAAACCGTATTATGTGAAGCTGCTCCTAAAACGCGTCTTCCAAGTAAACTCAACGCCAAACAAAGAGAAACAAGACTTGAATCTCGCGATCTTTCCAATAACTGCAAAAAAAATTGAAAACATCCAAATAAATAATTTACATAATTATTTATTTAAATAAATGAAAAAGAAATATGAAAGAAATAGTACCTTGTCGCTTTTTACAGCACAAAATTGAATCCAATCGAGATAAACATTACAGAAACTATTTCTCGTAATTCCACTGGCACGAAAATCAAAATCCTCATCGATATTCATATTAAAAACAGGATCAAGATCAACGAAATTCTTCTCGAGTGTTGATTTAAGTGCATCAATTATTTCCGCATTATCCAACCATTGTTTCAATTTTGTCGATTTTATGGTATAAAATATAATACTCTTGACATAATATGTAACGAGGACTTTGCGAAAATCAAAAACTTGTAGCATTGAAGCAGCTGAATTGTCCGATATTGAATAGCCTTCCAAAACATATTTTGCACTCGCCACTTCCCAAGCGAGCCATCTTTGACTAAATGCAGCGTTTACACTCAATACATTAGAAAAATGTCCAATTTCACAGCAACAACAATTGTCATTGTCCTCTATTCCTTCGGAGATTGCCTCAACCTGAGAAAATAAATTTGTTTTAATATCAACTTTATATCAAATTTTAATAAAATTCTTCTAAAAAATTCAATACTTTCAAAAATTTTAATAAAATTCATCTGCAAGAATTTAATTACTTTCATAAATGATAAAAATCTTTGTAGAAATTTAATTATTTCCATTAATAATAAAGTTTTTCGAAATAATTCAATTATTTTCAAAAACTTTAATAAACGTCTTGGCAAAAATTCAATTATTTGCATAAATAATAAAATTCTTTACAGGAATTCAGTTATTTTCGTAAAATAATAAAATTCTTCGCAGGAATTTAATTATTTTCGTAAATAGTAAACTTCTTCTCAAGAATTCGATTATTATTTAAAGTTGTAATAAAATTCGTCGGAGAAATTCAATTATATTAAAAAATTTGATAAAATTCTTTATGTTATTCAAATACTTTTAATAAAATTTCAATTAAATTACTCAAAAAAAATTTAATTTGTTTCGAAAATTTTTATAAAATTTTTTCAAAAGAATTCAATTATTTTCAAAAACTTTAATAAAATTTGATAATTTACATAAATAATAAATTGCTTCAAAAGAATTCAATTATTTTCAAAAACTTTAATAAACGTCTTGGCAAAAATTCAATTATTTGCATAAGTAATAAAATTCTTCACAGGAATTCAATTATTTTCGTTAAATATTAAAATTCTTCACAGGAATTTTATTATTTTCGTAAATAGTAAAATTCTTCTCAAGAATTCGATTATTATTTTAAATTATTCTTTAAATACAATTTAATTACTTTTAAAAAAAAACATCGATTATTAATGTAGATTGAATATAAATTTTTTTACTTCAGAACATAATACAAATTTTATTAATTAAAAATTCTATAAAATAAATTATAAATATACTCGCCTCTCGTTGTTGACAGTAAGTCCCGCGAAATTCCAATCCTCTCAGTTGAAAAGTCACTAATCCATTCCCAAGTTGTACCATATGAACAAGACAATTCAAATAATCGGAAGCTAGAAGAAAACAATCTCCCTGCTCGACAGTTCCCCATCGTCCAAGAGCAAGATCACCGTATAAACTATGTTGCAACGATCTTGTTAATTGCTCGTAAAATATCGAATTTAAATTATTATCATCAGCTCCCAAATTACGTTCAAGATGAGATGACATTCTTGTATTTGAATGATCGACACGTCTTGTTTTATAGTCTCTCTCCCAAAATTTCACCGGCCTCACATATGAACTAATGAAAATTGCACTTCCCAATAATGGATTAAGTGGTGTACTGAAAATTGCCGAAATACCCGCCTGAAGGAATAACATTGCCGAATGTGGAACTGAAAATGGTTGCGCGAACGCATGAAATGCACTGCCCCATGTAATTTGCCATGGCGCAATATAAGTCACAATAAATCGTATTTTCAACAATAATTCATAAATTTTTGCAAATGCAATACCAGTGACAAAATAATCAATCAAAAATGTCTCACTGAAACCCTTGAAATCAACTTTAAAAAATAATACCGCAAATATCAAAACCAAATATCTCGTCGATGGATCCGAATAGGAAGACCTCAGTGACTTGAGACCACAGATGACAATTAATAGCGCTCCAATTGTCACTCCATATTTGAGGGCAATTTTATTTGAACATTCAGTTAATGCTCCAAGGAAGACAACTGGATAGAGAATATTTCTCTCGACAAAACAAAGATAGACGTAAACTTTTTCAAACCACATTATTCGAACTGGTTCGCGTACCTCAAATTGTGCGTGCTCATGACTCCTTAAAACTGGTCTCGCCAAACACTGCCATGGTAATTGTTTTCTCAATTGTGGCACAATGTAGTGTAGAAAAAAACCCAAAAAGCTCGTTATTCCCCAAAGAATTGGATTAAGTTCCGGTTGAAGTGCAGTAAACACTGTCGACGAATGAATAGCGAATGTCAATATTCCAATGACAGCGCACACAATCAAATCATTTTTCAGTCTTGCTTTTATTGTTGATCTCAATTTCATTGGCAGTGGATCAATAAGTTCCGAGTCTGATATCTCTTCACCGATATTTATCTTCACGTCCTTCTTTCTAGCCGATACTTTAACTTTACTCTCCTTTGGAATTTCCATCTTTGCCTCTCTCTTCACTTCTTTTAGATTTATTTCCTTATTTTCCTTTTCTTTTTCCTTTTCCCTTTCCTTCTCTTTTTCCTTTTCCTCAACGTAAACATCAGGTGGCCAGAGATTAGTCTTCAAAATTTCCCAAATCACACTTGGATCCGATGACGATCGACTGAGATGATATGAAACCGCCATCAGCAGTGCCATGAAAATTGAGAACAATATATGTTGAGACGATTTTTCCTCCCTCAGAGCTCCGTAGGCGAAACCATAGAGTATCATTACCGTGATGAAACTACGAAGAAGACAATAGGCTGACGAGACAAGACTCGTTGTGGCATTACCGCCAAAAATATGTATATCAATGTGCTCGCAAAGATACATGAGAAATGTATTAATCTGCGGAAAGAGACCAAGTGAGAAGACAATTGGAAAGCAAAGAAGAAAAATAAGCAATACATTACGAGCCTGTAGAATAACGTCATAGTTCGCAACTCTTATGCCGTAGATCAAAAAATCCGAATTATGAAAATTATTCAAAACCTCATTGAAAATGAGTATGAGACCAGCGAAGATTATATAGTAAACAGGTCTTGAGAAAACAATAACACGATTGAAACCATGAGTCGGTGATGCTGCATCAGGTTGAACGGACTTGAGCAACGAATATTGACAACCAGCCGTAACGAAGCAGAAAATAAAGGCAAAAATATCCCGATAGAATCCAAGTTGCAGGAGCATTAGACCCAAACCAGCGACTGCTATCGCTAAAAGTGTCGCGACAATCGTTTCTAAAATTGTCAAATTCCTGTCGAGTAGCGCCAACAATGCGAGACGATCAAATCTCACTTTAATACTCGGAAACTTTCCCAATTTCCACTTGTAATAATGCTTCGATTGCTTTGATTTTGGATCATTTGAACTCTGCAAACCGTCCAATAGACGATTCCACGAGAGATTTGCACTATTGTCAGCTTCCAATTGAATCGGTAGCGCCAACACCGGCATTTGTTGATTGCCCTCCGTCTGATATGAATTTGGATTAAAATTACCAAAAAGACTCTGTAATCGACGATTCCTATCGGCCATTACTGTCGTCAATGCTGAATTAAGAGCACATTGATCCGCAGTTCTTGGATTCGAGGCAATTATCAAATTCGGTGGGAGGGAATTTTGAGCCTTGTGATTATTATTTGTTGGACTTGATAAAGCAGGTGGTGTGTCAATAATCACTGTGAGTCCGGCTGAATTTAACGATAAACTACTGTAACTATTACTCAATGAATCGGGTAATTCCCAATTTGTATTTGAATGAAGATTTTGATTGATCTGCTGTCGTAAGAGGGTATTCAGCAATTTTTCATTATGATTCGATGACGAGTAGCGTGTGACTGAGGGAAATCCCGAGCCCTTCTCGTCGAATGTATAAGCTAACCAACGTCCACTATCGTCACGAAAACAATGAACAGCACCCTCGGATGTATCATTGTGACTAGTCGCGAGATGACACTCGCCATTTGATAATAGGCCAAAGAGTGCTGTCAATGGAACAAGTGAATCATCACGATTGAGTCTTGTTCCACGATGTGTTCGATTTGATCGTTTCAAGCGTCGTCGTTGATTTCGCATATTTCGCGATTGTGATGAACGAACGAGACGCGGTTCGGGAAGTATATTTGGATTTGGTAGATCGCCACCTGAATTTAAAAGTGCTGCCAATAGTGGTGGCGCTGGACTCGGTAATAATGTACTCAATTCATTGTTGGAACCACTGATTTTCTCTAGTTTCCTCTTCTTACGCTCACGATTGAGATCAATTTTACGTTTTGGCTTACGACGACTCGCTTCAATATTTAAACGTCGACTCGCCTCGGAACTTGTGCTCTCGTTCACCAATTCGCTGGTTATTTTCGAACAACTTTGCTTTGGAATTGCTCCTTGTTGACGTTTACTGTCCACCTCGGAGGTGAGAAGAAGTTTTCGTTTTAATTGTACTTCGTTCTCGATACTCAATGTTGTTGTACTCGATGATCCGGAATCCGGTTCTTTTGTGTGAAGATCTGCAAAAGAAAATTAAGATAATCAGATATTTTTGTTTATTGAGGGAATGGAAAAATGTTTCCTGAGATTGAAAATTCGATATTTAAAGTCTACATGCACGTAACAATGGTCTATGAATTCTGTGAGAAAAATCTATCGATTCTATTCTAATCAACATGGCCCGAGTATAGATATCCTTTCTCCTAAGTGGTTTAGTGGCATTTAATTTTTTATTTTCACGCAAAAAACGAACTTAAATAATATACCTACGTCAGATGAATTAATATCTGATTAATTAATATTAAATAAAATATAACTTACTAACATTTAATATTTTAACATCATTTTTAATTAATTATTTAATTCTACTTAATTCATTTTTATTTTTAAATTAATTTATAACATTAACTTTAATGTTAATAGAAGGACATTAACATGATTGTCACAAAAATTTGATTTTGTTTTTCTCTGACGGACAAAATTTTCATTTTTTCCCTGATTCCTAAAAAAATCAAGAGGAATTCAATTATTAAAGAAAGATAATTTTTAAAAGCAAAAATTTTAATTTAAAACATTAAGGAAGTGTACCTATTTTAAATATAAAATTAATTAGTGTTGTTAACTTTTCTCGATTATTTTCAAAAATTGCATTAATCTTCTTAAAAAATTAAATTACATTACATATTTTCAATAAATTTTTAAAAGCTTTCAATTATTTAAAAAATTGCAATTACATTCTTTAAAAAATTCAATTATTTTTAATAGAGTTTTAAAAATATTCAATTATTTCCAAAATTACAATAACATTTTTAAAAAATTAAATTATTTGTAATAGAATACTGAAAACTTTCAATTACATAAAAAAATACAATAACATTCGTAAAAAATTCAATTATTATTCTTATTAAAATTTTAAAAACTTTATAATTGGAAATTTTCAATTACTTGTTTTATTCAATCTTTAAAAATAAAATTGAAAATATTTTAATATTTATAAAATATTTAAAATCTATTTTTTTAAATTTTGAATGCAACTTTTCAAAATTCTCCGAAAATTCGATTTTTTTTAAATCTGTAATTCTTTAACAAATTTAATTATTTTCAATTAAATTAAAGAGATTAATTAATTAATTAATTCACAAAATTTTCATTAATTTGATAATTCTTTAATACAGTTTTTTTTTCAATTCAAACATCTTTGAAAAAGTGAATTAAAATTTATAAGAAATTTGAATTTTTACAAAATTTAAAATAAAATTATTGAAAACTCTATTTATAAAGTTAATTTATTATTATTACATAATATCTTCACAAAAATTGAAAATTTCCAAAATTTTAGTTTAAAACCTTCTAAAATTCAATTATTTTCGAAAAAAGAAACTATTTTTATCTAAAATCTTGTGGAAATTAATAATTATAATTATAATTAACAACTTTCAGAAAATTATTTTTATTTTTATTAATTAAAATAAATTATTTAAAATAAAGTAATTTAAAATACATGATTTAATTATTTACAAAAATAAAGAAATCAAATTACTGTATTAAAATTCATTGTGCTTCAAAAGTCTTTAAAGTGATAAAAAATTCAAGTTGAATTCAAGATTTTTAGATATTTCAAAAATTTTTTTGGACACCAAAAATTAAAATTTTTGTAGCAATTATAAAATTTTGACATTTTTTCCAGTTCTTTTGATAAAATTCTCTGTCATTTCCCTGATTCCCCTAATCTGTTGAAACTTTAATTAACATTTAATATTTAAAAATTTTTAATTAAAAAAAATTTTTTTTAATTTTTTACAAAATAATAATTAATTACAAAAGAAAAATCGAATCTAAAGAAACTAAAATATCGCTTTAGAAATATTAGTTAAAGTTTTTTGTGGCTGGAAAACAAAATTGAAAGTTTATTAATGTTAACAACTAATAAATAATTTATTCATTTTCTAATATTTAATAAAAACGAAAAAAAAGCTGAAAAAACAGTGCAAAATAGAATTAATTACTAAAGAAAATATTGTACTTGATAAGTAGGTGAAAATTTAAAAAAAAATTTCCCGTACCGGGAATCGAACCCGAGCCTCCTGGGTGAAAGCCAGGTATCCTAGCCACTAGACCATACGGGATTGAAGAATAAAATTCACGATGTTATTGACAGCGAATGTAGGAAACATAATTGTTAACAATTAGAAAAAAATAGACTTCAATTTTTTTTTTTTTTTTTTTTTTATAAAGAAAAAATTTAATTTTATTTGGCTCTAATTTTTATATACTATGAAGAAACGCTGTTAATGTTTCCAGTTTGGATTAAATAAAACAGAAAAATTTTTTTTAAAAAAACTACAAAATTGTAAAAAAAAATCTCTTTTTTTTTGCTTTTTAAAGAAAAAATATAGTTTTATTTGGTTCCAATTTTTTATATACTAGGTACGAAGAAACATTATAAATGTCTCCAGTTTTGATTAAATAAAACATAGAAAAAAATATTTAAAAAACTACAAAATTGTAAAAAAATTCTTTTTTTTTTTTTTTTTTTTAAGAAAAAATTTAGTTTTATTTGCTTCCAATTTTTTATATACTACGAAGAAACGTTATAAATGTCTCCAGTTTTGATTAAATAAAACAGAAAAAAAATTTTTAAAAACTACAAAATTGTAAAAAAAAACTCAAATTGCCACTAAGCCCTTAGGGAAATTTTACAACTTACATCCGGTACTAGCTGATGTATCCGTATCGTCGGAACTCTTCAAACTCCAAAATACTAGCAGCATTAATTAGAAAAAAGGCGAAACTTCTAAATAGATTTTATTGTTAATTTAGTTCTACGAAAAACACTAGACTCTTTTTTTTTTTTTAAATTATCGCTGTTTTTTTTCTTATTAAAAAATTAATTACACGGACCATTAATTTGAAGATCTAACCTCTATTTAGAAATTTTTTTGTAGAAAAAAATCGTTTTTTTTATATATTTAAAAAATTTGTTTGCATGTAAACTTACTTTTATTCGCCCACGTATCAACTCCAAATTCACCATTTTCAAAGAGCCAATTAATTCCAACGATACTCCCAGTAAGTGGATCGTCTAAACTTTTTAATTTTTCACATCTTTTTTGTCGTCTCTTTTCACGTCGACTTTCACCATCGGATAATTCAGAACTACTCTGACTCGCATTACTGAATCTTCGTTTAGGACACACTTCCGGATCTTCGAGTAATGCATCACGTGAATTCGCTGAATTATTATCAACTGCCGTGTCGCCAATAAACCTACTGTTGAAAATAAAATTTTTTTTTTATTTAATTCACACTGTCACAGAGAAGACAAAGTTCAGAAAGAACGTTTTTTTTTTGGATAAAAAAAATTGTTTCAGGATCTAAATTTGAAAAAATTGATGATTACCTTAAAAATCTATCTTCCGATCCACCAGTGCTTAGACTTCTATCACGATTTGAATTATTAGTGTATTCTATTTCTTTGCGCGTTAATAATGGACTATAAGAATCACGGAGAGTAAAAGCGCCGGAATTCTCATTTGTAAATTGTTCATCACTCTGTTCTGCGATGGAATGAACGATTTCCGATCCACTCAAAAATGGCAGCAATTGCAATTGATTTCGTTTTAATGTGTTTTGTGTCAATACCTGAAAAAAATCATAATTATTTTCCTTTTTCTATTAATTTCCCTAAAAATCAAATACATACCTTTTTTGAATTTATTGTTTCCAAACTCTGCGGATGAAGGGGTAAATTATTGTCATCGGAATTATTTGAATTTTTATTCGATGCTCCAATTGTTTCGAGACTTTGTGGATGTACTAATTGTTGATGCGTTCGTTTAGGAATAACCTGATGATAAGAGAAATAAAGAGTTAAAAATTAAATTAAAAATTACCCTTTTTTTTGAAAAGGAAATTTTCTTGAAAAATTATTCAAACATTCTAAAAGAACATTGTTGAACACTTACTTCTAGAGATTGAGGATGTGATGGTATTTTGTTCTTATCATTATCATCCTTTTTCGAGATTATCTCAAGACTTTGTGGATGATCGTTTATTAAATGAGTTTCGAGGGGAATTGAATTCGAATTAAGTCTACGAACACTTTGATTTGATTTCCAATAATGAAACTCATCGACATGCTGCTCCAACTCTATTGATCCTGTTTGTTTAATTTGACTTTCGGAACCTGTTTTTCCTAAAATTTTCTGCTTCGAATGCCTACATCGTCTACTTCGTGAATCTTCTGAAGCATGTCGACTTAATTTACGTGTCACTGAACGATCCTCCTCCGCAATAGCAACACATTTTTGTCTTATCACTCGCCATTCTGGCATTGCTGTAAATAAAATATTTTCAGAAATTATTTTTACAGGGTTGCCATAAAAGTTTAATTCTGTTATTCCCTGACTGTTAAGTCAGTTATTCCATAGGAATTAAGATTTTCAAAACTTTCAAATTCAAATTTTAAACCCTTTTTAAAATTCAACAACTTATAATAATTAAAAATGACCGAGTGATAAAATCATTATCAATTCAATGATTATTTTCAAGAATTTTTAACTAAAACTCTTCGTTAAATCGATTAATTTTAATAATTTTCGAAAAAGTTCTTTGACAATTTTCAAATCCATTTGTTTACAATATTCAATTTTACAAAATTTCAATTATTCCTAAATTCTTCAATTAAATATATATTAGAAAATAAAAAGTTCAAATAATATTAAAAAAAATGCAATTAAACTTTTACAAAAAAATTAATTTTTCAAAATTCAATTATTTCTAAAAATTCACGCTATTTTGCTTTTAATATTCAATTATAATCTAAAATTTTAACTGAAATCCATTTTTAAATTAATTTTTATTAGAAAATTCTACTAGAATTCAATTATTTAAATATAAATAAAATGCAAATAAACAATTTATTGAATAATTGAATGTTTCTTAAAATTCAATTTCCCATAAAGAATTCAATCAACAAATTTTTAAATAATTGAATTCTTTTCGACGAATTTTAATAAAATTTTTAAGAATAATTACATTTTTCGAAAAAGTCGAGTAAAATTATATTAAAAATAATTGAAATTCTGCGTTGAGTTTTATTATTTGTAAAAAGAATTGAATCCCTGAGAAGAATTGAAAATAATTGAATTTCTGCAAATAATTTGTAACTTTTCCAAAATTAAATTATTTTTCTTGTTTTTTAATTAAAATTCTTCTATAAATGCTTTATTTTTAATAATTTTTGAAAAAGTTCTTTGAGAATTTTCAAATCCGATGGTTTACAATTCAATTTTACGAAATTGCGATTATTCAGAAATTTTTCAATTGAATACGTATTAAACAATAAACACTTCAAATAATTTCAGAAAAATCCAATTAAACTTTATAGAAAAAAAATTAATTTTACAGTATTGTAAGTTAAAAGTATGAAAAATTCAGATTTTTAAAAGATTTTGATACCTTTTCAAAATTCAAATATTTCTTAAAATTCACGCTATAATGCTTTTAATATTCAATTATTATCTAATATTTGAACTGAAATTAAGTTTTAAATTAATTTTCAATAGAAAATTCTACTGGAATTCAATTATACAAATACAAAAATAAATAATTTATTGAATAATTGAAGGATTTTAAAACATTGAATTTTCCGTAAAGAATTTTATTAACAAATTTTTAAATAATTGAATTCTTATAAAAACTTTTTATTAAAATAGTAGATATTGAAAATTTTTGAAAAATAAATTATTTTTCAAAAATTATTTTTTAATTGAAAATTTTGCCAAGAATTTTATTAAAATTTTTTTAAATAATTGAATTTCAGAGAAGAATTTTAATTATTTTTAAAGATAATTGAAATTTTGAAGAGGATTTTTTTAAACTTTTAAACAAAATTGAATTTCTGAGAATTTCTTATTTATAAAAATAAAAAATTTTGTCAAGAATTTTATTAAAATTTTTTAAATAATTGAATTTCGGAGAAGAATTTGATTATTTTCAAAGATAATTGAAATTTTGCCGAGGATTTCTTTTAAATTTTCGAATAAAATTGAATTTCTGAGAAGAATTTTATTAATTTTTAAAGATAATTGAAATTTTGACAAGAATTTTATTAAAATTTTTGAAAATAATTGAATTTTGGAGAAGAATTTAATTATTTTTAAAGATAATTGAAATATTGACGAGAATTTTCAAACATTTTTAAACATAATTGAATTTTTGCGAATAATTTTATTACTTTTGAAAATAATTAAATTTCTGCAATCATTTGTAACTTCTCCAAACTTTAATTGTTTTAGTGTTTCTATCTAAAATTCTTCTATAAATCTATTATTTTTAATAATTAATTAAATATATATTAAAAAATGTAACTAATTTCAGAAGAATTTAAATTATTAAAATTCTTCAAAAATCTAAGTTCTTTCTAATGAATATGAATGAATTTATTAAAAATTGAAATTTTATAAAATTTCAAACTAAAAACTTTTCAAGTTCATCTATTAATGAAAATTGTAACGCAACTCTTTTAAAATTAAATTAATTTTGAAATATTTAAGTAAAATTATTCATTAAATAATTGATAAGTAAAATTTTATGATAATTCTTCAAGAATGAAGATATTTAAAAAAAAAATTATTATCATTATTATCATTTTCTTGTCAATTATAAAGATTTAATTTTTTCCACTACTTTTAATAAGAATCCCTGACTTTTCCCCGATTTCCCTGACCTGTGGCAACTCTGTTTTAGTTTTTAGTTAATCCAAAAAGTAAAGAATAATTTAAAGGAACCTACCATTCAATTTACTTCTATAACGAGCTTCAACTTCCTGCGGCGAAAGCAATTCTGGCACGTGTATATTTATATTGCTGATCATCGGTTTATTTAACTGTGAAGTTTCTTCAGAACTTTCTGAACTATTTTTCCGATGAATTTCAACTTTCAAGTCTATCGTTGAACTCGGCTTATCACGTGCATAATCTGACGTTATACTATCAGCGTCTACATTTTGAATATTATTCGGTTCTATGTACGAATTACGAGATGAACATTCCACAGGCGGAGTATCCGTTTTTCCTGATAATAAAAATCATTAATTTTTGTTTAATATAAAAAAAAAAATGAAGAGAAAATTTTAAATAATACCATTTAGAACTTGAAGTTCAATTCCAAGATCCATTTGATCCTGTGAAGGATCTCGTCGTTTATTGCGAGAGGCGCGTTTTTTTTCACTTTCAGATTTTTGTTGACAAACATTTTGACCTGGTTCTTCGTGACATTCAGTGGTATCGTACACACAATGAAGAGCGTGATTAACACACTTAATTGTCCCGAAAAGGAGGACAATTGACGAACAATAGGCGAGCCATACAAAAAGTGTCGGTGGAAAGTACTGCAAAAAGATTTCACTTTTATCACCATTTTTTTTTAGAGGTTAAAAAAGAATGACACAGTTTTATTTATGTTATCAAAAAATACTCCGATATCACATGACATCTTTAACTTGTTTTCCGAAATATGACTAAATGAAATAATTATCAATTTTTAGTAAACTGATCCGTGTAGAATAGTGATTTATTCATTAAATAACATGAAAAAAAAATACTTGTCCTAAATTTTCTTTTGCAATTTTGCTCTTTAAATACAAGAGGATTGTTTGGACTAAAATAGTAGTTTTAATGGTGAACTAAATAAAACTTACAAGGTATATTGTGAATGGCAAACAAAGTAAGAAAAGCCATACGTAAAGATGAAAAGTATTAGAAAAAACGTCGAGATGAGGATCGTAAAACCAGCCTCCTGTCAGGCTCGCCCAGACGCCTTGTCTCAAAATTTCCAGTGTTTGAGAACCCATTCCAAAAGCTCACAGGACACATCACCATTTTTCCATTGTTTCACTAATTTACATTTCACACTTGTACTCTCCTTTTCTTTCGCAAAAACATTCAAGTAATCGTGGAGTGTTGCATTTTAATCCGTCATAAATCAATGAACTTCATTCATTTCTATTAACAATCTATGATTACTCGGGGAATAGAAAGGAGACTTTAATATAGGTTAGGAAAAGTGACAGTTCAGCTTTGCACACACGTATGAAATATTTGTTTTTAATAATCTGAATACACCTTTAAATTAAATGGCAAATTTTCAAATTAAACAGTGCTACCAAAATTATAAAAATCGACCGCCAGAGTTCGCTTCGGTCAGGGATGGGCAGTTGTGAAAAAGATTGTCCAAAAATATCTTACAATAGAATAATTACAAATAGTAGATAAAAATAGGTTAAATAATAAATTACTCGGTGTTATATTGACTGCTTAATCATTTCTATTCTAAATAGATAATAGTAGAAATAGAAACTCTATTGTTTCTTTTTGCGTAGTACACATTCCCACCTTTGTCTCCGATACTTAATGGTATACGCCTACCCATCTCTGTTCGTGTCAGTCGCACACAGTGAAAATGTCAAAAAAAAAGTGTTTATCGTGTACAGGTTTGTTGTTATTTACAAACTTTTGAGTGTGTGTTATTGTGCAAGAGAGAGTCAGAATTAACCGGGACAACAGTTTGATAACAAAAGTTTCTATCAAAGCAGTAAAAATGGCTGAAGCTGAGCAAGAGAATTCTGAACGTGGAGATGGTGATACTGTTAAGTCTGATAAGTTATTTACATTAAAAAAATGGAATGCAGTTGCCATGTGGAGCTGGGATGTTGAATGTGATACTTGCGCGATTTGCAGAGTTCAAGTTATGGGTGAGTAACATAACCTCAAATATTACATTTTATTCCAATACAATGTTTTTTATTTCCTTTTACGTCCTATAAAAAGATTGTTTCGCGAAATTTTTGCACATATTTATGCAAATTGATATGCGGTTTGTGAAATAATGTAGAAATTTGACTTAGTCATCGCCTTGATGTTATATCATTTCGTAAAAAGCGTTATCGGCTTTTTGCAAAGTTGCAAAATCTTTTGACTTATTTGTAAAATCGTAAAAGGTTTTTTTTTTAATTATTTGAGCTACTTGAACGGAAAAAATTGAGAAATTTGTAATAATAAAACCAAATAATATAATTATATTTATGCATATAATTATTTTTGGTATATTTTTTCAAATTATATTTCTTGCCTTTTGATCAAACAAAATTGAAAAACGAGCTTATATTTTCCACTTCAATTGATATTAGTGTATTAAGGGCATTTGAACCTTGATGACGTCACACATGCTTTGCACAAAGTGTAACGTCATCAAGGTTCAAATGCCCTTAAAGAGGAAAAAATTATTTTTTACCTTCTAATTGTCGCTTAATCATAAATCGATAAATTTTCTTTCTGTAAAAAGGAAAAGGAAAAATTAAAAGTAGGAAACAAGTTTGATTTAAATTATTCTATTGTCACGAATTAATAACTTATCAATGAGTTAAAAATCATAAATACAATGTTTGTGTTAAAATGGTGTTTACAAACAATCGCAATTTAAAACATTTTTAAGATTAAAAGTATACAATTAAAATTCTTTTCGAAGAGTTTAAAATATTTTTTTTAAATTAATTTTTTTTTTACAAACATATATTTAATGTGAAATAAAATCATGAATTTTTCTAAAACATTAAAAGTACATACATAGGAAAATTTCGTTTTGTAACAATAGACAATTGCTATCAATCTATTTTGATTAAATTTTCTTTAAAAAATATTCATTACTAAATAATTACAATGTAAATAATATTAAGAAATCAACATTATTGAATATCACGCAATTAATCGTATACAACTAATGAGATTTGTCTCTCACAAACATACATACATTCTTTAATTTGATACAAATAAAGTACAATGTTTCTAAAAATTAAGTACATCCACACATTTATTTTCAATTATCCATATTTGTGCAATTTGTCTTTGTTTTTTTTTGTATTTATATCAGTAAAAGTGTTAAAAAAATTTCAAAATCATGCACATTTCAAAATTTTTCTAAGCTTCTAATCTTTTTTTTTAAATTTCTAAAGCTCCTACATTCAAGTCTCTCTAATAAAAAAAAAATTCTCTTAAAACTATCTAACTGGCTCAGAAACAATTTCACTAGGTACACTTCAGAATTCACGAGCAATTTGCTATAAAAAAATAATAAAATATAAAAGACATTTGTCTTTTTTTTCCTTAAAAACTATATCTTGATCTCTATTTACAATTCATCTGTGTGATCAATTTGATTTCAAAAAAAGACAAGCCTCTGTCTATTTACAATTAAAATTTAAACATAATTCGTAGCACCAAGTCTTCTTGATTTTCTTTTATCTTATCGCATTCATTTTTTTTCTCTCTCATCATTGGCTTGAGGTAGACTCTGTAGGATTGTTGTTTGAAAAAAAAAATTAAAAATAAATAAAAACAATAACAGAAGTTATACATCTAGTCAACAGCAATTACTACACAAAATTTTCCCTTCTGTCTGACAAATTCAAGAGATTTCTCTTTTAACACCCCCCCCCCGTACACTCTTCATTTATTATTCTTCTATTAATTTCTATAAATACGTAAATGTAATGAGAAGTAGACAATATATGAGCAAAATGAGTAACTGACAAGTCAGTACTTTTTAAATCCCATTTCGTATCACAAATATTGTAAAAACCTTTAATATTTCCGATAAATGTATTGTTTTCAAATGTTATTCAATAATAAAAAAAAGTTTTAAAAGAAACGGAAAAATTATCATTCAAAACGACATAGAGAATGAGAATTTATCGGAAATATTAAAAATTCTACAAACTTGCTTATCACAAATATTTTTTGTTGAAAAAAAAATTATATTAATACACTAGTCATGACTTATTGCGCAAATATTGTTGACAACTTAAGTTTCGATATCAGCTAAATTTTTCTGTAGAGAAAATTAAATAATTGTTCACAAATTTGAGTTTAGATTGAAATAATTTTAAAGAGAACGTTAAAATGAAAATAATATTAGGCACTTGTTTAGAAAATCTTAAAGTTTTTGCTATTTTTTGATAATTTTGCTAATTTTGCTAATTTTGCTATTTTCTCCTTAAAGTTTTTTTTATATTTAAAATAGATTTGTGCATTTATATAAGGAAAAAATTCTTCCAGTTGATATTTTTTTTCTTTCATTATAAATTTGTGGTTTTATAGGAAGTTTATTATTAACAGTCTTGCAGTGGAAATTTAATGCTGAATCGGGGAAATTTTTTTTAGTATAAAAAATCTATAAAATCCCACTTTGTAAAAATTTTTCTTGCCTCTATTAGATGGTTTTTTAAACTATATTTTTTTATTTAGTTTTTTCACTGTTTTTTTTTTATTTTATTTTATTTTTTTTACTTTTATTCTATTTTATTTTTATTTTCTGGGTTTCTTCCTAGTTTTTTAATGTCTAAAATGGAATTTAACATTTTTTATAACTTTTTTAAAATATTTTTTTATCCCCTTAAAAATTGTCCGTTTTCAGCATTAATTTTCGTATGTAAAAAATTATTTTCTCAAAAATTTAAAAAACTGTTTCAAAAAATCAAGTTGATTTGAATATTTGTTGTTAAAATATTTTTCAAATGTTCTTAAAGTATTAAAATGGTATTTTAAAAATAAATGAAAATTCCTTGCGGAATGAATTATTTGTAAAAAAAAACTACGTTTGCGAAGTTCACAACGTTTATAATTAACAATTGAGTAGAAAAAAATTTTTTTCTTCAAATTTTTGTCTGTCATTTCTTGATAAACAATTTAATAAAGAAAAATTCATAAACAAAAACTAATTTTTCTCTTTCTTCCATTGATCATAAACGATCGAAAAAAAGACAAATTTTTTGTTTACAAATTTTTCTTTTCGAAATTTCAATCACGAAAGTTGTGAAACATTTTTTGAAAAAAAATTTGAAGGGAAACATTTTTTTCTCAAAATTGTTGATTTTAAACGTGGAAAAATTTTCTGATGAATAATGTGGAAGAATTCCCTGCTATTTATTTTGTTCTCTTTAAAGGGAAAAAAGGGTGCGCGAAAAGAGAGCATTATCACTTTGTTATTTGTAATTTCGAAAAAATTCGATTAAAAATATCTATTTTACACTTATTAATGACTATAAAGGAAAATGAAACTGGTGCTCGATTTATAGCATTATAAATCAATAGTGATAATCCTTTCTATCGTAGCTCTTAGAACGAGCTGAGTCCAGTAATTTTGGTTTAAACAAAACGCATCGCGTTTTTTTTTCTTAAAGTATAAAATTAAAGTCCTATAATATTATATATTAAAATTTTTGTTTTTTTGTTTCACGTGTGACTAAAATATACTTAACACGCCGTTGGCATTGGTTTCATGTTGGCGACAGCGCTCATTCTTCTTGTTTTGCCAGTGAGGCCGCTCTCAATTTCCTCCAAGGACCTGCCTTGTGTTTCCGGGACGCACGTCTTCACAAATATCAATGCGATAAAACAAACAATGCCAAATAGCCAAAATGCTCCATTAATGCCAATCAGATTGATTACATCGGGGAATGTCTTCGTCACGCCAAATGTGCAGAACCAATTGAAACTTGTGATAACACTCGCTGCTGAGCCACGAATTTTCGCTGGTAAAATTTCGCCCATCATTAACCAGGGAATTGGTCCAAAACCCAATGAGAATCCAATCATGTAGATAATCATGCTGACCAATGGTATCCAACCGTAGGGCGTAAGATCGTAATTGAAGTTTTTGAAGTAGAAAAATGTTCCAAGTGCAATTAGAGTAATTGTCATTAAAATACTGCTGACGTAGAGGAGAAGTTTTCGACCAGCACGATCGATTAAAATTGTTGCTACGAATGTTGATAAGAAGTTAACAACTCCTAAGATTATGGCACAAATGTTATTGTCTATCGTGCTGCCTGCGTCCTGGAAAATTAATTTAACGGAAAGTTAAAGTCCGTAATCTAATTGAGAAAAAACGAAAAGTTCGTAAATTGTACGATATAATTTGGAGAATTTTAGATTGCAGAAATTCAATTATTTTCAAAAGTAATAAAATTCTTCGCAAAAATTCAATTATGTTCAAAAATGTTTGAAAATTCTCGTAAAATTTTCAATTATCTTTGGAAATAGGTAATTAAATTCTTCTCCGAAATTCAATTATCTTCAAAAATAATAAAACTCATTGCAGAATTTCAATTATTTTTAATACAATTTTAATCAAATTTCTCGAAAAATGTAATTATTTTGAAAAATTTTATTAAAATTCGTCAAAAGAATTCAATTATTTAAAAATTTGTTGATAAAATTCTTTATGGGAATTGAATTTTAAGAAACATTCAATTATTCAATAAATTATTTATTTTTGTATTTAAATAATTGAATTCTAGAAGAATTTTCTAATTTTCTAAAAATTGATTTAAAATGGATTTCAATTAAAATTTTAGATTATAATTGAATTTTAAAAGCATTAGAGCGTAAATTTTTAGAAATAATTTAATTTTGAAAAGGTTCCAGAATAAAATCTTTGGAAATTTGAATTTCTCATATTTTTAACTAACAATTCTGTGGAATTAATTTTTTTTGAGATTTTTTAATTGGAAGTTTTTTTGAAATTATTTAAAGTTTTTATTTTCTAATATATATTCAATTGAAGAATTTACGAATAATTGGAATTTTGTAAAATTGAATTGTAGACAAATGAATTTGAAAATTCTGAAAGAACTTTTTCAAAAATTATTAAAAATAATGCATTTATAGAAAAATTTTAATGAAAAACAAGAAAAAAAATTTAACTTTGGAAAAATTACAAATTATTGCAGAAATTCAATTATTTTCAAGAGTAATAATATTCTTCGCAAAAATTAAATATTTTTCAAAAATAATAAAAATCTTCTTAGGGATTCAATTATTTTCACAAATAATAAAACTCAACGCAGAATTTCAATTATTTTTAATACAATGTTAATGGACTTTCTCGAGAAATGTAATTATTATTAAAAATTTTATTAAAATTTGTCGAAAGAATTCAATTATTTAAAAGTTGGTTTATAAAATTCTTTATGGAAATTCAATTCATTCAATTATTGAATAAATTATTTATTTTTGTATTTAAATAATTGAATTCTCGTAGAATTTTCTAATGAAAATTGATTTAAAAATGAATTTCAGTAAAAATTTTAGATAGAATAATTGAATATTAAAGGCAATAAAGCGTGAATTTTTAAAAATAATTGAATTTTGAAATTAATTTGTTTGAAAAAGTTTAATTGCATTTTTTAAATATTATTTGAAGTTTTTATTTTCGAATATATATTTAATTGAAGAACTTACGAATAATTGAAATTTTGTAAAATTGAATATTGTAAACAAATGGATTTGAAAATTGTCAAAGATTTTTTGGTCCGTAAAGTCCGTGTTTTTAAATACTTTCACTAGTTCGAGCCCTGTTAGTATCGAATTGTACGAAATTTAATTTTGGTGAAATTCACTATACGTTTATAATCAACGATTTAGAAGAAAAAATTATTTTTCTATTCAAATAAATATAAATTTTTGCATTGTTTTTTGAACAATAATTTATAAAAGAAAATATTTGTACAAAAACATGTTTTACATAGATTTTTAATTAATAATTTAGGAAAAAAATATTTTCTACTATAAAAAAAGTTTGTTATTTTGTAATAAAAAGATCTGAAGGTTTATCTTTATCACAAAATAATTAAAAAAACAGTTTTATCAAAAAGAAAAATATTCTTTTTCTTTCAAATGTTGATCATAAGTGTAAATCTAACCAACGAGAAATTCAAATAATTAGAATTTGATTTTTATGAATAATTTTTTGCCACTCACCTTGAAAATTTTGATGGCATAAAATACGACGGCATTTATACCAGAAAATTGTTGAAATAACATGAGACCAAGGGAAATGAGAAATGGTTTTAAGTTTGTTCCACGGAAAAGTTCGAAGAATGAACTTTCAGTTTCATTTTTTTCACTGTCAATGTGAGCTCTCTCGACAGCCGCCATTTCATCGCTGATGTCAGTATTTTTTCCACGGAACCATTGTAATGCTTCACGTGCTTTCTTCGTTTTTCCTTTAGAAACATACCATCTTGGCGTCTCAGGAATAATAAATGTCAATATTAAAAATGGAATTGGCAAAACTCCGCCCAAAAATGATAAACTCGACCAATCTAAGAACATTCCAGCGGTAAAGCAAAGTAAGATTCCTGAAATTGGAGAAAAAATTGAAATTAATATTCGAGTGTGTGAAAACTTTTGTTAGGTTGGTGAATTTTTATAACTATTTGGAAAGAACAATATTTTTCTCTTCCATTAAAAAGTCAAATTTTGAAAGACAAAATTTGCGCCAAATGAAAAAATTCACAGCAATATTAATTCAGTTTCAATTACAATCAAATTGTAATTAAAATGAAATTTATATCAAATGAAATTCGCTATAGAATGAATTTTGGGGAATATTGAAATTTTTTTTTCTTTCCAAATTTGAAATTCAATTTATCTAAATTGAAATTACTTACCCATATTACCCAAAGCTGTTGGCAATATTCCAAGAGTTCCTCGCACTTCCGGTTGAATTGTTTCTCCAAGATAGACAGGCAATGCTAGAGAAGCAACACCAATACTGAATCCACACACAGCTCTGCCCACCAGAACTTGTGGGATATTATTCGCCAAACCAATTAAAAATCCAGCTGAAATTTCGAAAATTTTATTAATTTATTATTCTATCGAAATAATGAAAAAAAAAATTAAAGCAAAATTTAATTAAATTTCAGATCTTTGAATTTTATTACTACATAAATTCCTTTTAGTCGAATTTTTATTGAGCAGAATTTTTCTAGTAGAATTTCGTAGATAAAATTAAAATTAATTTGAGTTTTTACCTATGAGTATTTTTAAGTAATCGAATTTTTATTCAATTTGATTTATGTTTAAATAAATTTTTAATCAATGGAATTTATATTTAAATTTAATTTTTATTCACGTCTCTAAAATTGTGAACGTTCAAGTGAATGAAATTTATTTATTTTTCTTTCGAATTGAAATATTAATTAATTTGTTGTAATTTAATAAATCAAATTATGAATTAATTTTCAAAATTATTAAAACACTAGCAAATTTTTTATTTTCAAATATAAATTTTCTAAATAATTTCATAATCAAAATTTAAAAAATTCACTTATTAAGTACAAAATTAATTATAACTGTTCATATTTTCAAAAATTTAAATAAAATTTCACGAAAGAATTCAATTATTTTCCAAAATTTTAATAAATCTTTCTAAACAATTCAATAATTTTTTTAAATAGTAAAATCTTTACAAAAATTCAATGATTTTCAAAACAATTTTAATTGAATTCCTCCGAAGAATTCAATTTTTTAAAAAATTTTAACACATTTCGAAAAAATTCAATTAATTTTATAAATAGTAAAATTTTTTGCAGATGATCAATTATTTTCAAAACAACTTTAATTGAATTCCTCGGATAAATTCAAATATTTTTAAATATTTCCATAAATTTCAATTATTTCCTAAAATTTTAATAAATTCTTCGAAACAATTCAACTGTTTTTATAAATAGAATTAAAGAATTAAATTATTTTTAATCCAATTTAAAAAAAATTACACGAAAGAATTTAATTATTTTCAAAAATTTCCATAAAATTCAATTTCAAAAAGAATTTAAAATTCTCTAAAAATAATTCACAATTATTCTCAAAATATTTTTAAAAAATTCTTTCAATGCAATTTTTAAATATATTCGTCAAAAAAATGGAAAGAATTCAATTATTTAAAAAAAAAATAAAATTCTTGTGATGAATTCAATTATTTTGAATATATCCACTTAATTTTAATAAAATTCTTTAAAGAAATTCAATTATTTTCGAAACAACTTTAATTGAATTTCTCGAAAAAATTTCATTATTTTCAAATATTTCTATAAAATTCTTCATAACAATTTAATTATTTCTTAAAATTTTAATAAATTCTTCGAAAAGTTCAATTATTTTTATAAATAGTAAAATTCTTTGCAGAAATTCAATTCTTTTCAAAACAATTTTAATAGAATTTCTCGAAAGAATTTAAATTTTCAAATATTAACATAAAATTCATTTATTTTCTAAAATTTTAATAAATTCTTCGGAACAATTCAATTATTTTCAATTCACTTTTAATAAAATTCTTCTTCATAAAATTCAATTGCTTTCAAAATTTTCAATTAAAATTATTAAATAAACTTCATTATAGTTTAAAAAAATTCAAAGACATTCTTCAAAAGAATTTAATTGGAATTTTTAAAAATTTTAATAAAATTCTTTGCGAGAATTCAGTTATTTTCCTAGTAATTGTAATTGTAAAATAATTCCATTTATGAAAATAAAAATTATGAAAATTAAAATAATAAAAAAAATGTAAATTGTCAAATAAAAATTTAGTGAAATATAAATTTTAAAATTCGAAAATTCGGCTAATTTCCTAATATTTTCTTTTACTAATTCAAAAATTCGTTTGAATAAAAGTTGGATTATATAAAGATTTGATTAAATAAAAATTAGATTGAAAAGTAGATTAAATACAAAGTAAATTAAATAAAAAGTAGATTCAATAAAAGGCAGATTAAATAAGAAACAGATTAATATTAATTAAATAAAAAAAAGGTTTTAAAAAAATTGAGTTATAAATAAAAATTATCTTAGCTGAAAATTACCGTCGTTGAATAAAAATTCCATTACTAAAAAATTCTATTTTTGTAAAAATTCCCAGTTAATTTTAATTCAATTCAATGAAAATAAATAAAGTTTTGCAACAAATAAAAATTTCTAACAAATTGACTTTTAAAACTTATTCATACACCTTGCCTGAAGGCATGACAATTATGATATGGAAGCAAAAGAAAATGACGCAGTAAATTATTTCCGTAATCGTGATATAAATATAATTATATCTATTTATTTATTTATAAAAAAAGGAGGTCCCATTAGCGGATGCCAAAAATGGATTTTCTTGTGATAATTTGAATTAATTGGATGCTTACATGCAATGAATGGGATGGCAGTCATGAGAATTGTGGTCCTTCTTCCAAGATATTCAATGCTAGGACCTCCAGCAAATCCACCAAATAGAGCGCTTAGTGGCATAATAGAACCGATCCATGACTCCTATAATTGACAAATAATAAATTAATAATTAGATTCGAATATATTATTGTAATATTTGAATTTCATTGGCTCTAATTTGCAAATTTCTTTTTTGAGAAAATAATTTGTGGTTACTTTTGATCTAATGGATGGGTTTTTACTTTGGTCGGAGAGACTTTTGGAAATTTTTCTGATTTTTGGAATAAGGTTTTTGTTTAACTTTAGGGTAATTATTTATATTTGTGTACAAATTTTGTTATTGGAAAACGTCCTCGTTTGTTGTATTCTTGTCGTATTGGCAATTGTCTACGTGAACTGACTCTTTGATCTTCGAGAGATAAAAAGTTCATTGCCGCTAAATACATGGAGAGTTTATAAGTTTTTTTTACTATATATATAAGTGTCGGCCCTTCCCATAAAGTAATATCAGAAATTACAGTCACGTATTTGTTTTAGCGTTGAATCATTGTCAGCGAGAATTGTTGAGTCCTTCTGTTCAGTGCTATACCGAAAAGCGGAATATCAAAACTTCCTGTTCGATGAATATTTACTTATTATTAACGAATTACGTTTATTTATTATTCGCAGAAATTCGTCGATTTCTCTGAAATTTCGAAGAAGAATTTAAAATTTTTTAAATAAAATTAAAGAATTTAAAATTTAATTTTTATTTTTATTTTTATTAGTTGCAAAGTAAAACAGTCTGGAATTTATGATAATGTTTCCTTGATAGTAGATTATTCAACAAGAGAGGAAAGAAGATGTTTTCCGATGAGTTTGTAAATTATTGCTCTCGCTTCGCTCAAGCATCAATTTACAAACTCATCGAAAAACATCTTCTTTTCGCACGTTGTGCACAAGGTGCTTTTTGTAATTGTTTGCAGGCCTCGGATATTATGACTTTTTCGACTTTTTTCAAATAATGCGACTTTTATCGACTTATATTTCAAAATTGCGACTATTTCGACTTTTTAGACTTTTCTTCCAAATTTTGCGACAAAATACCATATTTTTTAGTCTAAAATGCAACTTATTTCAATTTCTATAAATTGAGAAAAGCTAATAATAGACAAATATTTGGAAATTTATTTTTGAATAAATTTCTAATTAAATTTTTTAAATTTACAATTGAAAAGATTTTTAATAATTGAAATTTTATCAAATTTAATTGAAAATAAATTATTTATTTAAAGTATTTTATTACAATTCTTGAAAATTAACTTTTGAAGAATTTTAATTGAAAATTTTGGAAATAATTGAATTCTCAAAAATTTTAATGAATTAAAAAAATTAAAAAATTTCAAGTGTAAATTCAATAAAAATGTTGAAAATTAATGAAAATTAGGTTCTAAAATAATAATAATTTTTAAAAAAAGTAATTCTCTGAATTATTACGTTTTAATTTTTCAAAATTCAATTATTTTCAATATTTTCGATATTCAATATTTTTAATATTTCCAAAAATTCAAATACACACACGAAATAATAACATTAAAATTTTTTAGAATTATTTTTAACGTTTTGGAGAAAATAATAATCATACTCAAAATTTTTGATAAAAATTCTTCAAAAAAAAAATATATTTTTTTTAAATTATACAAAGATTTTTTAATTATCTTCGAAAAATTACATTGCAATATTTATAATAAACTAATTCTTAGGATTTTTTTATCATAATTTTTTAAGTTTCAATTACCTTCGAACAAAGTAAATTAAAATTTTTTAAAATTTTCTATTTTAGAATTTTTGAAAAATCATTTATAATTGAAGTTCTTCGAAAATTTGATAATTTTTTATATATTTTTTAAAAATTCAATTATTTTGAAAAGATTTTATCAAATTTCAATTATTTTTCAAAGATTTTACTAAATTTTAATTTTTTAGACATTTTTCAATTGTTTGTAATTGTAAATTTATTGTCTCTTTCGAAATTAATTATCAAAATTATTAAAACATTATGTTATGAAATTTTAAATTGTTAAATTTACATTTTTGATTTTTATTGCAATCACAGTAACTTTTGAAAATATTTGAAATAATATTTCATTTAATTGAACGTTCTGAATTTTTGGAGCATTTTATTAAATAGAATTTATATTTAATTACATTTAATTTAAAAAGAGAATTTCTATTTGACTTTCTTTTATTTAAAAGAATTTTTCCCGAATTTTTATTTTTACAAATTGTCATTTGATTGAAATTGCAAAATGATCGAAATAATTATATAAAAATAATAATAATAATAATAATAATAATAATAATAGTACTAATAATAATTGTAAAATAATTCCATTTATGAAAATAAAATTTATAAAAATGAAAGTAATGAATAAATGTAAATGGTCAAATAAAAATTTAGTGAAATATAAATTTTGAAATTCGAAAATTCGGCTAATTTCCTAATATTTTGTTTTACTAATTCAAAAATTCGTTTGAATAAAAATTAGATTAAATAAAAATTACATTACAATATTTATAATAAAAACTAATTCTTTGAATTGTTTTATCATAATTTTTTAAGTTTTAATTACCTTCGAACAAAGTAAATTAAAGTTTTTAAACTATTTTAGAATTTTTGAAAAAACATTTATAATTAAAATTCTTCAAAAATTTGATTATTGTTTTATATACAAGTTTTGGTTAATTGAATTTAGAAATCAGTGAAGAATCAGGGAAATACAAAAAAAAAAAATGTTTGTGACAACATTAAATTAAATAAACGACTTTTTCGATTTTTTTTCTATTTTTAATCGACTAAAGTGACTTTTTTTGCTCGTTAATGTCGATCCGAGGCCTGTGTTTGGTAAAAGCATAATATTTACATTGTTTTAATAAAAGTAACAATTTTCTAGTATAGAGAAAAGTATGAAGAAAAAATCGTTTTTTTGTACATTGTGCAGTGAATTAATGAAAAGTGTGCTTTTCTGCATTACTTTTAGAATTTTGCTGCATATTTTGTGTGGAAGATTTCTGTATTGTTTTTACAAATTTTGTTTCACACTGTGCAGAAAATTATACTTTTCTACAATTACTATACTTTTGTTACAATTTTTTGTTGTTGCAATTTCTTTTGTACAGAAAGCTTTTTGAAAATTTTGATCCTCTACACTGTTTTTCAATTTTTCTAATACATATATATTCTGTGGAAAAGGAACTTTTTCTGCATAATAAGCAAAAATGTTTCTTTTGTAGATGACAAAGTTTTTTCAAAAGGAAATTATTCTCTTATTTTTTTCATAATTGTTTCGAAATGAAAAAAATTCTTTTCCCCCCGAGAAAAAGAAGAATAAGAAAAAGATTGTTGAGTCTTTTAATAGGAAGGAAGTTGTCTTAAGAGAAACTAAATATAGTACTGAGTACAAGATCCATTGAGCTTCTATTATGTCCTCATCTCTCGTTTAATTCTATCATCGTGCAATATAACATCCTGTGGAATGTAATCTTCAATTTTCAGGTAGTTCCACGAAAATCAAATTTTTAATCAATTTTTAATCGGTTTTTATAATCAGTTTATTCTTTCTCTTATTCTTTCACTATTTTTTGTCCTCAAATCTTTTCGTTTTCTTCTGTTTTTTCTCCTGTATCTGAACTTAGATTGTCGTCGCGTCTTCGTTTATTTTGTTTTTTGTTTTGAAAAACAAAATTGTATAAATTTGCAATAATTTTTTACGAAAAATGTTGTAGCAATGGCTGTAATTGATTTTATTGCTCGTAATTGTAAAGGAGTGGAGGTTTATTGAAAATACATTTATTTTACGTTAAAACATTTTGATTGAGTTGTGTGATCGTCAAGTGGTTTTTATTGTGACGCTTTTAATATATTCATCTTCTATTAAGCTTTTAGAATCGTCAGCAAAGGGGCATGTATAGAATGACGTCAAAAAAAAAGAGAAAAATAATCGGTGTGTCTTTACTAAACACGAATCATATTTCTTATTCAATCACTTTCATCAATTACCCATTATTTTATTGTTATAATTATTGCTATAGGTCAAATATTCTCCAAAAATCTTTTCTTTGTTTGTAAATACCTTCTTTAAGTTTCACCTCATTTTTTTGTGTTTTCAAAATGAATTCTTATTTTCCAATGGAGGTTTTGTTGTAAATTGTAATTTCTTTATATGCAAATTTTTTCTGTTCTGATTCTTTGGATCGAATAAGAAACTTTACTATTTTTGAAATAAAAACTAAACTGTTTGGAAGTTTGGCGCTTTTTGGCTTTGCAACTTTTACTATTTTCGGAGTAAATTCTACGTTCCAAGTACATTTTAATGATTTTTAGTAAAATTCACTTCGAAAAGGGTAAAACTTACTCTGGAAATAGTAAAAGCTGCCAAGCAGAAATGCAGAAGCGGAAATTCCTAACAGTTTAGGGTTTACTATGAAAGTTAATAAATGTTATGTTCTTTATTCTTTTTTACCATTAGGTCATAATTAGGGAAAAAATTCAAATAATCCGGTAGCAAAATAATTACTAAGTTTAATGATCCACAAGTTCTGAACATTGAAGTGAACGAAATTTTTTGCCAATATAAATATTTTCAAAAATAACTATATTGTAAAAAGCAAAAACATAATTAAACATTTAGAATCTTTATAATTTCCTTTTTTTAATACTTGACGCAATGTTATTGCAATAAATTTTTTTTAAGAAGAAGAATTAAATAGATTTCGTTCATCTGAACGTACAGATCTTTATAAATCTTTAAAAATCTACTGATTTGTTTATTTTTTTAATTTTGTTTTTTTAATTATACGGATTTTTTATGGTAACTGTTTGGATTGTTGCCTTGTTAATGAAAATTTGTGCAATAAGCTCAGTACTTACAATTTCATCGTCGACTTTAAAAGGTGTATTGGTTTCGGTAGAGTTCATGGATTGAACTGCTACTGATGGAAATGAACTTGAATATCCAATAATCATTGACGCCAGAGAAACTGAAAGTGCAGCCATAACCTGGAATTGAAACAAATGTTCATTAATTTTCTCCCTCTCTCTCTTTCTTTTTCCCAAATTAAACTATAAAAATTTTTGGTAACAATAATCTTGGTTCTAAGAGATAATCTCAATTTTTGACCATTTACCTGAGAAACAGTACATTTTGCCTTGGGGGCATTAATCGGTACTTGAATGTTCACATGAGTATCTGCTCGTAAAAGAATCTTCATGTTGATCTATTTTTATTATCCCTTTCTTTGCTATTTTCCTTTTTTTTTGGAAAAAGAAACTTCAGAAATGTTTCTTTAAATCTCTACTTGATTTTTTTAATATAATTGACGTAAACAAGTAATACTTGAGTGCAAGAAACAAATTTGTTTTGTTTTGAACTTTAAAAATATATCGATTAGAAATACATTTTTGGAATTCACGAGTTCAATGTTATTGATTAGAATTATCGGATGATGGTATCATAAATATATTTGATGATGGACAATATATCGATTGGAAAATTTAATTGTTTTTTGATTGACACGCGATTGAGTAGTGGAAGTTTTTGGTGTCACGGAATATTATAAGCTATTGACACTCATGGACCGTTTGTTCACTTATATAGGAACTGGTCTGGGGGCCGCGCCGGTTACCCCTTCTTTTTCTTCAGACGCGTTCATCATTTGCGAATTATTGTCAGTACTCATATACGATTCATATTTATTTCTCACATGTATTTACGTTTTTTCTCATTGTGCTTCATGTACTTTAATTTTTCAATGTCGACAGGAAGAAATAATTTTTGAAATTAGGGGGAAATTTTCGTTTATGAAAAATAATGATGATGTGATTATTTTAGATTTCGTCTTTATATATACGTACTAACTTTCTTCATGTATTATTTATAGAGCATGGACAATTTTCTCTTATATATGATTATGAAAGATGAAATTTTGTTTGAATCGTTTATTCAATGCTTAGCTCTAAATATATCCTATTGTTGTCAAATATGTCCTTCAAGTTCCAAACTTTCGAATGAACAAAATTAATTTTTTTTTTAATTCAAATTTTATTTTTAAAAAATAATTTATTAAGTTTCAGAGTTTAATTAATATCTTTATTGAGTGAGTAATTTTTTAATTAATTTCAGTGAGTGATTTGTGAAAATTTATTTCGTTCATTCGAAGGTTCAAAATTTTTGGAACATAATTAAATTAATTTACAAATTTTGGTATTGCAAATATTAGGAGAATATTTGCTTTATGGTTTAAAAATGTAGTGTATCGTGTTTGCTGGAATATGATTGGTTGCAAACTGGTAGGAAAATTACTCGCGCCATCAGAATGAACCAATCAATTTACAGTGAATCGATATATCGAATTATGCAATCGAAGAAAGAACGTCAGTTTTGACATTGACTCTAATTTTTCACCACGTGGGTTTAATTCAAAGCAGATAGTAATGTGAACTTTCAATGTTGTTTGTTTTCTTTTTTCAAATTTTAACGTTTTATAAATTTATCTAAATAAGCAATACCTTTTCATTTTTAGTGAGAATGTAAAATAAATAATTAAATTAATGGAAACAGGATTTAAAAAGTAAAATTAAATTTTTTAAATTAGAAAAAAGTAGAATTTTAAATTAATGATTAATTTATGTCAACTTGATTGCTTGATAAAATTTGCAAATTTCTTATAAATTTCTCAGAAAATAGGTAATATAAAAATTTTAATTTTAATAAAAGTTTTTTTTTTTATATAAATATAAAAATTATCTGACATGTCGTTGGAAAATTTATAGCATTATTGTTATTTTATTGGGGTATTTTTATCCGACACATTCTGATTGTAATAAAAACAATGAGTTCAATTAGAAGGGAATTTTATTCGTCAAATAGCGTTATATTGAATTAAGTGAAGTAATTGCGATAGTTGTTATTTGATAATCAGGTGCATCAACAATAAATGCATCTGTAACTGTTTTCGTAAAGAAAATTTTTCTGTTTGTAAATTGAAATTTCTAATTAAATTTTAATTTAACGTAATTAATAATAAAAGCAATAATAATAGGAGTAATAATAATAATAACAACAACAATAATAATGATCTTGATTATCATTAAAAATGAGATAAAATATTATTAAAAATAATCTAAAATGTAAGACATAAAACAATAAATATATTCTTTAAATAAATGTACGTACATCTATTAAAAAATATTATAAATTATTTGATTCAGTGTTATGGAAACAAATACGAATCTGTCATTCAATTCACTCTCAATAAAAAAACTTTACGCACTTTCTTTTCAAATCATTGACCTTAATGGCTTCATTTTGAACCTACCGAATTTTAAAATGACTCATTGTGCTATTTATATGAAAAAAAAATTGCTCCTAGAATTATTACGTGACTTATAAAATAATTTTCGTATATTTGCATGAATTCGTGCATTATTTCTGTAAGCAGCAAAATTTTGAAGGTTCAAATGAACGAAGTATTTTTTATTAAAAATACTTTCAAAAAATTACTTATTTTGATAGAAATAAAAAAATTTAATTTTACATTTAAAAACTTTATTATTAACATTTTTTTTATTGTTTATTAAATTATTTAAATTGTATTTATTGTCTGCGTATTGAATAATTTTTAACTCAATTATTGTTTGTTGAATAATTCTCATTATTGCGTTTATTGATTTTTAAACAAATAATATTTTAAATTCTATACAATTATTTTTTTTTAAACAGTCTCTGTATATACTTGAATTTATTATAATAAATTGTTGAGGGAAAGTATTTGGTTTTTATGTAAGTCAAGGAAAATAGAAAAATTAATGCGAGGAAAAATGAAGGAAAATATTGAATAAATTTTTCCTATTGTCTTTGTTTTGTTTTATTTTGTAATTTTGGACTGATTATTATTGCTTATTGAAATTCAATTTTTTTACGTTCCTTTTCTTTTTAGTTATGTAAGTGGGAAATTATTTGAAAATTGATTATTATTTTGGACAAAATATAAAAAAATTACATAAGGAATTAGAAATTCTAATGTTTTTATACATATATATCTGTGTTTTACGGCTGCCTTTACTCGCACTTGTACTACTGAAAGTACAATCTGACGTAAAAGTTTTGTTTCATTTCGGTTTTTAATATTGTTAATTATTCAATATTTATAATTATTGATAATTTTTCAATTGATCATTAATTATTAATTTGGAAAAAATTTTACTTACTAGTGTAAATAAATTTTTTTATTAAATTTATAACAACAAATTCTTTATTAAAGTGAATAAATTTTTTCTTTTTACATTTAAATCAATATTTTTAATTTGATACCTAATTTTTTAATTTTTAAAATTGAAATTTTTTAATTTAGAAATTAATTCTTAATTAAGTAAATGTTTACTTTTAATTAATTTTCATTTCAGTTGACTTTTAAAGATATTTAATATTATAGAAAAATAAATCCGTTCATTTGAACTTTAGGAAAATAACTTACTTTTGATTGAAAAAAATCTCTTTCAAAAGTTTTAGTACCATTTTACTGGGCGATTACAGAAAAATTACTATTTTTTTTTTGTTTTTTTGAAAAGGGAAATTTCTTATGAAATTTTGCAAATTTTTTTGTTTGTTTATATGAGAAACTTTGAATCTTTTTTCTATATTAAAGAAGGAAACTTTCCAATGTCGTTCCTTGAATGACAAAACCAAGATAAACCAGTTTAATAGTATTAAGAACAATGTTTCTTCTTACAAGAAGGAAATATCTACTTCTAGTTTTTACTCACAATTGTAGGAAATAGTGACTGTTTTTTTCTACTTTTTCATGGATAAATTTATCTAATATTTTATTCGATAATTTTTCCACTCCTATTCATTTATTAATGTTAATAAATAATAATAATATAATTGATATTATAATATTAATAATAATAAAAATGACAACAATAATAATAATTATTATTCATTTATTTATTATCATTATTATTATTATTACTACTATTATTATTGTTATTTTTGTCATCCTTGCTGTTATATTTTATGTTATGATTTGTTTATTTTATTTTTGCAATTATAATTATTTTTTTTTATTGTAATTATTATAATAATTTTTTTTTAATTTTTATATTCGATTTTTTTTATTGCCAATGGTTTTGGAAATACTTATTGTAGATTAATGAAAAACCGCCAGATGGCACAATGTTTACGTTATCTGATGATGTAACATTAATGCTATAATTTTCCTTATGTGAAGCTGAACGCTTTTCTTTTTGGAATAAAAAAAATGGCTTTTAAAAAATGTAAACAGAAAAAATACTTATTAGGTACAATTTTTTTTATCTCTAAATAATTATAAGCTTTAATACCTATTCATGTTCTAATTATTGTTAGTGAATAAATTTTTCTTTCTCTTATTAATTTATAAATATTATACTGAAAAAAAATTTACTTGATTCAAATAAACTATTATTTGACTATTATCAAATAAATATTTGAGTCAATTAAATGGTATTTGCTTCAATTACTGAAATTATTATTAATTTAAATATAATTTATTTGAATTAAATATAAGTATTTGATTCAATGTAATATTTATTTGATAATAGACAAATATCGTGTAATTAATTTAAATAAAAATTATTTGGTTTAATGTTTTAATTGAATTGAAATTTAATTTAATTGAAAAAGTAATTTTTTCAGTGCAATTATATTTAGTTCAATTTTAATTATGAACGTCATTATTGATTATAATTGTAATTTTTAATCACAATTTTGATTCTTATATTGTAATCATTAATTATAATTTTAATTCTAATTATAATGCGGAAAATTTAATTCTATCTTATAAATGAGACAAATCCCATTAAAAAGGAACCAAATCCTTTATCGTCTCACTTTATCAGGTTCGACTGAATGCAAAAAATGGTTAAAATTTTGAATTGGATTAATTTTTGTGTAACATACCTGTGTGGCATATTTAGAGTAGAAACTAATTTTTTTCGACGACCCCCTTCCAAATTGAAATGAGACCTTGTCCTTTGCATTTTCCAATTCCATGATATCTTTATTATCGTGAGATTGTGAATCTTTTAAAAGTGGATCTAATTGCTTGTAGTTAGTGTCAGATCCTTTGCCCAATGGATCGTAAATTTGTGCTCTTGTAATTGGATTTTGATGATTGATCTTCAAATTCTCAGCATAGTAATTTTTTGTCGTTGATTTTTGATTTTCGTTAATGGATAAATTTTTCTTCCTCTCCTCAATTAAATCCACCTGACTGTTGAATGAACTGACACTTGTCAGGAGGGTTGTATTTGAGGCACAATCCAATTCCAAATTTGAATTCGGCGCTAATGTGTGAACTCTCTTGTAATTTGGAAGGATCGCGTGATCCTGTAATTGATAAGAAAAAATTGTGATTAATTTTAATTATAAAATACAATATCAATTTTGCTGAATATTTTTTTTTTATTTTTTCTTTACTTTTTTTTTTATTTATTCTCTATACTTATTTTTTATTTATTCTCTACTTATTTTTTATTTATTATTTACTGATTTTTTATTTATAATTTATTTTTTACACATTTTTTATTTATTTTTTAGTAAATTTTAATTATTTTATTACATTTAAAAAAAAATTATTGCTTTGTTCCTTCTTGGAAATTAGAATTTATTTTCCGGGAAAAAACGAATAAAATAACTTTCTCTACTTTCGCAGTAAAAACTGAAATGTCTGGACTTTCTGAATTTTTACTATTTTTTAGAGTAAATTTTACCATTTTCAAAGTAACTTTTTTTTAGTAAATTTTTGTAAAATTGATTTTGAAAAATGGTAAAAGTTGACATATAGAAATAGGCAAAAAAATTTTGACGTTATTTGTTTACACAATTCGACGCAATTAAAGGGAATATTTATATCAATAAGAATCATTTACCATAGGAACGTTTATTATTGAATGAATTATTGATGAATTGTTATTTATATCGAATTTTGACATATTCGTTAATTGTCAATATTTACTGCGTAATTGTCAATGCACTAAAAAATAAAATGCGTTAATTTTATTTAAAATTTTGAAAAATTTAGTCAAAAGCTATATAAACTTGATATTATAGCGTTTTCGTAAATACTGAAGTAAAATTACAATTAAGAATCTGTCGGTCATTGAACTCGTGAAAACAATAAAGAAACGACAATTATCAATATAAGGACAGAGAAACAACAGAAGAATTTATTTTATTCACTTTTGTTGGTAAATTTTTATTTAAGCGCTAAATTCGAAAATTAAATTGAATTCTCTCTAAAAATGTGAAAATGTGAGAGAAAAATCAAAAAAAAAATTTTTTTTAATTAGGTACACATTGTTGGTGAATTTTATTTGTTATGTTTTACATTCGAATTGTTTTTTTTTGGATTTGGTTCAGTAGCCTAAATACTCAATCGGCAATTTTTTGAATTAAGATTTTTAATTCGATGTCATTTTTAAATTTTTCGAAAAATGTAAATTTATTTTTAGTTCTATTCATTATTTTTATTAAGTATTCACAAAATTTATTTTCTTCATTTTTTTTTGTGACTGAATTTAATTTCGTTAATTTTTTACTTTGAAAGAACAAATTTTTTTTCTGATAAATTTCAAAAATTACTATAGACAAAAATTGAAAACAATATTATATTTTTAACAAATTTATTGTCGCTCCTAATTTGAACGTGCAAAATTTTAGAAATATTTGAATTACAAATTTTAAACGTTCAAATGAACAAAATTTATTTATTTTTTCTTTAAATTCAAATATGTTTAAAAAAAATTCTGAACGTTCATCTAAACGAAATATTTTTTCGATATAAATATTTTATGAATTACTCATTAAAATAAAAATCGAAAACATAAAATATACTAAAAGTTTTGAAAATTAAAATCAATGAAAGGTATTTATTTCCTCTTTCAAATTCCAATTTTATTAAAATAGTTATATAATAATTCCAGTAAAAAATAATTTATAATGTTGCGCAAAATATTTAATTAACGTTTTTGGTTTTTGTATTTTTTAAAAAATTTTTACTTTAAAACTTTCTAAATATTTTCTTAATAAAATATATATTTTTTATAAACAAATTTCTTATTGCAAAAAAAAAATAAATATTTCGTTGATTTGAACGTTCTGAACTTTAGGGTTATTTTTAAATTCAACTGTAATAATGTATTGCGTCACTTATTGAAATTTAATTTATAAAGTTTCAAAATGTTTAATTCACGTTTTTGATTTTTAATTTAGTTTATAATTTTAGAAAATATTTATAATGAAACAATATTTTGTTTATTTGAACGTTTAGAATTTTTGGAATTTTGGTTTTACAATAGTTATTTTTTTACTTTTCTCCCAGTAGGAAGAGCATATATTTTTTTCGAAAATTACTTTTTGATTAAAATATCAAATTAATATCACTTTCTGCTAAATTACTCACCAATATTCGCGAAGGCAATATTAAATTTTGATTCATCTTTTCTCTTTTTTTTAATTGTAGATTTTGTTAAAAATTTTTTTGCAACACAATACACAAAATAACACTTTTCCTTAGACACAAGAGAGGTGAATAAGTGGGGTAAGGAATAAAACTATAAAAAATAATTTATTAAAAACGAAGATTTAATGAATCTTGAATTTTTAATTAAGAAGTTAAAATTACTGGTAAGAAGATTTGATCAATCTTCAATTTTTAAATAAGAAATGAAAATTACTGGTAATTTAATTAATTAATATTTAATTAATCTTGAATTTTGAATTAAAAAGTTAAAATTACAGATAAAAAGAAACGTTTTATTAACGTTAAACTATATTTGTACTTTTGTTCCGGGCATAATAGAAAAGCGCACTATTTGAAGACTCAAGTAAAACTGATAGATTTTCAAGGGTAGAAAATGACAATTCTTGCCTGAAAGGTATAAAAGGTTTACTAATTATATTATGGTGGGAGGTGATGAGTTGTGCTTGTATATATGGGATTTTTCAAAAGTAATAAGCCAAATTCTTTTGCAGGTAAAATATCGTTCGAGCGATAATCCGAGGAGTAAAAGCAATTAAGCAAACGTAGGCGCATTTTTAGATACTTTGTATTGATAAATCATCGTATAATAACCGTTGAAAATACTTTTTTCGACTTGAAAAGAAAGTTTTTGACGAAAAAGTTGGAAATTTTAATCGAAAAATTTTTTTTTTATTTTTAAATTCGTTGCTTCTTTTGGAACGTGTCTCTAATAGTTTGAAGTAGAAAGAAATTAATTTCGTTCGTTTAACAGTTCAAAACTTTAGAGACATAAAAATTTGTTTTCGCATTTTGTAAACGCAAATTTTTTTTCAATCCTTTTCTATTTAATTTTTTCAAATTCGTTCTTTAATCCCTAAAAAAATTGAATTAAACAAATAATTGAACGTAATTGAAATCCAACAATTAAAAATTATTCCTTTGAATTTTTTTTCTATAAGGCAAACATTATTTCTTGAGATAAATAAAATTTATTATGATTTTAATAGTGGATGTAATATGGCGCCAATAATTAAAAACAATATTCTTCTTGGGGGAAAAAAAAAGTTGTTTTTTTCTTTTTTTTGCTATGTAGACCGCATTTATCGTGTGTTGTGCAAGTTTAATCGTAAATTTTATATTAGCAGAGATAAAAAGATCGATTTGAAATCTCTCTCTCTCTCTCTCTCTCTCTCTATTTTTCTTCTTTTTCGTTCTCAATAAATATCCAGAAAATGTGAAATATCCATTATAAACAAAACTGGACAATACTGGTGTAAAATTCTTCTTCTTACGCTCTCTTCTCGTGATATCTCGCGAAGAGAAACATTTCTATCACGTGATACTTGCGCCACGCAGTTTTTTTCTTTTTTCTTTTAAATTTATAGTGATTTTTATCAATTTAATAGACCGGAATTGGGTGATTATTTTTAGTTTTGTAATTAATAATATGTTGACCTAATTTTTCTGCTTTAGAGGGAAACAATTTTTAGTTTTCGTTTTTATTTGCAATTTTGAAATTAATTAAATTAAATTAACGATAAGTGCAAACAATTCGGAACGTTCAAATAAACAAAAGAATTTTTTTATATTAAATTTTTCAAAATTGTTAACTGCAATAAAAAACTAAGACGGAAATTTCAACCTAAAATTCTAAACGTTCTAATGACCGAAATTTATTTATTTCTTCTAGAAATTAAATTTTTATTATATACTTTTTTATTATATTTTTTTACTATTTTTACTTTTTTTACTATTATTGTATAATTTTGCGTTATTGGACAAAAAAATTTATTATTAAGTTTTTAAATGTCAAATTTAAATTTTTAATTTTTATTCCAATATCAGTAATTAATGAAAATATTAAAAAATATTTTTAATAAAAAATATTTCGTTCAGTTGAACGTTCAAAATTTGTATATAAAAAAAATAAATTAAACTTTTTGAAACTATAATTTATTTTTTAATAAGTGACGGAATATTGTTTTTAACATTTGAATTTAAAAAATAAATAAATGAATTTTGTTCATTTAGACGTTCAAAACTTTTGGGTCATTTAAAATTAAGTTTTAAATTAATAATTAAATTAAAATTTAGAAATTTTTAAATAATTTAAAATAATTGTTTTCCATTAAGAAAATTTATAATTAAATGGAAATAATATTTTATTTTAAATAGTAGAAATTTTAAGTTGCAAATAAATTTAGAAAAGAAGTTCAATAAAAATTTTAGCGGTTTTCTGTTATTTAAAACAGTAATTAGTTTATTAATTTAAAAATAATTGTTTACTTATTTTTAATAATTATGTCCTTTACTATGTAATTTGCAGTACCAATTTTTTTCGCGAATTGTAATAGAAATTTAAAAAAAAATTGGAGAACGATTTCAAATTCATTTCCACATTAGAGAAAAATTTCGAGGAAAACAATTTTTTTTTTTAAATTATTTTTATCAATTTTTAATAATTTTTTTTTATTTTTTGAAAGAATAATTAAAAGATTTCATGATTGAAAATATTGTGCATTAAATAATTTAAATGATATTGGGAGTTATGTCTTTATTCTTCTTTTTGGAAAATGTAAAACGTTAGTTAAGTTAAAAAAAACTCGGTTCACTTTTTTTATAGTAGTTTTTCTTTTTAATTTTGTCCCGAATAGTTAAAAAAAATGTGTCTGTAAACTAATATAAATTTTACCTATGAAAACTAAATTATAACTAAAATTAAAAAATTACCTTAAAAACTTAAAGAACGATTCGCTTGTTTTCTCTAATTACAATATTCACAACAATTAACTCAAAGAAACAGTAGAAACTATAATGAAGGGTTAATAAATGAAGTTGATGTATTTATATGGGTTGTTTATCGGAA